GGAGAATCGTAAATTTTTTGTTAGATGTTGACATGACACTTTCTTTGAAGAGAGAGAGTTTCTAATATTTAGTATTTGTATTTAACTCATTAGAAGAAAAAATTGTAAATTTTTGAAGAAAAAAAAAATGTTTTTCATTAAAAATTCTCTTTCTAATTTATGAGAAAATTTTAAATACAATGACTTCTAATATCCTTTATTATTAATTATTTATGAGTTTGTTAAGCAATGTTTCTTTCAAATATTTCATGATATATGTTTTGAATATGACAGAATAATCTTTCAATAACATATATAAATTAATTGAGAAAGTATTAAACATTGTTGGGCAGTTCACTGGAGTCTCCAAATTAGAAATCTAAGTATTTCAAATATAACAAATTAATTTTTTATAATTTTTTTAGCTATTTCATTGATGTCCACTTCTCAAACATTGATCAATCCTATAAATAAAAAACTCACTATATATTTTGTATTTATTACATTAATTTTTTTATTTAAAATAATCATATTGGTCCTAAAATAGAAAATGTCACTTCGTAAAATTAAAACCAGCTTCACTTCTAAATGATAATTTGTTCATAAATTAGCCTAAAAGAATATTTTATAAAAAAAAAATCAAAACAAATAACTATAAATATGGACAGAAAGTGTATTAAAAAAGTATCATATATGAGTTGCAATAATTTTTTTCTAAATTTATTTACTTATATTTCTTACTTATTATTCATTATTTTTTTCAAATTTATTTATGTATGAATTTCTATGCTTCAAGTTATTACTCCAAGGAGATATAAGTTTTAACTAATTTTTCATCAGTATTTCATATTTATATAGTAATATGTTTTCTCTATTTTAATTAGCCACATGTAAATATTAAATTAGCATTTTGTTTTCATTTGCATGAATAACTCATTCATTACTTAGAATAAAAGTTTTCAATTTTACATGATACATTTGAATCATACTGTCCATGTATTATATGCACTTTAAATTTAAATAATTTATTCAATACACATATTTTACAATTCAAAATCAAATATATTATAGAGTCGTGCAAAACGTGAAAACCACCTAGTTTATTTATAATATTTATAATGTTTAATTTGGGATAAATGAATACTTGACTCATTTGATTTGAATTTCTTATTTATATAGGATAAAAATGAATTACTTACTCAGTTGATTTGGAATTCTTATTTAATATATATTATATATATATATATATATATATATATATAATATATATATAAATATATAATATATCATTATATCATATCGTGTGAAAAATATTTTTAATTGATTTTCTTCAATCTTTTTAAAATTTCATTCTCTTACAATTTATAACAATTTTAATTATATTTCCCTTATGACTACTATGGAAATGACTGTTACGTTTATTATATTTTTATGTTTCAACTTTTTAATTTGTAAGCAGCGACAAAAATTATTGGTAATAGAGCTTTTTATTTTCTTCATTTAAAAAAAAAAGATTATTTTTCTTCATTTAGATAATATTATATGTTGATTGAAATATATTAGTTTAATTTGCAATGTATATTTTTAGCTTAGCTAAAAATGTGAATCGGTTGCTTTTTAATTCATAATTAATAAAGAGATGCATTCGTGGGTTTTTATTTTATAGGAAAAGTTGGATTAGCTATTATTGTTTTTTAGTAGTAAAAGAACAAAAAAAAAAAAAAAAAAAAAAAAAAAAAAAAAAAAGAGATGTATTATTTATTTCATAGTAGTTTTTATGAATCTTTTTAATTATTTATATTGTTATTTATAATCAAATCATTAACATTGAAAATAAATTATAATCAATAATCAATAAAATATATTTTTTTTAAAAATAATATAATTATAAATCATTGTAAATAATTTATATTTAATTAAATCATCAGAACGGGCATAAATCTAAATTGCATAACGTGAATCATCCCAACAGTGGCCCTGTTTGGCAGCAGTGTTTGAAATATTGTTTAGTGTTTTATTGGAGTTGAAACACTATTTAAATTAATTATTGCGTTCCATAATACAATATTTACCTGTAATACCCCGAATTCTTATTTTCGAAACTTTTGAATTTTTATTAAATCAAAAATCAGAAATTTTAATCATGTGGACTGCAAGTATAAAATAGCCTCAATTCAAGCCCAAGTTTACTTTACGAAGTTGGCTCAAGCCCAAAACACATTTATATCGAAATGTATCAAAAAAAAAAACTGTATATATATATATTATATATATATATATGGATATTAAATTTACATTAAGCTTAAATTGGAAGGGAATGATTATAGAACCTAACTAAAAAATCAAAATAAAATAAAACCGGCGATCTAAAAATCAATTTAATTTGTCGAGAACCACACGAAGAATCCCGAAAAAATCGATTGGGAAAACTTCGAAAAAACCAAACGAAATGAGACCAAATCATCTGAATCAGACCGAAACCGGTTCGAATCGAACCGGATCGGCCCACTTTCTTTTTTTTTTTCTTTTCTTTTTCTTTTCTTTCTTTTTTTCCTTCTCCTTCTCCAGTAGCGTGGCCCTCCTCCTCCTCCTCCTCCTTCCTCTCCTTCGATCTCCTTCCTCCGGCCACCAAATTCAGCAAATGAATACTCTAAAAATATCTACTTCAACGTGAGGAAGAAGAATTATGCTTTAGATTTGAACTGAAATTGTGTCTATGTTTGAAGGGGAAGAGCTTGAAGTGTTGGACCACCTTTTTCCGACGATCACGCCGTTTCAGGCAAAGCCTTGGACACAAGGTGAGTACCAAATGACCCTCTCTTCTCCTCTTTTCATTTGATGGCCTCCCTTCGCGACTGTAATAGCCGAAATCCGGAAAACCCAAAATGGGGTATCACCCGAACCTTTCCGCGCCCAATTTCCGGCCAATTGGTTTCACACCCACCTTTGATTTGAACACATATTAGTGATCCTCTTCATCGAAGAATAACAATGATGTATTTGTTTGGTCAATTTTTGTGGAAGGTTTAAATTTTCCCGGCCCACCGTGCACGGTGGCTGCGGCGGCGGTTCCGGCGACCGTTCCGGCGAGACGTCAAGACAGAATGCTCTCCTCATTCGTGCGGAAACGGAAATGAAAAATTTGATTTTAAAATCGGTACACTCTAAAGCTTAAATCCGCAATTTTTGAATAAATTCTGAATTAATTAATAATGAACTTAATTTAATTAATGAACTTAATTAAGTATTTAAGTAAATTAAATTAAATATTGTTAAATATATTTTAATGAATATTAATTATAACTATAAGGACGGTACTAAAATACAAATTCCTACCTAATAATAAATTTTAGGAATTTTATTAACAAATAAATAGTTATAGATCAATTAATTATAATGGACTATGTGAATTAAGTGACTGAATAAATGACGGTTATGGCGGACGAGATTAGTGGATATGAATTTGCCCGATGGATGGGCTGTGCGTGTGGATTTGTGAAAATTTGATAAATTGGGGTAGTACAGTTTAATAGAGGAAATGCTTTGTCGAATGTTTTAATAAAACACTTTAATGAAGAATTAAATTAGTATTCTTAAGAAGTAGTGACGACGAAAATTGAGGTATAAGGAAATATTATACAATATTAGAAATTTATCATTATATAAATATTTCTCACCGGAATATATTAGAGATTTTTATCTGAAGGTTATAAAGTTAAGATAGTATTTATTTTTTTTTTCATATAAATGAGAGAACCCTAGATATATATATGCATATATAACAAGTGAATTAAAATGACCGTAGCCAAAATAAATAAACAATGTGAAATATAAAGTAAGTTTTTGAATTAAAATTCTTATTTAGAAATTTCTTGTTTATTTTAAAGGCTTATAAAATACAAAATGCGAGGACAAAAGCTGGAAGCATGTGGCTAAAAAAGGCAGTCCTTTTAAAGGACAATAAAGAACTGTGAGTAGTGTTAGATAACTAGTATCATCCACCTGCATTCATGCATTCACGGCTAAATGTTATCATGCATTATTTTGTTGAATTGCCATATCGTGCTGCACTATTTGTATTGCTTGATTCGCTGTGATGTGATATTGCTGTGCTTTGCTTGTGTGGAATTGGGATGATTTGTGTGAATTGGGGGATGCGTGGCCACCATGGGTTTGTGAGGGACGGTCTGTGATATGTATCCTGAATATTGATATGAATATGGAATTTGACCGTCGGCCGGGAAAATGGTTGAGATCGGCGCCCCCCGTGTGCACCTGATGATATGCGATGTATAGTTGGAAAAACAACAGGATGGCTTCTTGTTGTTGCGCACCTGATAATCTAGATTTGATTCTAGCCCGCAAAGGGTGGCTCCTGTTGTGAGCACTTGATGATCTAGATTGGATTGGAGACCACCGGGTTGCCTCCTGTTGGTATGGAAAAAAGAAAAGAGAGAAATAGAAAAAACAATGAGAGGATCTGGTCGAGTGGAAAGGGGGGATTAGACCAGTGCCGTATGGGGGATGCGGCTTCCCTGGTGCACATGTAGAAGAGGGCGAGCCGATGTGTGAGGACGGGCCTCGCTGGGGATTCAGGTGGTGCCATTGACTAAGTTTCCACGTGATGTGATTATATTTGGGAAGAGTTGATAATACTTGTGATTGCTGTTGTATTGCCATTTGTGTGACAAAGTGCCATGATTCATATAATTTAAACGTAACCGTATAAAAATATTTTTAGCATCTGTGTGATTGTGTGGGTGAGAGGGTTATGTCTAAACCCTACTCATTGAGTTTGCGCTCATCCCGTGCCTACTATTTTTTCAGGAATAGAAGAAGAAAGGAAAGCCCTTATGGAAGTTGAGACACTTATTTGTAGAAGATGTTAATGATAGAAATAACGATGTGAATGTAAAGGTAGAGTTCCGCAAATTGTATTCCAGTTGGGTTGTAAACAAAAGTAAAAGTCCATATTTAAGTATTATGAACGGCATTATGGAATGCATATGATAAAATTGTGTAATGGGCCTGAATAAACCATAATTAATGAATAAAAAGTGTGAATTTAAATAAGTTAGGGCCTTACTACGGGCTTCGGGGGCCTGTAAGCCCACCCAGGTCCTTAGTGCCGGGTCCGGTCCATGGAAATGCGGTCGTGACAAAGTTGGTATCAGAGCAATAAGTCGGGGGCCTTAGAATCAATGCGGAACTAGGAAATTTAAATAGAGAGCCTCCTAATGTTGGGATCGGCCGTAACCAACAAGGAGGTGCAGTCTGGATTGATTCCATTTTAGTGCCGGTGGACGCATCGCTGGGCACGAGGATGGAAGGAAAATCTATATGAAAACTTAGGATGAGAATTTAAATGTATATAAGTAATAGTGAAATTCATAAAAAAGGTCCGGGTAAACTGACGTTTATAAAATAAACATGTTCGAGTTTGCTTAAATCCCCTCCATCTATTTTGAAGCAGAAGATCAGTTTGGACAATTGGTGTAATGCCTGATCACCCATACACCATTGATTCGACAAGAGACACTGCTTCAAAAAAGAAAAAAAAAAAATTGAAATTATTTTAGGAAAAGAATTCGGAGTTTTAAAAGACAATAAGAAAGTAAATTTATTTTGAAAACTATGATTGAAGAAACATGTTTTATATTTGCTATTTGGAAATTGTTTGAAAGTGCAATTAAATTGCTTGGTTTTATTGTTTTGTCGGCATGCAAAAAAAAATTTTAATCTGATTTAGAATTGTAAATTATTTACAATGATTGCATGTTTGATTTATTTTTATCATATTGTCTATCCCGAGGACTAAATATAGGCCTATAGGAAATTAATAATGATAAATTAATAATAAATGGTATAGAATATGAATTTGAATTAAATTTCAATTAAGATTAAAAATTTCAATTAAGATATAGATTAAATTCTAGAAATGTTACGGTTAGGGAATAAAAAGTGGAAATTGTAATTTAAATTAAATTAAGGGTTAGAAAAAGGAGGATTTAGGACAAATAATCATACTAGACAAGAAATCCTCCATTAACCAAGCGAAACTTAAGGATGTAAAGAGAAAATTTGTAACTTACTTAAGTATAACATTAAGGAGGATAGAGACTTATTGGAAAAAAAAATTAAATAGAGTTAGACGTGGAAACAATAATTTGTGTCTAAGTACAATAAAAGGTATTGATTAAGGTGAATCTCGACGTATAGAATTTAAATAGAGCAATTAAATTAAAATAAAAGACAAAGGTACATAAGTATGTGATTAAATGTGAAGAAAATAATGATAACTGAGTAGGTCATATTGAGGTGAGACAGAATAACTAAATATAATAAAGAAGCGGGTAAAACTTCCTTTGCATATGAAGGGTAAAATTTTGGGTGTTTTAATATAGAATTAAAAGTAGTTAGTAAATAATTGGGCAAAAGTTTGAATTTAAAATTTGATTAATATGAAAAAGATTGACTAATAGTTAATAGAAGAAAAATTATGAATCTGTGTGAGAAATCTACGAAAAGGAAATGATAAGTTGAGCAATTAAATTGAATCGTTAACAGACATATGGAACTAGTGTGTATGTAAGGGATAGTTGGTATAATCAAAAAATTTATAAGGTGAAAAGTGTAGTAAGTGTATTAGATATGATATAATTAAGATTCTAGTACACGTAGGATACTAGACTAAGTTCATGAATCTATTATAATAAAATGAACGTAGAAGATGAGAAATAACTTTAAATCACAAATGGGGAATAAATGAGGAAAGGAAGTGGATGATGTAGGAAAACTTAATAAATTAAGGGAATTCGATGTATCTAGGTAGGGAGTTATGTAGAAAGGACTAATACTATTTATTAATCTAAATTAAGTATAAGAAAACTTATATAAAATCTGCTTTAGAGAATTAAGTACGAAAGCAGATCGAGGTGCTAAATAAAATAAAGTAACAATATAATAAAATTTGGAAGAGGATAGAGGTCAAAGATAACTCATAATGATGAAGTAGAGATAAAAAAAAAAAAGCTGATGATAATAATATTGTCAATTAAATTATCTACTGTAAAATACTAGAATAAGTAATGGGAAGAAGTCAAAAAAATTCAGATGTAAGAAATATTCATAGAAAAAAAATATATAAAAAAATAAATAATAAAAAAATAAATCAATAAAAACAATATTATAAATATAATTATAAATAATAAATTTACTTAATAGACATAGTAATAGCGAAAGTAACAGTACTGATGGAGATTAGAATGTTCTTGGTTTAAGGGGATCATTTAGAGATGAAATATGTAACAGTAGACTGGAACAATATGATTTGAGAATTGTCCTCGTGGAGATAGACAATTCATTTTTGTTAAATACCAAAAGGTTTTAGAAAATACAATGAGTATCGATTTTCAAACTTCATGAAAATATTTTTATACCGCGATTAAGATTGGTTTAAATGAAATAAAAGTAAATGCAAATTTCTATTAAAAGAATTTTAAGGTTTTGTGTGAGTGACATGCCGATGTTTTTAAAAGTTGGAAGGGAAAATTTTTTGAAAGTTTTTAAATAGCCAGTTACCTATAGAATGGTCAACCTAAATTGTAGTTTGTTGGCTCAATGGTCAATTTTATCTTGAGATTTTGATGATTATACAAGACAAATAAATTTAATATTATTTTATGCAGAAATTATTGTTGAAAATTATTGAAGAAATGAAGTTCCTACATCCCAAGATTTTTATTTGAAGTCCATGAAGATTAATGAAGATATTTTCTATTGGTTAGTATTATACAAATTTTTATTATAAGAATTTCAAAGTTATGTGTGAGTGACATGCTGATATTTTTAAAAGTGGAAAGGAAAAAAAAATATATTATTATACAGTCAGTTACCCATAGGATGGTCAACCTAGGCTGTCGTTGTTCACTCATTAGTTAAATTTTTGAAATAAACGATTAATCTAACAAGTTATAGCGGTGAAACAATGTACATTGAAAATATTAGTGGACACATTCGATGAACTAGTGTCGTAGATCATTATTATAAATGAATCCATTAACATAGAAACTTTCTTAAGAAAAAGAGATTTGACATCAGTAAAAGAAATGAATTTATTAAGGTAGAAATTAACTTGGGAATAAGAGATACAAACCAGTAAAACTTAGAAATAGATATATTAAAAATCGAAAATTTAATACTATGCCTTTTAGATTATAATGAATTATGACAAATCAGAATTAGAGAGACTTGATAATTTGAGCTTTTGGGTAGTTTGTCCTATCATAAGAAAATTATTCAACTCTAGGAGATGTTTTGAAGTTAAAGATACGTTGATAAAATACAACTTAAACATGTGGTAATTAATTTCTTCTGGCTCTTAGATAAATATTAACATTAATACATTTAATTCCTTACAGGAAAAGAATAAAAGAATCTAGTGAAGTGAATCGTGAAGCAATTGATAAAAATCTTGACATGCTAGCCAAAGGAGGAAAGACCTGAATTCAGTCGAGGTCTAGATAATAACACTAGGTGGCAGTGTGCTAACCTGAGAAACTAGAAATGATAAGGTTGAATGAATAAATGTAAGGAATTTATAAATACTTTGCTAGACTTAAATAAGAAAAGGTGAGATGCTAGGACAAAATAAGTAAGGATGAGATAAATAAATTTGATACTAGTATTTTAAAACTGGATGGAAAAAAATTTAACGAATTAGCTTAAGTATTATGAAGGGCTAATTTAGTTGCCTTGCTATTCATTTCATTAATTAAGGCATAAATTGGAACTTTTCATTTATGAAACGAAATAAATTATTAGTTGACGCAGAAGTTGGGTGAAAGAAATTGGAGTTATTGATTGTTTTCTTAATTTGGTGTGATGTCGAAAATTGTAAGAAAGGCGTTTAGATCCGGGACTTTAAGAAAAATTAATAAAGATAGATTGAAAACAATAGTTAATCGGGATGGTGTTGTGCCCCAAACCTGGGATGTCACACATGCGCTAGCATACGATAAAAATATTATAAGAAGAATAAAACTTGTATAAAAAGAACTGCTAGAGTGAGCTTGAATAACCCTGCGATATTATAGACAACGAAAATTTTGAGAGAATTTTTTTTCTTAAAATTTTGAATTAAGATAACAGTTTTTCAACCTTGCTTAGTAGACGATTGAGTCATTACAAATGTAAATTAAATTCCAAATTGTTTTGCTTTTTTTGTAAATTATATATTTGGATTTCATAAAGGAACGTGTAATGAAATTTAATTTTCGCATGAAATTAAATCTATCTTGGGGAAAAATATGTATAATATGCGTTTTATTGTAAAACTCGGTTCATTGTAAGATTTATATTTAACGAAAGATTTTCTAAAGATTTCAGTAGCTGACTAGTGATAGCAACGGGAGGACCAAAGTAATAAACTTAAGTTTCTTATACGAGGTTTCTTGTAAGCTTTAGGTAAGTAGTGCGAAACAGTGGAACGAAATGTTGCTTTAAATATGATGATTGGCGATAGAAATACAATCAGAATACCCCCATTCACTTTGTTTCCTCGATTTGTATTTTCGCTCTTGAGCTGTATCCTAGGCATTGGAAGCAATTTCTTTTGACTTTAAAATTTCTCATGCGTCCATTCTTATTCTTTCCCGCTAAATTCAATTCGAGGACGAATTGTTTTAAGGGGGGAGATTGTAATACCCTGAATTTTTATTTTCAAAATTTTCGAATTTTAATAAATCAAAAATCTGAATTGTGACGGTATGGGCTTAAGTACGAGTAATTCTAATTGAGCCCAAAGTTTTACGAATTGGGCCCAAGCCAAGTTTACGAAGTTGGGCTCAAGCCCAAAACACATTATCGAAATTTATCTTAAAAAAATCGAATATTATGATTATTAATATTAACATTAAGTAAATTGAAGAAATGTTATAGAACCTAACTAAAATAATCAAAATAAATTAAACCAGACTCGAAAATCAAATTGATTTTTCGAAAACCACACGAATAATCTGAAAACCAAATGAAAAACTTGCAAACCGAGCAAAAATCGAGCCGAATCATTGAATTAGACCAAACCGGTTTGAATCGAACCGGAATGGTCTAGAAGCTGCACGATTCTTCTTTCTTTCTTTTCTTTCCTTCTCTTCTTCTTCTTCTTCTCTGCGTGACCCTCTCTTCCTCTCCTTCGATCTCCGTCCTCCGGCCACCAAATCCGGCAAATGAATACTCTAAAAACATCTACTCAACGCAAGGAAGAACAAATTCAGCAAATGAATACTCTAAAAAATATCTACTCAACGTTGAGGAAGAAGATTATAGCTTAGATTTTTGAACTGAAATGTGTCTATTTTGAAGGGAAGAGCTTGAAGTTTTGGACACCTTTTTCCGACGATTTCACGCCGTTTTCAGCAAGCCTTGGATATATTTATTCTAATTTATTACCTTTACATAAAACATTTAGTTATTCGTTAATTACTATTTTATAATAATACTAATAAGAATACTCATATTAATAATAATAATAATCTTACTAATAATAATACGATCGATAATATAAGATTAATAACGATAATAATTTTTGTCGTACTACCTATGCAACTTTTTGAGTCGAATGGTGTGATCGTTGTAAATTTCTGGGTGGTTTGACTTTTTCAGCCACCGTGCACGGTGGCGGCGGCGGTCCAGCGAGGCTCCGGTGAGACTTCAAGAGGCAGAATGATCTCCTCTTTGTGCGGATCAAGGAAATCAAATCCGATTTTCGATCGGTACATTGTAAGGCCTAGTTACTCTTAATCCGCAATTTTTTGAATAAATTCTGAAATTAATTAATTAATGAACTTAATTAAGTATTTAAGTAAATTTAAATTAAATATTATTAAATGTAGATTTATGAATATTAATTATAACTATAAGGTTGGTTACAAAAAAAAAATATATTCCTAGCTAATAATAAATTTTTAGGAATTTATTAACAAATAAATAGTTATAGAACCAATTAATTATATATGGATTATGTGTTGAATTAAGCTGACCGAAATAAAGTGATGGATATGCGGACGGATTAGTGGATATGGAATTTGCCCGATGGAAATGGGCTGTTGTGTGTGTGGATTTGTGAAAAATTTGAAAAAAATTTGGATAGTTTCCCAGGTTTATAGAGGAAATGCTGTCGAATTTTTAATAAACACTTAATGACTTAATGAAGAATTAAATTAGTTATATTCTTAAGAAGTAGTGACGACAAAAATTTGAAGTATTAAGAAATATTATACAATATTAGAATTATCATTATACAATATTTCTCACCGAATAATTAGAGATTTTATCTAAAGGTTATAAATTAGAATAGTTATTTATATAAATGAGAGAACCTAAATATATATGCTATATAACAAGTGAATTAAATGACTGGTAGCCAAAATAAATAAACGAATGTGAAATATAAGTTTTTGAATTAAAATTCTTATTTAGAATTTTCTTGTTTATTTTAAAGGTTTATAAAATACTACCAAAAATTGCGAGGACAAAAGCTGGAAGCAATTGTGGCTCAAAAAGCAGTCCTTTTTAAAGGACAATAAAGAACTGTGAGTAGTGTTAGATAACTAGCATCATCCGCCTGCATGCTAAATGTTATCATGCATTATTTTGTTGGATTGCCGTATTATGATGCACTATTTGTTGATATTTAAAATTGTTTGATTACTTGTGCTATGAATATACTGTGCCATATTTGTGTGGAATTGGGATGAAGTGGACCACCATGGGTTTGTGAGGACGGTCTATGTGATATGGATCCTGAATATGATGTGATATGGATCCTGAATATGATGTGATATGGAATTTGACCGTTGGCCGGGAAAATGGGAGATCGGCGCCCCCGTGTGCACCTGATGAGATGGATTATATAGAACCACAGGATGGCCTCTTGTTGTTGCGCACCGGACAGTCTAGATTTGATCGCAGCCCGCAGGTGGCCTCCTGTTGTGAGCGCTTGATGATCTAGATTGGATGGAGACCACCCCGGGTTGCCTCCTGTTGGTATGGAAAAGAAAAGAGAGAATAGGAAAAACAATGGAGAGGACTGGCCAGTGAAGGTTAGAACCAGTTGGCCGTATGGGGGATCGGCTCCCTGGTGCACATGTATGAGAGGGCGAGCCCATGTGTGATGGACGGCTCGCTGGGGATTCAGGTGGTGCCATTGGACTAATTTCCACGTTGATGTGTGACGTGATGTGATTATATGAAGGTGATAATACTTGTGATTGCTGTTGTATTGCCATTTGTGTGACAAACTGCATGATCATATAACTAAACGGTAACCGGATAAAAATATTTTAGCATCTGTGTAATTGTGTGGGGTGAGAGGGTTCTCTAACCCTACTCATTGAGTTTGGCGCTCACCCCTGCCTACTATTTTTTTCAAGTAATAGAAAGAAAGGAAAGCCCTATGGAGTTGACACTTATTGTAGAAGACTGTTAATGATAGAAATAACGATGTAAATATAAAGGTAGAGTTCCGCAATTGTATTCCAATTGGGTTGTAAATAAATAATAAAAGTCCATATTAAATATATGAACTGTATTTTGGGTGCATATGTATAATAAGTTAATGGGCCTGAATCATAATTATGAATTAAAAAAAGTGAGATTTAAATAAGTTAGGCTTACTACGGCTTCGGGGGCCTTAAGCAGATTTAAATAAGTTAGGCTTACTACGGGCTTCGGGGGCCTTAAGCCCACCCAGGTCCTAGTGCCGGTCCGGTCCATGGAAATGGGTCGTGACATTACCTTACCGTTTAGAGTTTGAAACTGTTTTATGAAAGATTATATTCATTCACCTTTAGCGTTTATAATTTATTTATTGACACCCACTTGTCTTTACCTTATTCCTAGCTTTCATACTCTTTTTTGTCATTTTACATTAAACAGCTAATCAAACAATTATCTATACTGAAAACTTTTATTCTAATCCGCTATATAATCATTAACCACTAATAGCTAACATTTAAAAAAGAGTTAACCACTAGTAAAACAACTGACAACTATTAAAATATCTGATATCTATTAGAACAATTAAATTTACCGAACAAATCCAGTATGCTATTGACCTTATAGTTACCACCCGAATTGACCAAAACGTTTAATTGATTAATTAAAATCCTAACTAGTTGTAAATAATAAATACAGCCATATCATTTTTCCTTTTACCAATTTCACCTCTTTATTTTTACATAAAATATAGAAACATTAGAAGTTATTAAAAAAAATAAAAGCAACATAAATTATAAATTAGTTAAAAGGATACGATGGTTTAAAACAATTAAAGAAACAGTCGAAGGTTCTGAGTTGTCCTATTTCTTGATGATGTGTCTTTTCTCTCGCAAAGAATTAATTTTCCAACGTAAAATATATAGATTGTCAATTTCTATATCAGATTTTTTTTTTAGGTATTTATTTCCCACAAGATTTATAAATTATTAATAGTATCTTCCATTATGTAGCAAAACTTTATCAGAATAATTCAATACATGCAGATTACAAATCGTAAGTAATGACCTAACTTTTGAAGTCACAAAAGAAAAAGTAGAAAGGAATTGTATTATTATGATAAGATAAAAGGGAAATAGAGCTGCCTACATTGCACATGGTCTATGGATAACCCATGCATTCAGTGATTAAATAAAATTTAATCCTTTGATTTTTTTTTTTTTTTTTATTCAAGTCTAGTTCATCTTTCTCAAATCTCAATTGCTGTTTACGTAAACGTAAGTGATAATAATGTAATAAAATAAAATTATTTTTTTATATAAATGAATAACAATATTCTTGAATAGTTTTTTTATATCGAAACTATGTATAGCTTTCCATCGATATTTTAAACGTAACCGTTTTGTTCATTTTCTTTGTAGTGAAAAAAACAAATATATCATTATCCAATTGTTGTTATATCATGGAAAATATACTAGTTTTGTTTTTTTTTTTTTTTTTTTTTTTTTATTCTTTCAATTGTTTGTTATCAGGATCGATCGAAAAAATCTTAGTTTGTTCTTGTTTATTTCCTTTTTTTTTTTTTACACCAAAATGAATATTTTTTACTGTCCTTTAAACTATCAAGAGTGTGATTTTATTCATGGGTTTGTGATGTTTGTTTCTTTATATTTCGATGCTTTTACCTTATAGTTCTGTATTAAATTTTAGATGCAGCCCACCGGAATATTCAATAATTTGAATTTATATTGTACAGGTTCCCCCCTCTACGTATTTCCGCGTACTCAATAATGTACGAGCGGTACCTTCATCTATCTTCTACGAGTGAATGCTAAAATCCGAAATTGGGCGAAGCAATCAAAATAACTAAAGCTACCATTCATGTCCTCTCTGTTGAAATATAGATATTCACTCACTGCACTAAATCTTTTTCATTGATTCTTACGTCAGTCTTAATGAGAAATCATCCACCCCCACTCCTATATATCTTGTCCTCTGTCTTTAAAGTTAACACCACAAAATGAAATGACATTACGTTTCATTTGTATATATATAGGTATGTGCCTTTGCTAAATGTAAAGGTATAATTTTTTTTTTTTTTTTTTTTTTTTACCATGAATATTTTTACGTCCTTTAACTATCAGAGTGTGATTTTATTTCAGGGTTTGTGATTGTTGTTCTTTATATCGGATCTTTTACCTTATATTGTAAATTTTATATGCACCACATATTTCAATAATTTTTGGAATTTATATTGTACAGGTCCCCACTATTCCGCGTACCAAAATGGTAGGCGGTAGCCGGTGACCACGAGTGATGCAATTCGCAATTTGGGAAGCTAGCAAAATACTAAAGCTACATTCATGTCCTCTCTTTATTATATCACTACTGCACTATCTTTTCATTTCATTTCGTCAGCAATGGAATCATCCACCCCTCTCTATATATCTTGTCTCTGTCTTTAATTAAACAACACATATTATAGACAATCTTTCTTGTTATAATAGGTGTGCCTTTTGCTAAAGTAAAGAAACTAACTACTCTCTTAGCAAGTGCCTGGATATCATTATATTATTATTATCACCACAGTTTACAGGACTTGAAGTTCAAAGAAAATGGTGGATGGAGATAAAAACAAGGGTAGGAGTTCGTATTGGTTATACTGCTGCACAAAATGCTTTCAGAAGCCATCGACCTCAGAAATATTGGAACCAGAAGAAAAGCAAGCAAACGGCAACGTTTTATCTGATTCCAAGATAGTTCGGACGAAGAATCCTGGAGGATGGAGAGCCATGCCTTATATCTTAGGTCAATCTCTCCCTCATCTCTCTCTATTAACCTTTCTTTGACACATACAGTATTCATTAATGTTATACCTGATAATCTATATATCTTAAACCACTCTACTATATATCTTCTCTACTCTTTTCTTTTACATGAAAATTTATTATGGAAACTGGAGTATTGGAATACTGACCTTTTCTCCTAGTTTTTATTTTATTTTAATTTTTATGTGTATAATAACAAAATGAGGTTTTTTTTTTAAAAAAAAGATGGTAACTGAAAAAAAGTGGTGGGGGTTTCCTATTGCAGGAAATGAGACGTTCGAGAGGCTGGCTACTTTTGGGTTGTTTGCAAATTTTACGGTGTATTTGATGAGAAAGTATCACATGTCGCAAGTCTCAGTAGCGAATGTCCTTAATATCTGGTTTGGTATAACCAATTTTGCACCTCTCATAGGTGCTTTCATCTCCGACACTTATGTGGGCCGGTTTAGAGTCATTGCTTTCGCTTCCATTGCAGCTTTTTTGGTATCTTCTCTTTCCCACTCTCCCTCTCGTGAATGTACGTTCCTGTTAATTGGTACAGTCACATGTACACTAAAGCAACATTATATCCCACTCAGAAGATAAAGTCGTATTTTAAAAAGATGAGAGCTATTCGTGAAAAATAAAATAAAATAAAATAAACACTTTAATTAAGAATAGAGGATTACTTTCATCTTGTTGGTGATGATACTAATTAATTTATCGTGATCATCACTAGGGAATGGTGACTGTGACATTAACAGCATGGCTACCTTATCTTCATCCTCCAAAATGCCAGCAAGACATAAATTGTGAAAGTCCCACAGCAGCTCAATTGGGTGTTCTATTCATGGGGTTAGGACTATTAACAATAGGCACAGGTGGAATTAGGCCTTGTAGTATTCCATTTGGTGTTGACCAATTTGACCCAACAACTGAAGAAGGAATAAAAGGAATTAACAGCTTTTACAATTGGTATTACACCACATTTACTGTTGTAATTATGATTACTTCAACAGTAGTGGTTTATATTCAAGATTCTGTGAGTTGGGTTCTTGGATTTGGAATACCTACTCTGCTTATGATAGGTTCTCTTGCTCTTTTCTTCCTCGGACAAAGAATTTATGTGTACGTAAAGCCTGAAGGAAGCATCTTTTCTTCCATTTTTCAAGTTTTTGTTGCTGCTTATAGAAAACGCGGGCTTCAGCTTCCTGACGAGGGAGAGATTGGCTGTAGGGTATTCTATGACCCTCCAACAAAGGTTAATGAATTGTCCAAGCTCCCTCTCACCAATCAATTCAGGTAATACTTTCTCCGACTCATTTTCTAAGAGTAATTTCTGATATATATTATGTAATCTTGAGAAAATTGGAGTATTAATTAATTAATTAAATTATACATAAAAATGAAGGGTGGGAGTAATTAAAAAATAGGATAAATGATTATAAAGATCATGAGGTTTGACTGAAATTAATATTTCCTCCTTATTGTTTAATATATTGTTACTATTTAATATTGAACTATTATCTGGTGACAAAAATGACAGAATTAAGTACTAGTTTAACATGATTAAAGCTCAGGATCAGGGACTTTATTACAACAAATTTTCCAAATAATAAGGATGAAATAGTAATTTTGGTCAAACTTCAGGGACTTCATGGTAACTTTTCCTTGAAAAATTGTCTTTATCATGTAAAATCGTCTTATGTATGCCTTGAGATTTGTGAGATTGAATGTGGGGGACAGAAATAAATACTTTCGATGGCTTTATCATCCATTAAATTTGAAGCGAAACTTCATTAAATATACTCCATACAATATATAATATAATGACAATATCTCAATAATATTTTATTGTTTCCTCTAAATCTGTTTTTCCCCATAATTAAAATTTAATTAAAGAAAATGAATAAATTTTAATAATGTTTTCCAAAAAAAAAAAAAAGAATTTTTTTATTTAAATACTGTTCTTAAAGTACTGAATTTGGTTTATCCATTTTCCTCCATTTCTATAGGTTCTTAAACAAGGCAGCTGTGATAGAGAAAAATGACCTAAACCCTGACGGTTCATGTGCAAATCAATGGAGGCTAAGCAGTGTCCAACAAGTAGAAGAACTGAAATCTGTGTTAAAAATTGGACCAGTGTGGGCTACAGGTATTATTAGCTTCACTTCAGTATCACAACAAGGAACATTTACAGTAATACAAGCTATGAAAATGGATAGACACCTTGGATCCAATTTTCAAATCCCTGCAGGTTCAATGGGTGTTATTTCTATGATAACAATTGCTATTTGGCTTCCAATTTACGACAGAATATTAGTACCAGCTCTTAGAAAAATCACTAAGCATGAAGGAGGGATTACACTTCTCCAAAGAATTGGAATTGGAATTATTTTCTCTCTTTTGTCAATGGTGGTGGCTGGTTTGGTTGAAAGGGAAAGAAGGGCTGCAGCCATTTTGCATCCGAACGGTGCACCCATATCAGTCATGTGGTTAGCTCCTCAGCTTGTGCTAATGGGGTTCTGTGAAGCTTTCAACTTCATTGGACAGATTGAATTTTACAACAAGGAGTTTCCTGAAAATATGAGAAGCATAGCTAATTCCCTATTCTTTTGCTCTATTGCTGGTGCGAGCTACGTTAGTAGTTTGGTCATCACGATAGTGCATAAAGTGACTCGAACTCGAAACCATCCGGATTGGTTAACCAATGATTTAAATAAAGGGAAGTTAGATAATTTCTATTTTCTTTTAGCGGGAATGGGAATTTTAAATTTCTTTTATTTTCTGTTTTGTGCTCGCCGGTATAGCTACAAAAGCAATCGTAGTGCTGTAGAATTAGAAAATAATGATGTGGAGCTAAGTTTGAGCAATAAAATTTCTGCTTAAGTTTCAGATTTATTGTATTTTATATGTAGATAAATTAAGAAGTGGAGGAAATAAAAGAAAATAAAGATTGTAGTTTTAGTTATCTTTTGTTGACTATTTTGATATGAATCAGAGTTGTGTGAGACAAGGGCATATGTGTCTTATGTTCAGCTCAATTTGGTGTAACTGAATGCATAATTAATTTGAATATTCAAAATTAATGCATTGCTTATGATTTTTCTGTTCTTTTAATGATATAATAGAATGTGTAGCGTGTGGTGTCTTGGAATTCCACATGGATGACTTGTAGAGATTAATAATTTTTTATAAAAATAAGTATTTTCTATTTCTAATCTTTTAAGCATTGTCTGTTTTCTATTATATTAAATTTTCCATAACGAAATTTATGATAAAACAAAAAAAAAAAAAAAATCTAATCTTTAAAGCATTGTCTGTCTTCTATTTATAAGTAAATTTTTCCAATTAACGAAAATATTAGAATGAATAAAACAAAAAAAAAAAACATTAATATTTTTCATTTATACTAGAAAATAAAAATCTCAAATTAATTTTAGAATATAAAATAAAATCCGTCAAATCATGAAAACGTTAGTAATTGAAGAGTTTAACTGGTGACAAATGAACTTGATATATTTATATTATATTTGATTTGGTATGTACCGGAATCAGCCATCATTGTCAGGATTTGCTGTCGTCTCATTTTCACTATATTATTTTTCTGTATTTCTTTTTTTTTTTTTTTGAAAGGCTTATTATTATTTCATTTAATTAATCTGTAAATTAAACCTAGTAAATAATATTGTGGTGGGTGGATGTTGATTTTCTTCTTTTCTGTTTGAATTTTAAACTTTATAACACTGTTAAATGTCCAATCTTCGACTGGGACGGAAACATGACGTGTTAGTATATTTTTGGCTTTGGAGAGATTTGGTTCTAAACGTGATAAAGATTAAGCTCAGCATGCAAACTTATTGTATATGACAGTGAGTAGCTGATAGGGATGTTGTAACTTGCAACCCCAACTTTTACAAGTTTGATTGATCATTCATGGTAAACGGAAACTATGACTTATATTTAGCGTTTAGCATTTTAACTGAACAATGAGTTATATTTAATGGAATTAAACTTTCTCATTCAGTAGGTTTTTCACGCATTCATGTTGAAAGTGATAATTTCCTTACAGTCCAACTTGTTTATGGTAATTTTATGATTCTTGCTTTTATTTGTCTTTCAGTTTTTTCAATTCAAAATTATTTGCCGCTTAATTAAATTATGTTTGTCTCTCGTACATTTAGGGAAGCTACTTCCGATAACGATTGGTTGGCGAATTTTATTTCTTATTTTATTATGAGAATGCATATTACGAGAGCTTCTCGTCATCGTCTCCGTCAATGGTCACTTTATGATATTGCTGGGGTAGCTCATTCTAGAAAGTGCATTTCTTCGTAGTTTCTCATTTTTTCTAAAAAAAAAAAAAAAAAAAAAAACGTAAGTTCTTTCTCATTTTTTGCTAAAAAAAAAAAAAAAAAAAAAAAAAAATCAAAATACTAAGTGTTATGTATTTAATAGGAAACTCATATGTCCAAGCAAATAATACCTAATAAAGATCCCGACCACGATAAATTCATTTTTTTTTCTAAATATTCTTATTTATTCAAATTTTTTGCTAATAAGCGCAAGGACAAGTATAGTCAAATATGTGTAAACGTCTGTTGTTTTTTACTTCAAAAAGACATTATTTTGGAAATTGAAAAACGGCATTTAATGTATCTTTCTTTAATCAGAAAAAAGAACAAATAACAGCTCATTGCTTTAGCGAATATTATATTTAGTGGAGATGCAAAGGGAGCTTCAGAGTCTTGGAACTATTCGTTGGGTAAAGAATTTAAGATGAATTAATGTCCATATCATTTTCTCATTTGTTGCTTGGATGAGTTTTCTTTTGTAATCAAGGCATCAAAACAAGCTTTGCTCCATTAAAAGACAGACAATAGTACAACATAGATAAAAGTTAAAAAGTAGACCTTGTTACCACTTTCTGTACGTGTATCCATCTATAAATAATCATAAATTATTTTTTTCTTGTGATCTGCTTCCTTTTTAAAAGTATGAAAAACAACCCCTCCAAAGCTGATTTAAAAATCTTTACCGTGCTTAATGTGCAATGTATTCAAATAATGTTTTTTACTAATTTTAACATAATAGCGAAATTATAAACTCAAAAGATGAGCCCCAGGTGGGGTAAATTTACTATAACTAATTCTCTTAAAAAAAAAAAAAAAAAAAAAAATCAAAATACTATGTCTATTATTTATAGAACTCATATTCCAAGCAAATAAATCTAATAAAAGATCCCGACACGATAAATTCATTTTTGCTTTCTAAATATCTTATTATTCAATTTTTGCTAATAAGGCAAGACAAGTATATCAAATATGTGTAAACGTCTTTGTTTTTACTTCAAAAAGACATATTTGAAATTGAAACGGCATTTATGTATCTTTCTTAATCAAAAAAGAACAATAGCTCATTGCTTACATATTTATTTATATGCAACTAATTTGAACTTTTGAAATTAATAATTATTCCATTCATTTCTCTTTGTTGCTTGTAGGTTTCTTTTGTAATCAAGCATCAAAACAAGCTTTGCTCCATTAAAAGACAGACATATACACATAATAAAGTTAAAATATTTACCACTTTCTGTACTTATCAATCTAAAATACATAATTATTTTTCTTGTCTGTTCCTTTTTAAAAGATGAAAACAACCCTCCAACTATTTAAAATCTTTACCGTGTATGCATGTATTCAATATGTTTTTACTATTTTTAACATATACGAAATTATAACTCAAAAAGATAGCCCAGTGGGTAAATTACTATACTATTTCTCCGCATAGGTTATTCAAACAGTTAACATTCAGCTTCTTTCTTCATCGCATAATAATAATAATTAATTTATCTTAATTGTATAAAATTTGCATTTCAGGTCACCTCAACATATTTTCTTCCTTTCTAAAACCCAATTTTTCTTGTGTTAGTGGGAGTTGGTAAAAAAACAAAGGGGGTAAAAATAGAATAAACTCCTTGTTAAATTCTAAAAATAACAGTAAAAGTAGAAAAAAAAAAATTGACAGTTTGAGAGTAACAAAAGGAATATATATTTATTGAAAAATATATATACCTATCAATTATTGTCTTTACACACTTTACATGTGGAGTTTCTTAGTACACTTGTTTAATAGTAGTTTGATTGGAAATGTAGAAAGATTCCTTTTCAAAGCCAATCTGAATTCTACCTCTAAAACTCCATTTCAGAGGTAGACTCCACCTCTACGCCCTCACTAGACTCCATTTTCATACATATCACTTACATTAGACCCACTTAGGATCATCCTTAAATTGAAAATTCATTACATATAAGAACAAACTGCCACTATCATAGCATCTGCATATTATGTATTTTTGTGGTTGATCCATTATCTTCTTGTCTTTCAAAGCAAAAATTTCTTCCAATTCAATACATTTCACCAATTTTAATTTATATACTTATAAAATAGATATTAGATATTAGAATATTCTACGAAAATGTAAAGGGTATATTATATAAATATGTGTGACAACCATTGAATTATTAGATCTCAACCACTAAAATCACCATTCTTTTTCCGATTTGATGTATTGAAATAAAATATTTCACTAATTTCAATTTATTAGACATCTGATGTCAAAATATTCCATTAAAAATGTAAAAAATATATAAATATTGAGCCACAGCCATTTTTTTTAGATACTTTCACGATGTGTTTAGGTTTATATCCGTTTTAACGGTCCACAGTAAATCCGATTAATTATTGCTTGCTCTTCAATTTGCATTACAGAAAATCGAATTCATGAATCTAAATTATAATGATTAACCCTACAAGTATTTATTGGCCCTGAGTTACCAAGTTTAGGCTATTCAGCGAAAACCATTAAACTATTGAATTTCAACCATTAAAATCATTATTCTTTTCAAATTTGATGTACCAAAAGCAATCAATTATTTGACTGCAGTGGATATGGTATTTGGAAATGCACGCTTGAGAGATATAGTGATTGTGGGTGTAGCAATTGATGATGATATCATATTGTTGTTACAGTCAATGGGCTCTTTAAATCAAGAAAGACGCAAATGTTATTCTCTGTTGGAGTTTCCATTATTGGTCATCAATTTAATCATTGTACCTGGAGATAAGCATACTGCCACTGTTATTTGTTTTTTATTTATTTATTATTATTATTATTTATTTAGAGTCAATCTATTATTTCATAATTAATTGAATTTGATTTTCAATTATTCTCTTAAAAACAAGATTTCTCAATAAAATTAACTATTTTAGTAGTTGTTAATTATCTTATTTCCTATCAAACGTTAAAAGTCATAATGATTTCTTTAAACTTTAAATATTAGCATAAAAACTACGTTACCAAGTACTATAAATTATAGAGGTAGTGTTTTAATTGACTTAATAGAACGCTGAAAGCTATGTAAAAGGCCGTTTGTTAAAAAAAATTGAAATTTCAAACAATTTTTTTCACGGGTTTTAAAAAACAAAAAATCAAGAACACTTTCCTTAAAGGATATGACATAGTGGGCTAATTATGTATTTGGAGACCATCAATTATTGGAAATCTTAAAAACATTTCTCCACTAGTTTTAATTTGACCAATAAGCTTTCATTTGACAATGATGAAATTGCCAAATTGAAAATTTGTCTAGTGTAATTTCAATTTTTGTTGAAATTAATTACACCATGCGGAACGAGCTCGAACAAAGTGATATTTGAATAAAATCTTTCCAACAATAATGATTTTAAATTTTGACCCCTTATTTTGTAATTTTTCCAAAATTAATTTAATTTGATTACAAGACTTATAATCTTTATCTTAAAATATTTCTTATGGAAGATGTTTTCAACAATTCATTTGATTTCGTAACAAAACTTATAACCTTTTCCTTCTTTGTCTATCCATTTAAAAGTGACAAGCATTCAAGTGCAATGATAATTTGTGGTTATCAATTTCTAAGAAATTAATTTGATAATTCAATTTACGAAGAAAAGACAACGGGTTATGTCTCGAGCCCAATATGTTAAATGTTCTAAACATTTTTGGATTCTTTTGTTTCAGAACCTAAAATTTTACCCAACAACATGGGCCAATTTGAGCCCAGTCCAGCCCTAAATACCAAAGCTTAAGCAGTAGTATTACCCAATCCCGAAAGCAACCATAAGATAGCACGTGATTTCCACGTGTATCCAACAACTTCCAAAGCCGTGCACTTCATTCAGTTGCCCAATCTTTCACTTCCTTCTTCTCCCGAAACACCCGAAAAGCCATTTTCATCTTCGAAAAAGCAAAACCTAGACTTTTCCTTTATTTACAGTTACACCCTTGTCGCTGAAGCTCGTCTCATTCACTGGCGGGGAAAATTAGGGTTCCATTTTCATCTTACTCCACTTGAAAACGGCGTTCTCGATCTACCATGGATTCGCCATCGTCGTCTCTACACCTTGCCATGGCAGCTCTCGTTGGAGCTTCATTGATGGCAATCTCTGCCTTTTATATTCACAAGCGTACCGTCGATCAAATTCTCGATCGTCTGATCGAACTTCGCCTTAGTTCCCCTAAAAGTTCGAGAAATCAATCTGTTGTTACTGACGAAGAGGATTCTGACGAGGAGGAGGAGGGGAGTAGACATTATGACGATGCGAACGGAGCAGGTGGAGAGATAGCTGTGGGGAGGAAAATCCGGGCCCGGAGTTCATCCAGGTCGTTGGAGGATAAGAATGTTCTTCGCAGTTATAAGATATCACGCTCGATGCCTAATGTGGTGTTGAATAACGATTGGTTCGACGAAGATGTGAAGTTTGATCAGAGTCAGGGAGATAGGCTTAATTTCGTTCCCTCGGGACTCCCGCCTCTGCGACTATCTCAAAGAGATGGTAAGTCTTGAAACTGTCTGGTCTAGTTGTATCTTTTTTGTTGTGCTTTCCGCAATATATTAGAATAAATCAGGAAATGGGAACCGGCTTTGTTGCCCTTTCTCTTTGGGACACTAAGTTTTTTTGCTCTCTGTTTTTTTGCAGGACAGAATAACTCTGTTAACTACTGTAGTTCTATTACAAGAATGGCTTCTCTTGGCAGGCTAAATACTCCAAGGTCTCCAGGTGGCAATGCCTTTGACAGTATGGGTGATTCTGACGAAGAAGAAACAGAGTTTGGCACAGAGGATGACGTTTTCTTCAGTAATGTGAATATGGATCCTTCTGCTGATTACGTAAACGTATGTAATTTCAGATTTAGCTTTGATACTTACTTTTATTTGTATATAATATAATTAGCTCCTGCTGCCTAATATTCACTTTACTAAACATATGATGTAACTGCATGCAAGTTTGGTTATAGATGCTATTGGCAATAGATGGTGATTCCCTGGTTCTTTGTTATGCACTTAGAAAGGAACAGTTTTCTGGTCCTATCAGCAGAACTTTTCTCTGGGACGAGCAGTGATAAAGTTAAGACCATTTAATTGCTGCATCATTTTCTTTGCTTTTTAATTTGCTATTACTCGTTGTAAGAGCTATGTTAGTTTCCCAAATAACTCAAACAAAGCGATTAAAATCAATCTGAGATGTTGCAAGTGTGTTTGCAGGATGCTGATTCAAAGGCTCAAGACTCTGTTGTTCTTCCAATTGGAGGTGACAGTGCAAACAGCATCCAACATCAGAATATTGGAGATGCTAGAGGTGATCTGACAATTGGCACTGATCCAATAGGCAGAAAGGTAGATACAGCTTCAATGCATCAAGTGGGGAATAATCTTGCTCTTGCCACCACAATTTTACCTCCAAGAACTCTAATGCACGGTATCTCAAATCTCTGGTCCTTCCCTGAGCTCTTTGTCTTTGATAAGGTTCCCCCCCCTCTTTTTTTTTTTTTTTTTTTTTTCTTAAAACTAAACACATATGAATGGTAACTGCCATGAAAGGTTTGGCTTATAGATTGGCTATTCGGCAATAGATTGGTGATTCCCTGGTTCTTTGTTATGCCCACTTAGAACAAGGAACAGTTCTTCTGGTCCTATCAGCAGAACTTGAATTGTCTCTGGGACGAGCGAGTGAATAAAAGTTATGAATCCATTTAATTGCTTGCATCATGAGTTGTCGCTTTGGCTTTTTTAGATATTTGCTATTAGCTACGGTTTGTTAAAGGAGACTATGTATAGTTTCCCCAAATAAAACTCAAACAAAGCGATTAACAATCAAATGCTGAGATCGTTTGCAAGTGTGTTGTGGCAAGGATGCTTGATTCAAAGGCTCAAGAAACTCTGGGTGTTCATTTCCAATTGGAGTTGACAGTGCAAACAGCATTCCAAGCACTCAGAAATATTGGAGATGGCTAGAGGTGAATCTGACCAATTGGCCACATGACCAAATAGGCCAGAAAGGTAGATACAGCTTCAATGCATCAAGTGGGGGAATAATCTTGCTCTTGCACGCAGAACAATTTTACCCTCCAAGAACTCTAATGCACGGTGATCTCTCAAATCTCTGGTCCTTCCCTGAAGCTTCTTCTCGCTCACTCTCTCGCATTTAAGGGAGTCCCCCCCCTCTTTTTTTATTTTTTTTTTTTTTTCACTTGTTTGTATTATTACTCAATGGATATATGATACTGATGACCACTTCCTAAATTTTTGATTTGAAAAAGTAATAAAATAGTTATTGAATTATCAAACTAAGTTTTGACATATATCAATCTAGTTGGCTCTCTGTGCTTCTTTTAATGAATTCATTTTCAAATTCTGAATATAAGGTGCAAATATGTGACAGTCCCAATCACATTCTCTCTTTTCTGGACCAAACCTTTTTCAATCAGAGTGTCCCAGTAATGTAGAAAGAGTGAAGAAACAGTACGCTAAGATGATCCGTGAAAGGCTTTGGGATTTGCCGGAAATAGCGTACATTTTAAACACGGGAAGAGGTTGCACCGGTGGAAGAAGCTTACCCCTGTCGTGACCTGTAAGCAACACGAGCCAGCGCGGAAAATCCTTAGATTTTGCCATTTCAACTTTGAAACCCTCCGTCCCGGCAAACTGCAGTAAGTGTATTTTTTCTCCCCCCCCCCTTTTTTTTTTTTTTTTTTTTCACTTGTGTATTATTACCATGGATATATGATACTGATGACCACTTCCTAATTTGATTTGAAAAGTAATAAATGTTATTGAATTATCAACTAGTTGACATAATCAATCTAAGTTGGCTCTCTGTGCTTCTTTTAATGAATTCATTTCAAATTTGAATATAAGGTGCAATATGTGACAGTCAATCACATTCTCTCTTTCTGACAAACCTTTTCATCAGAGTCAGTAAATGTAGAAGAGGAAGAAGTACGTAAGATGATCCGTGAAAGCTTGGATTTGCGGAATAGGTACATTTACAGGGAAGAGGTTGCACCGTGGAAGAAGCTACCTGTCGCTGAACCTGGTACACCAGCGCGGAAATCTAATCCATTTCACTTTGAACCTGTCCCGGCAACTGCAGTAAGTTATTTTCTTTTTATCAATGTGAAGTTCTCATGCAGATAACTTTTTGTTGCACAAGAATTTTCATTTCATTTTAAGATCCATATGATCAGGTGAAACAATTCTTTTATTATCATTAAGCTTTTCTCATTTATTTATATTTTTAAAAATTCTTGGGCAGCATCACTTCAAGATGGAAGATGGAGTTGTACATGTGTATGCAAGTGAAAACGGTCAGTATTAGGAGCAATAGCATTAATCTTTAGTAATTTATAGTTGTTAAAACTTGCCAGACCAAATATTAAGCCATTGCATGCAGTTTGTGTGAATTCAGATATTCAATCATTGCCTATCCTTCTATATTTATTATTGTAAAATGAATTCAGCAAAGTTTGGAGATGGCTTGATGAAATGTTTTGTCAAAAATAAAATGAATTTTTATGTCAATCACATCTTAGTTTTGACCCATGCATCTGTGCTTAGAGCTTTGATACTTCATCTTACCCTCATGTACTCTGTTGATTAGGATGCTCAGACATAGGTATGATAATTTGACACTATAAATTCGTGAAGGTAATATATGAAATTGGCAAAATAGGTGAGCTGACACCTGGATGCTTACTGTTATCAAATACTTGTACCAAGTGCAAGAAGTGTACAGTTTCAAATATGTTCAATCTGAACTCTCTTTTGGAATTTCTGTCATATTAATGGAGCAAATTTAAGTTATTAAACTCTTGACAATGAATTGCCCGATCATGTTTCACACTGGTGCTTTATTGACATAATTCTTCTCGTAATGATCTTGAATTTGGCCTACTAGACCCCTTAGATTAGTTGGCATAGTATCTCTCTCTCTAAAATTGCTTCCCAGGAAAGAAATTTGGTACCTATGTAGCATAAATAAAGGATGAAAGCTGCATGGTTGAGCTACAGAGGAGAAAAATAAAAATTGATGTGTAGTAGAATATAATCATGTCGAAGACATAGGTCATTATATGTAGATGGAAATTAAATGCTATGGAGAACCTGAATGTGTTTTATGTGTAACTCTTTTTGGGCCGTTATTAAATATCAAGCTGTTAGAAGACAGTGTAATAATCTCTTTTGATAGTTATTAAAGCTGTGATTTTCTTAGATTTTTTTTTTTTTGATCATGTCAATAATCAAAGTTTTTGATTTTTTATTCAGATACTGTAGAACTTTTCCCTGTTGCTAGTGCGACAACCTTCTTTACTGATATGCATCACCTTTTAAAAATCATATCTATTGGAAATGTTCGCACTGCTTGCCATCACAGATTACGATTTCTTGAGGAGGTAATTCTCTTCAAACTTTGTTTTGGTTTAATGTTTTAATTGCTTGGATTCTGCTTGTAACTTATACCTCAACACTATACAGAAGTTTCGCCTTCATCTGTTAGTGAATGCAGACAGGGAGTTCCTGGCTCAGAAGAGTGCACCACATCGCGATTTCTACAATATCAGAAAAGTTGATACACATGTGCATCATTCTGCTTGCATGAACCAGAAGCATCTGCTGCGCTTCATCAAGTCAAAGCTAAGGAAGGAACCTGATGAGGTATGTATATTTTTATTTCTCACTGAACTTTTTCTATTTGTCAATTGCTTTAGTTTCATTGGAAATTTTGTTATTTTCACTTGCTTTGTTAATAACTATTTTATGTTCTTGGTATGGCGTATATTGCAGGTTGTTATATTCAGAGATGGAAAATACATGACTCTAAAGGAAGTTTTTGAGAGTTTGGACTTGACTGGGTATGGATAAGCACTGTTCTCTTTATCTCTCCTTGCCGGGAATTGTTCAGTTGATTTCCTAACTATTTGAGTGGTGCACTTCAGGTATGATTTGAATGTTGATTTGCTGGATGTTCATGCTGATAAGAGTACCTTTCATAGATTCGATAAATTCAATCTTAAGTACAATCCTTGTGGACAAAGTAGACTCCGGGAGATTTTTTTAAAGCAGGATAATCTTATCCAAGGTTAGTATTATAGTGCCTGCATAAGTTTTGAAGGATTGATATCATCTTAATCTTAAGCTTTTTTTTTCTTCCTGCAGAAATGATTTGTCTGGAAAAAATATTTTGTGGAAAAAAAGATTTTCTAATTAGATGCATTATTTATTTATTTTTTTTTTCTTTTGGCTGTAAACTTCTGATGCTAAAGATAACTAGAAAATATATTTAATGATAGGAATGCACTCAAAAAATATTGTTCTTTGAATGAACAAGGAAAACATTAAAATAAGTGGACCTATAAGGACTCTGAATGTTTTCATTTGTAGTCCAAAATGAAAAGATTACAGTAGAAAAGGTTAGATGGTTGTGAGCAATTTGCCATTGACAGTGCTAACCTGCGAGAACAGCAGTTGTAGATGGTCACTTAACTAGTGTTACATGTCTATGTGATTCTCTCGTAGGTTCTTTCCTTTCTTTAAGTTTGTCAAAGTCTGTAATGACTTTCATATTTTTAAGATAGCGATTTACTTTTTTGGTAAATGGCTTAGTTTTTCCTTTGACTGGGGAATAATTTTTCTTTTTTGGTGCCCAAAACATCAGAAAATATTTTCTCAGAAAAGTATGAAAGAAAGATAGCATTGATTGCAGAAGTTTGAGAAATATCATTTATCGTTCTACTTCTGTTGTCCCTTCATATCTTTATCTTCTTGTTGGACCTTTGTGCCAATATAAATGTCAAGTATATCTATAACCGATGGATTTTATTGTCTCCCTTTCATTTATATTTATTTGATGTTTAAGTGAATATCTGTGTACTATCAGATTATATAGGGTGAAGAAATATAATGCTATGCTGGTTTTTAATTGAATTATCACAGGACGCTTCTTGGCAGAAGTAACAAAAGAAGTTCTATCAGATCTTGAAGCAAGCAAATACCAGGTTTTTATTTTTTTCATTACACCCCACGAACTTGCATTGGTATTCATGTTCAAGGATAATACATACATGTGTTGTCTCTGTAGCTTTGCTTTGAAAGGCCAGGAAAGCGATTTTTCTTCCTCTTATATTTGAGAATATTTGTGAAGAGTAGAAAACTCATTCTCCCATTGTAAGAATATGAAGAAAAACATAAAATCATCTCAATATTAGACTGTTTTGATCTCACTTATATTTTCATGAGGATTCTCTTTAGCATAATACAGGTGAAATTCAAGTTATTGTCTCCAACTTATGTGAAATGACTTTTTTTTTTTTTTTTGGGTTTCATATTTTCTAATCCTACAATGTTTCAGATGGCTGAGTACAGGGTTTCCATATATGGAAGGAAACAAAGTGAATGGGACCAGCTGGCGAGTTGGTTCATTAACAACTCAATTTATAGTGAGAATGCTGTTTGGTTAATCCAGGTAAATTGCCATGCATCGGTCTTCTTCTCTGGTAACTGCACTTTTATGTGTATAGTTGTCCATTCAATTGATAGGATGCCACCCCTATCGTTAGCTACGCAAATTCTAGTCAAGGAATTGTACATATATGTAAAAAGCCTTTGTCTTATATTACCAATTCAAAGGGCCTCAATAGCTTATCTTTATCTTGTATATTCAAGTTTGAAGTTTTTGCACTTGATAAAATAATTCTCTCAATTTCTGTCCGTGTTTTCTTCATCTTCTTTCTGCTAACTTCATTGTAATTTGCTTTACTTGTCCAGTAGTAAGCTGAATCCCTATCAAGATAGGATTTTGATTGAGCTTTCTTTCTTTTCTCCATGTACGACTAAAATGTAGTATTTATTCTTTGAATACAATTGAGACACAACAATCAACAATTAATAGGTTTTATCAGTTATCAAATCCACAATATGTAATATTGACTATTTGACTTTTCATTAAAAGAATTTTTTTGCATTACTCCAAATCTTGGACGTTGAGGAACTTCTTGAGCGCTACTTTTAAGACACTTGTTAACTTCTAAGATGAAAAAACAAGAAGAAAGAGACTCTTTTGCAATATGAATTCCTAGCGACCTTTTAGTGTCAGCTGTTCTATGTCCTTGATTCTCATAGGTTGTCTGGCTGTAAAATTTTCTTGCTTTGCACCTTTATCTACATTTTTTTTTTCCTTTTTCTTTATATTAAAAATAATTTTAAAATTTGCAGCTTCCACGGCTATACAATGTGTATAAGCAAATGGGAACAGTTAAATCTTTTCAGAATATTCTTGATAATGTTTTCATTCCACTGTTTGAAGTCACAATCAACCCAAGCTCTCATCCCCAACTACATGTGTTCCTAATGCAGGTGCGTTTATTTGTAAAATTATTTTTACTTGAATTTTTATGTATTTATTGCAATTTGATAGTTGGTATTATGTAGATTGTAATTGATATGGTTGGCTAGTTATTGTTCTTCAAATGTAGTCCGATGAATAAAATGGATTTGTTTAATCTCTGCTGTGCTATACCTGTAACTCACAAATATTTGCAGCCTCCACCTTTGCCATTTTTATGGGCAGACACAGAGACACGGAAAAACAATATCAATCAGCAAAATGCCTGTGTCCTAATATACTGATATGGTAGAGAATACATGAAAAGGAAACATAATTAAATACTAATTTTTTCACTGGTGCAGGTTGTGGGATTAGATATTGTTGATGATGAAAGTAGACCAGAAAGGCGTCCAACTAAGCACATGCCAAAACCAGCTGAATGGACCAACGAGTTCAATCCAGCTTACTCTTATTATGCTTATTACTGCTATGCAAACTTTTATACTCTTAATAAGGTTTTTATTACCTGCTTGTTTCCTTTTAATATTGCTGTCTATCATTGAGGTGTTTTTTCAGTTGTCAAGTGATTTTGTGTGACAATGTTGATCTTAGCACAAAATTATAGGGCCTCCCTCAACTGAGTGATTTTTCAATCACTGTGTTGTGACTGGTGCATGTTGCACATAAATTTTATCTGATGATTTCCTGAATATAGAGAGATATGATTAATTTCAGGGGCGGAGCTAGACTTTAGAATTTGGGGAGGCCAAAATAAATTTTTCAAAAATTAGGAGGACCAAAGTGAAGAAAAAATTTTTTTGTACTAAAATTTAAGGCAAGCTTAAAACAAATTCTGGAGTTTTTTTTTTTGTTGTTGGGGGGGGGGGGGGGGGGAGGTGTTTTTCAGTTTTATGTTCAAGTGATTTTGTGTGACAAATGAATGATCTTAGCACAAAAATTAATAGAGTGAGCTCCCCTCAAACTGAGTGATTTTTTCAATCACTGTGGTTGTGGCACCTGGTGCATGTTGCACATAAATTTTATCTGATGATTGTTTCCTGAAATATAGAGAGGATAGATTTATTTGAGGGGCGGAGCTAAGACTTTAGAAAAAATCTTGGGGAGGCCAAAAATAAATTTTTCAAAAAATTAGGAAGGACCGAAGAAAAGTGAAGAAAAAATTTTTTGTACTAAGAATTTAAGCCGAGACTTAAAACAAATTCTGGGAGTTTTTTTTTTTTTTGTTGGGTTGGAGGGGGGGGGGAGGGGGGCGCCTCCCAGTCCCCCTCCTCGCCCCTGATTGAATTTTATGAATCCTCAGAAAAAGTGTAAAAAATGTAAACAAATGCAATTGAATTTATGAAGGAACACGTCACCTGAGTGTGTTGAAAATTTAAATGTGTTACAAAATGAATCTTCATTGACCCATTATATGGCAATAAATCATTGCAATAGTTTTTTATTTACTTGGTGTTTTTTTTTGATTGCTGTATTGAAATAGTGTTTAAGTTATTTCTTGTTTTCCAATTCGCGTTGAACTTATTTTAGAAAAAAAAAAAATGCGGGAGAGGGAAAACTAAACCATTGGAGACTGCTTGTGTAGCTAATGCTGAATCGATGTTTGAATGGAAAGCTTACAATATTCGCTTCTCGGGTTTTTGTTTCCGAGCGTTCGTGAATTTTCTTTAAGGATTGCCGAACCCAATTTTTTTTTTTTTTTTTTTGAATTGCTGTATTGAAATTAGTTTAATTATTCTTGTTTTCCATTTCCTTTACTTATTTTAAAAAAAAATGGGGAAAAACTAAAATGGAGACTGTGTACTATGCTGAATCATGTTTGAATGGACTTACATTTCTTCTTTTGTTTCCAGCTTCGTGAATCTAAAGGATTGCCGACCATAAAATTCCGGCCGCATTGTGGAGAGGTTTTCTTTTCTCCCCATTCTTGATGTCTATTTTAGACTTAAGATTTCTGAGCCGCTGCTGATACTAACAAAATCTGTGCAGGCTGGTGATATTGACCATTTGGCTGCCGCATTTCTTCTATGCCATAACATATCTCATGGGATCAACTTGCGAAAGTCTCCTGTTTTGCAATATCTGTATTACCTTGCTCAGGTTTGCTTTACATCCCCTGGCATTCCATGTTTAATTGGGATAACAGTAAAAGATTGAGTTTTACACAAGGGTACAAGCTGGAGACATGCAATGATCTTCATTGTTTTGGTGGAAGAGAACTGTCTCTCAGCCAACATCATATGGAGAATCTATCCTTGCCACTTAAGGAACTTGAACAGCATGAAATTAGAATACTTTATGCAATACATTTATGCTTATGAGGCCATTGCTTGGTGTCTTGGTGAAATTCATGAGCTTGTAACTGCCAGGGTGCAAGTTCAGGTCTTGAGAGTAGCCACTTCACATTAAAATATTGAATGATACTGTCTCCAAGACCTTCCCTCCTGAAGTCTCGTTTCAGTGGGACCAAAAAGGGCTATAATCTTTCTCTTTATGCACCTTATGTCAATGAGTGAGCTTTGAGGAGTGCTTCACCTTGTTGAATTACAAGATTAGAGGTGCATCTGACATTTTTTTTGTCTGTCCAGATACAGCTAAATGGTTTACTAATTAGCAACTTTTCCTTTCATTATCAGATTGGATTGGCCATGTCACCTTTGAGCAACAATTCGCTTTTCCTGGATTATCATCGAAATCCATTTCCTGTCTTCTTCCAGCGTGGCCTGAATGTTTCACTCTCCTCTGATGATCCTTTGCAAATTCATTTAACAAGGGAAGCGCTGGTGGAGGAGTATAGCATTGCAGCAAAGGTATGGTTATCTTTATTTATTTTCATTTATTATTGTGACATAGTGATGTGTCTTAAAGAAATTCGGCCCTTCTATAGGTTTGGAAGCTCAGTTCATGTGACTTGTGTGAGATAGCAAGAAATTCTGTTTATCAATCTGGATTCTCACATCTGGCAAAGGTGAGGAAATTTATTAATGCTGCAGGCATGCAAATACATGCACCATATTTATTAATTTACATTTTCTAATCAATAATTATGTTATTTGATCAAATGTCAAAAGGAAGATGATATAGTTATGATGTCTAAATTTCAGTACACTTGCCCGATGAACATAGATCTAGGAAACATAGGATCTGAAAGTATTACAATTTTTTTTTTCATGAGGATGGGAAACATGGTATTTATGAAGAAGGTTTACATGTTCTTTATATATGGGTTCCTCTTGCAGTTGCATTGGCTTGGTAGCAAATATTTTTTGAGAGGTCCAGAAGGAAACGATATTCACAAGACAAATGTACCCCATATGAGGATCGCCTTTCGACACGAGGCAAGTCTTTATGCAACTCCGTATGATATGTGTCTTAGTTCTCCAAGCTAACAGTTTTCTGTTTTGCAGACGTGGAAGGAGGAAATGCAATATGTATACTCTGGAACAGCTAGTTTTCCAGAAGAAATAGAATTTTAAATGTAATGAAATTGCAGAATGAAGCAACTACAAATTAGACTCTGGTGATCAGCTTGAAATATTCTCAGCACTGCGGAATGTTTACCTCACCGGATTTATTTGTAGATGCAGTATGCAGGAAACCAGTAATGGGAAGGAAATTCGTAACAGATTTTAAAGGGAAGTTATCATTTTTGCAGAGGCAATTATAAATAACTTCAGAACGATCCAGCATTGCCAATTTTCTTGAAGAAGAGGCTTTCATTTCTTTAGGTGCAGGGAAGTTTTGGTTTTGAACTGCAGAAATGTTTGTAAAAATGAGAGGCTTCTTTATGGAAGGCTGTTAAATGTAATTGAATCCACTTCATATAATAATATTATCATAATAAAGGTTCCATGTACTATGATGCAGTAAGGGGCTTTTAGTCTCTCTCTCTCTCTCTCTCTCTCTCTCTCTCTCTCTCTTCACTGACATGAGTGCGACCGGGAAATGGAGATCCTTTCTGTTACAGGAGCATGTATATACCCACGCACTTAGCACGTTTGATATTCTCTTTGCTCTATCACACTATCAAATCAATTAGTCCAATAAAAATTGAGGTTTGAAACTTTAAAATGATGAAAAATAATATCAAATAAATGTCAAGTTCGAAAGAGATGAACCTAAGTAATCAAACATATCTGCTTATTAATAATAATTAGATGGATCAAACATTTCTACTTAATAGTAATAATAATAATACTTTGATGGGCATCTTCGGGTCAAAATAAGTTGACCCGCCACCAATCCCATTGGATATCTATTCACGCTGCCCATATTAATCCATGCTAATAATTTTTAGGCCTTCCTTTTACGCTCCCTCTCTCTCTCTCTCGCTCTCTCTCTCTCTCTCTACGCTATAAATTATTAGTAAAGTCTCCCCTCGCCACTTCCTCTTCCCTCCGTTAACCTCCCAAAACCCTCAAAACCTTCGCCGCCTCCTCCACCACCACCGGCGGTGGTGCTTTTCCTATAATTCAAAAAACCTCTCAAACAAATGGCGGCCACTGCTGCCTCAGAAGCGACAGACGGACCCGTCCTTAGCTTTATCAACAAGCGCCTCCGTGCTCTCCGCAAGAAGTACAACCGAATTCTCCAGATGGAAGAGGCCATCTCCCAAGGCAAGCCTATCAATAAAGAACAAGAAGACGTTCTTCGTTCTAAGCCATCCGTTTGCGCCGCTATTGAAGAGCTCGAGAAGCTTCGCCAGCCTCTCGCTACCGCGGTCTCTGAAGAAATCGCTCTCGCCATCCAACGTCACCAGCAACAATCGTTCGTCTCCAATAATGCTATTCCGGATAAGGATGATAGCGAGAAAACCGATTGCGACTCTGATGAAGATACTCGCGGTGACGGTGGTTCTATGGTGGAGGATCTGTTGAATTTATTGTATTTCGGTTCGTTGTTCGACGTGAAGTCACAGAATGACTTCACTGCCACGATGTTGACTCGTACGCACGAGAGAGGTTGCTGCTTGACTTATGATTATGTAACTGATGATGCTACGGATCTGCTTGGGGAAAGGGATTTGGACATGATTTCGAAGCTTGGCGGGTTGTTGATTTCGCGCCCTGTTGATTCCAACTTATCTCATAGGAATGCGTTGCAACGGTGCATCGAGCGTGCCAAGTTGTGGCTTGCTAATTCCGACCAGCCAATTGAGCCCAATGCTAACGCTTCTTGTAATTGCTTTATTTATTCATTTATGTTCGGCCTTGGTATTGTATTGTTTATTGTATGAGTATTTTCACTGAAAGTTTTTGTTTTGTTGATTTCGCAGATGCGGAACTGAGGGAGAGGCTGAACAAGATTATGGCTTCTGATTACTTCACCACCACACCGGAGATGAAAGCTCCAGTGGAAGTAGCTGCGGCTGCTGGAAACTATGCGTCTTTCCAGGTTCCTGTTCATAGAATTCCTTCAGTGTCAGTCCAGGCGGAAGTCTCAGCTGAACAATACCAGCCGAAGGTACAAGTTCATGTTTTGTAAACTTCATATCAAAGATGCCCCAGTTTGTTTACTGTTACCTGAACCGCAACATGCGTATTTGCTCGTTGTGCTTTTCCTTTTTCTTTTTCCTTTTTTTTTTTTTTTGGTTGTAGTTTGTTATTGATTGATAAATCTGAATTGGATCATCCTATGGCATTTGGCACGAGGTTAGTAATACAGCTCTTAATGTATTGGCGAGCTCACCTTTGCAGAAAAGTCAGATTTGGTTTGAAGGACGTTTTGGAATGATTAGATTTTAAGGAGTCTGTCATGTGGTAGTCGCCATAGTGCATAAAGTCACATGGGAACTTGTGAAAAGGCTTTCTTTTTTCTTTTGTGTGTGTCTCCGTTGGGGCAGGGGTTGGGTTTGGTTTTTGGTTGTGGGAGGGAGGAAGTAGAAGAGGTGGCAGCATTGACGTGCCCTGTGGATCTTACTTGATGAACCACTTGGCTCATTGCAAATATTTCTATTATTATCCGAATTTCACAGTTGTTATATGCTGCAAACTAGCTGTAAGAGGAGATTTGTTAACTATAGTAGGTGCTCGATCGGCAGCGAGCAGCGCTTTATCAGACAGTATTGCTGGTTTGTGTTCAGGGGCTATCTTCAGTGGTGTGCATATATCTGCATTATTTTGTGCTCGGCTGCTTTTTTCTGCATGTTCTAGTTTGACATCCTCAAACATTGGTACATGAGAGCAAAGTTCTGTGATTTTTTACTATATATGACTGAAGTTTATCTACATGTAAAACATTATTGTGCCTTGGGAATTAATGGCAATGACTTATGCATGACCTTGTTGGGAAAAGTCCCACAGCATCATTATTAGGGCCTTAACAGATATGTTCTGATTCTTTGTGGCCATCACAAAAATTGTTATTAGAGGCTTTCTATAATTATATTCAGAAAGGAAAAAGTTTGCTAGTGTAATCTTTTATTGCATTTGGTCAGTTGCATCGAATAATTGGATTTTTAATGCGGCAGATGTTGGGAACTTGTTATCTTTGTACCTGTTGGGTTTGATTGTTAAGTTAATGACACTCTTAATCAACTCTGCCACTGGAATGCATAATTCTTAATGTTTGTATATAACGTGTTTGAAGTTTCCTGGGATGATTTGGTGAACTTACATTGGTGGTGATAATCAAGTCTATTTACTTTTTAAAGTGAGATATCACCTTTGGAATGCTATACATTAATGTTAGGCCCTAGTCCACGAAGCTGATTGCTGTCCGCAAGCATATTTGAATTACATGTGTGGCTTTAGTGGTTTTAAGAGCATCCTTTGCTAGAAGCCTAGAACTAATTGAAAGTGAAAGATTTTGGACAATGTTCATTAGTCTGATGTTGTTCGCTCTCTTTGGGGTTAGTGAATAGTGAGAGTTCCCCTCTTTCATACCCTTCATTTTCCCCTCTATATTTCCCTTGTATATATGACCCATGGGAATGTTTTTTGTTTGGCATATCATGATATCAACTCACCTGAGCTCACTTTTGCAATGCTATTATTTGCACTCTTTTTTGTTTTACTTATTTCATTATTTTTGCTCCAACTATGTGTACAGTCTTTCATGAAGAAATTAGAAACTTATATTTTTCAGCATTCATGGTCCAGTCTTTCTACAATCACAGGGTACACAGAGAAATGGAATAACTGTGTTACTTTTTTCTAAATGAATGCTAGGAATTTGAGACATTTCAACCTAGTTTGTGAATTTTTTATACATTTTTACTAGAATCAAAAATTTCAGTTTGTGAATTTTTTTTATACATTTTTTATACATGTACACCTAGTTTGTGAATTTCAACCTTTTTTTTATACATGTACACAAATTTCAGTGTGTATCTGCTCACAAAAGTTAGCACATCATGGAATCGAAAAGGTAATAGATCATGCATCATTTATTGGAAAGACTGACAAGTGATTAAGGTTGTAAAGCGTAATATGCAATTTCTTTAATTAGACATCAGAACATGCTGGTAGAGGGGCATTAATTGATATTTTAAGCTTTCTTCTTGTTCTGTTGGATTGCAAGACCATGTTTGTCCCATTAATCTCTGTTGTTGAAATCGTAGACTCTTAATGCTTGTTCTTGTAGGGAGTTTTCTAGGATGGATTTAGGAATTTGATGGTGCTTTTTGTCATCGCTTGTTTATCCCCCCTTTTTTTTTTTTTGAGGGAAGAGTGTCTGGTTGGTAGATGTTAATTTTACACACGTGGATTTGACTTCATCTCTGTTAATAATCTCTTATTGTTTTTTGTTTACATCTCTCTCGTCGTTGAGAACTCTTTGGAATGAGTTAATGAGTATTAGTTGGCATACTGTGGCAATGATTTATTGGTTCCTGGATCTTGATGTCAGTACTTACTTGTTCCCTTTTTCTTCATCCTCAAAAAATTATGATTATAAAGTCAGGTTACCTCAAGAAGACCTGAATGTTTTATACTGAAATTTTCTTGTTGGAGTCCTTCCTTGTTTGTACAGCAACATAGGAAACCAGAAAGGTGGCATAACTTATTAGTTTTGCTAGAAATTAGGTGTGTTTGTCAGTTCCGAGGAGTTGATTTTTTTTATGCAGCCCATTTGATGAACATGTTTTGAGAGATGCATGTTGAGCCTGACAAATCCTTTATTGCATCGATTGGCTCCAGGACTAGCTCTTATATTTATTTGTTCTCTTTATTCTTCTAAAAAACTCCAGTATATTTGTGCATTTGTATTTTTAATTGGATAGCATAAGATATTCGTAGGCAGTTTAAAAAATTTTAATTTCTTTACATGGAGTTCGGTAAGGCCTTGCTTGCATTGAATATATAGGGGAATGGAAAATTTGTTCCCCTTCTGTTTAGTCAATCAGGAATACCTTTGTTGTTTTTCTAAGAGATTCGATCTATGTATTGTAAGTATTGGAAATATGTTTTGTGAAATTTCAATCATTGGGATTTCATTTAGTTTTGTGGAAAGGGAGTTGCTGCCTTCTGAAGATGGAAAATTTTAAACTAGGACATGCCAGGAGGATATATGGTGTTGTCCATCTTTTAGACCGTGAAATCATATGAACAACTTTGAAGATCGTTAAGTTTACAATTATCTGAGCCGCATAAGTTCCTTTCATAATGGAAAAAAAGAAAGAAGAATTTCTGAGCTAGTTTTTCCATCCTTTTTGGTTTTATTGAAAAATAAATACTGAAAATACATGCATCTAGTTTTAGCCTCTGTTATTCAGTGAATTGTGCTATTATATGACTATGTTTAATGTCTGTTTAACTTAGTTGGCTGCTCTTCATTGTTGGAGGAAATACCATTTTCTCCCTCATTGTTTCTAAAAGTTGGCTTTTTACTGCTATGCTGTACTTATTTAAGCTATATGACTCACTTTTACATGCTCATTGATTTTTGTTGAAATCTCAGAAATCTCTCTTTCTATTATATAGTGGCTTGTTAAATTCTAAGCAATGCAACAGAGAGAGAATCCAGTGTTGCAGTTTTACCATCTGATTATGATCTGCGTGATTTAATTCATGTACAGTGTGTTTATGCATTTCCTTTTTCACAGATAATATTTATGTTGAATTTATAATTACAATCTTTTTTTAAGATAAATATGCACTAGCTTTGTTTTTTTATCTTCACATTTCTGTCTTCAATTTTTGGCAAGTGGGGGGTGGGTATTGAAGTTTTCCTTGGCAAAATTTTTTTGCCAGTGTTCTCTTCTTCTTTATCTATTTATTTTTTTAACGTATGAATGTCGATGCCAGTTTTAATTTATCCTCTGATGAAAATTTAAATTATTTGGAGATCCACCAAAAATTATAGAAAATTGTTCCCCCATGATTTTGAGAGAGACTGCACTAAATAATTTCTCTTGAATCTTGATTTTGGGGCTTTCTTCAATTTTTTACGTTGTTTTGAAATTTCACCTCTCTCTCTGTTCTGTAGGATGAGGACACGGGAAATTTGTTAGGACACGAAGCTGATGATGATCAATCCAGCCCTGCAGAGGAACTTGATAAGGTGCTTCTGCTTGAAATGTTGCAATATTTCCTTGTGTATGGTATTAATGCGACTGATTTATCCATTGCAGGAAGAACTCGAGACTGAAATTCCTCTAGAAGTGGTCTCTAGTGAACAGGAACCAGCTAGATCATCTGAAGTCGAGTATAATCAAAACGAGGTAGATCCGAAGGAGCAACAGTACGCCCCTCGTAGGAACTATCAAAACCAAAGAGGTGGTCGCGGCGGCAGTGGAGGTGGTGGCAGGAGGGGATATTCAAATGGTCGGGGTGGTCGAAGCAGCGGCAGAGGAGGTGGTGGTGGGTACCAAAATGGTCGCAGCCAATATTATGACCAGTCGGGAAACTATTATCCAAGAAATTACTATAACAATCGGGGAAGGGGTGGCAGGGGCGGAGGGCACCCTTATAACAATCATGGTTCAGGAGTTCATGGTGGTCATGCCCCAGCGGACGTTGGGGTCCCTTCATGACCTTCATGACATCATTACTCACTGGGGGCGTGGGGGGCGTCTGTTAGGTGTCTGTGTTGCTAGTTTTGTAGGTGGGTGGTCAAAAATTTTATTTTTGGTTGTTTTGCATGAAAAACTTGTTATGAATGTGGGTTACTGTTGATGCATGCACCATACGAAGACACCCTCGTTTTGTAGTTCAGCTAATTTAAGTATTTTCGTCGAAACTTTTTGGGGGAATTTCTTTTTTTTGGCTTAGCTCTAACGCTTTGATTATTGACTGCAAAAATTGGGCCACAGCTTGCGGCAGTGATGCTAACTCTGGTTCAGTTGCGTATTAAAAAAATCATTTGATCAATGGACTCTGCCTTCCAGCTGGGATGCTGGTTGAGTAATTGTTATTCACTGCACCTTTGCTTGCTAGTATGCTTTCTCACGAGAACGTCATTTTTCTTTTTAGATATCAGTTTATCTGGATGTACCTACCTGAAAGGTTTCTTTCCTACTAATTATTCCATTTGCCCTAAAAGAATAATTTATATTGCTAATCTAAGATGCTGAATTAATTATTTATTTATTTTAAACAGAAAATGAAGCAGTTTATACTTTGGAAGTGTTTTTAATTAATATCAGATGAATACAAAATAATATTTGTTCTTATAGGACTCATTGATGACTGGTTCTCGTTAGTCTTAATCCTCTCATCTTATGGTGGATAATCTTGATTTTGGTCCTTTACTCGATTCATGACAGTGAAACTGCTAATTAATGGGTAATACCTAACTATCTTCGTCTAATGTTGCTGTTCCTTTAATAAATAATCTATGAATGTTTTGCCAAACCATTTGGGGGATTTTTTTTTCTGCCTTCTAAGAAGATTAAAAGGAAAACAAAACTTACAGGTGTTAAAAGGATTCCTCTTTCTCCAATTGGAATTTCTTAAAAGGATGGTGTTGTTGCAGTTTTAATTATGGATTTCCTATAGATTTCTAGAGAGAGAACTTCAGAATATGAATTTCCAAGTGGGCTTCTATTCGGTGGACCACGTTCATCAATGGTTACTGTATACATATTGCGAAGATGCCATCCTTTTGGCCCACGAATAAACTTGCCTTCCATTTTCAAGTTCCAACAAATATAAAATATTCACAAAAACATTTTAGCCTGAAATTGAATATGCCATTATTACAATCTTTGATTGGTGAATGAAAAATACACCCATGCGTTCAAAACATTTGGAAGAGTTGACATTTTGTGTTGTTGCATAGGGTTAGAATTTAGGATCCATAGCAGTAAATAACAATCTTCTCACACAAACAACGAATCATGGGAATGTGAAAACCATTCGCTAAATATTAACACGCTACAGATTAAATTTTTTTTGTCCCATCCAATAAAAAAGCAACTTTGGTTATTATTTATTTCAATGAACATATGTTTTATTTATTTACTTTTTGGTGCCTAAAATATGTTTTAATTTTCCTATCGTCCACCAAGTTTTAATATAGTAAATAAAATGTGAGTTTTTTAATAAAATGAAAATTTATGAAACATATTAGCTTTTCAATGTCTCTATTATGATTTCATTCCATTGATGAATGAGTTTTAAAATATTATTTGAAATCGTCAAATTTATCAAATATTTCAAACCTCTCGATTGCTTTTTCAAACGCAAGAATTAATTAGTTTCGTTCGAATTGATGCTGTAATTTTAGCTAATTCAAGAATATGAAATTAATTTGGAAATTTATGGCTATCATCATAAATATTTTTTTCATCGGCTGACTTTACAAAGTTTGTCGAAATAGTGTAAAAAAAGCTCAATTCATCATGTGTTTATGATTTTGCATTACAGTATTTATAATAGCACGATGCTCTGCTTTAGGAACTATTCCATCTCCACTGTTAACAAAATAAAAAAACGGCACATTGGCTTTTCTGTAATTGAAAATTTGTGTGGTGATGGAGACTTGAGAAGTATTGTTGTGAAGAATGTAAGGTAAGCAAGTGGATGTTGAACACATTCACTCCTCCAGTTTCTTAGATTTTTTGGGACCATAGATATAAATATTCCTGCGAAACAAACACCTGCTCTAATAACCACATATAATTATTCATTTCCATTCAGTATAATTTTCTCAAGGCCCACAATGACCCAATACAATATCATACAAATTCCAAATCTTTCAGTTACTGTAAATTAAATTGTTCCTCCATTGACTTTATTATAAGATAATCAGTTCAAATTCCAACCCGAATCTAATTAATAAAAGAAAAAAAAAAACTTTAATTAAATTAATTCTCAAAAACTTTCCATTTTAGTTTCCGACGGTCCATGTATTTTCATGTCACATCTGGAATCATATTCCTTTAGAAAGAAAAACAAATGGAAAATCTCTAAGTTTTCCACCACATTAATCCTTATATAAAGCCATTACTACCAAGTTCTTTCTTCAACTCAACCCATAGCCTTCTTTGATTTGAAATTCAAGCACAGAATGTTTCGCCAAATGAACTCTTTTCAGAGAGCAAGAACAATGCGATCGAGCTTTAGTTTTAATTATAACAAAGGTTTAACAGACACACAGCCATCTGGGATTGTGGAAATACGTTCTGTTGATCAATGGAAAGCTTATTTTGAAGCTACTAAAGGAAACAACAAACTGGTAATTAATTAATTATTTAATAGTAATCTTTATTTGAATGACCATTGATCGTAATTAGTATCGTTTGTTAATTGTCTTTTACGTTTCTGTCGTTGAAGCTGGTGATACAATTCACAGCAACATGGTGTGGACCTTGTCGACTCATCGATCCCGCCATTAAAGAGTTTGCTGCTAAGTATAAAGATGTTGATTTTATAAAAATAGATGTCGACAAGTTATTTGTAAGTAAAGTCTCTCTTCTGGTAAATTATATCTGTGTCTCTTGACAAGCTATGGATGATATTAACAATGGTGAATGGAAATTAACAGTTGGTGGCTCAGCAATTCGAGGCGAACACATTGCCAGCTTTTGTGCTCATCAAGAAAGGGAAAGAAGTTGATAAAATAGTAGGAGTCAAAAAGATTGAACTGCAGAACAAGATTGAGCAGCTCAGGATTTGAGATTTAACTGATGAAGCATATATAAAGCTATTACTGGACTGATGGAGAAGCAGAGCTCATCTGAAGGAGATAAATAAGGCAAAGATACCAGCCTCCTACTGACCGACCTGCTCAATATTTTTTGAAGTTTTGATGGTTAATTTACGTGAAAGCAATTATTTGCTTTGTTTTTCAAATATAATATGTTACATATAAAACGTCACATCAAAATAATAATATTTTGACATACGTAGCTGTGTTTATGCTCATTGTGAAGAATTATTACCAAGTGGGTTCCAAGAAAAGAAAAGAAAAGAAAATAGGGGGCAATTGATTTTACAAACACAGAGCCCACTTGCTCTGGTACTTACCAATGATTTCTTCTGCATAAAACCAAGACAATTTGAAGGATAGAAAGAAAATGGTAGGCCTCTTGCTTGGAGGTTATTTCATTCTATCCAGCAAGCAAGGCCAGGCCACAGCTCAATCTGCCAATCAAATACATACAAATTGCAGATATGGAATACACAAAGAAAATCAAACAAGATGTACTAAATAACTATTGATATACTACCTGATAAACTACATAACCAAAAATTGAACATTAAGAATTCAGATGAAACCCTTCAATGCATTGATATTAAATTTCAACATTTCCAAAATACATGATGTTGAGGAGTTTTTCCCTCTTTAACTTCAAAGCAATGAAGATTTTATAAAATTAGATAACTAGTATACAAATTTTAAATTAGGAGTCATCTTGTGGCAGCTACTGACAGTAGATATTCATATTTTTCTTCCCATCCCATGCCACATTAACCAACAATATTGCTTAATTAAAATTGCTTCTCACTTTCTTCCTACTATGCACAATCTTGATGATCTAGAACAGTGGAAAATGTAAAAGTATTTACATTAAAATAATTAACTTACATGAATAATAATTAGTGTGGATAGATGATCAGCAAAACCAAAAGCTCACTCCGACTCTGATAAACTAAGTATCGATACTGCCCAGAACCCTCTTAAGATCAGATTTCTGTTCTGCTGTAAGTCTTGATGGAAATCCAACATCAAATTTGATTCTAAGATTTCCTTTCTTGTGTGGTTCTTTTGAAATAGGCATTCCTTCATTTGGAATGACAATCTCAGTACCAGGTTTGATGATATCAGTTACTGGAATTGTGAGATACCTTCCATCTAAGGTTGTCAAATCAAAAGTCTTCCCTGTAAGGGCTTCAAGTAATGAGATTTTCTTATTGACAACAAGATCATTACCATCTCTTTTGAAAACAGCATGAGGTTTCTCATCCACTACGAAGATCAGATCAGCTGGAATAACACCAGGTTCTTGATTGCCCTTTTCTGGGAAAGTAATTTTTGTGCCTTTCTTCCACCCTGGTTTTATATCAATCTTCAAGATTTCTTCAACAGTCTTTGCCTTACTACAAAAGAATTACTTCTAATTGAAGAAAATTTACTAAAATTCAAGAATTCCGATAAAATCAATATAAACAACGGAATCACTGAAATTTGAAGTCGCATTGTTAAATGAAAATCAAACTTAAACGCAAATGCAAATCCCAAAAAATTATATCTATACGATGATTATATAAACATTCAATGCTTCGGGCTCCCTAAGTGTTCAATTCAGCTAATAAACTAGTTCTATTTGACAAATTAACTATAATTAGAACCACAGAACAAGAAAAAAAATTGAAGAACTGACCCGAAATCATCAGGAACAGAACGCGAAATCCTCATCTTTCTTCTGGCTCCTTTATAAAGCTCCTCCAAACTACAAATCAATTTACTTTCAACCGCAGCTGCCTTCTTGTACCCTTGGTTCCCCGTCTCTCCATTTCTGTAAAACCCACTCTTGCCACTCTCACCACCAGCGGCGCCGCCAGATCCACCAAAAATTTCGTTGAAAATGTCGTCCGCATCTCGAGCATTGAACCGGAACGTGGTATTCGGCGTCGTCGTGGACGTCTTTCCATCATCACCAGGACCACCAAATTCAAACGACTTAAGCCCTTCTTCTCCATAAAGATCATAGATCTGACGCTTTTGAGGGTCACTAAGGACATCATAAGCTTCAGAAATTTGCTTGAACTTAGCTTCAGCTTCTTTTTTGTTAACCGGATTCTTATCGGGATGCCATTTCATCGCCAGCCTCTTATACGACCTTTTGAGGTCATCGTCGGTTGCTTTCCGGTTAACTTTCAGTAGATTGTAGTAATCAACACCCATTCTTTTTCTTGTTTGTTTGCTCTAGAATGGGAGTGGGTTTTAAGAATTAAATTGGTGAAATTGTCGGCTTCGAGAAAATTCTATAATAAACAGAGACGGAGATGGAGACGGAGACGGACAGAGAAAGCGGCGCGTCGGGCGGTGGAAAAATAGCGAGTCAAGCAAAAATGTGCGAGTAGCAGTGATCACGGTTTTGATAACGCGTTCATGGACTGGAACTGATATTTTTAAAATAGGTAATGTTGGCGTGACAGGTACTTTGCTGAGATTGATTTCTGACAGTCATTCAGAGTAAAGGACAAATCATCTAACTAATGCTAATTATGAGACTAATCAGTAACTGTAATTTTTTCACTAATATCTCATTGCCTTAATCACCTTATCGCGTACCTTACTATACCAAAAGAGATTTATTTATAATTAATTTTTAGCTATTTTATAAATGGATCAAATGCATTTAATATATATATATATATATAAATGAATTGCCTTAATTATTTTTTATGGTTATATCATTTTATTAATAACTTGCATCTATATAAATATATTTAAAAAATAGATTATATTTTTTTATTAATTATCAATCAATTAATCTGAAGTGAATTCGATATTTATAATGCTTTTAAAAATTAAATTAAAATATTTATTAGAATATTTGTAAAATGATACTTTTTTTTTTATTCCACAAAGATGTCTTACATTCTAAAAAATAATGACACTGCTTTTAACTCATAATTTTTGTCGGATTTGAATACTATAGGGCCTATAGAGGGACGGAGAAGAGCCTTAACCATTCTATTCCTACCAATATTAGTACTATATATCATTATATTAATTTCATTAAAATTAAATAATTTATATGCTTGTTATTAAAATTTTTCAAAATATGCTTGTTTATCTAACAATTAATGCAAGTGAAAGATTAAATATTAATATTTTAATTTATTTATATCAAGATTTAATTATTGATAATATAGTAGTTTGATTGATATATTTATTTAAAAAATATTTTAAATAAGATTAAAATAATAAATTATTCACTTAAAATAAGATAATAATAGCTGAGAGATAAAAAAATAAAAAAAGAAAATTTTGAGGCGGAAGGGTATATAATTTAAAATAAACTAAGAAAAAGCAAGTGTATTTTTTTCTCTCATCATTGAAACAAATTGTTGGCCGAGTGCATGAGTTACGTGAAGCAAATCTTTCTTTTATGTGCAAATAAAGTTTGTAATTAATAAAAAAAAAAGCAATTAACTCTCGATTAATGAAGGTATTGGGTGACAGGCCCGTCGGATTATCAAAAAGGCGTTTGTGTTGATAATTTAATATTTAAAAAAAAAAAAAAAAAAAGTTTGTAATTAATAAAAAAAAAGCCAATTAACTCGTCCGATTAATGAAGGGTTATTGGGTACCGCGTGGCGGAATTGGTATCAAACACCAAGAGTCGTTGCTGCGTTGACTAACCTCTGTAACCTATGTATAGATAGTATAAAGAATAGAGAGGAACATAGAACGCTCTGAAATGCTATTGACGCGGGAACGGTGAACCCTCGCGCTCATCTATTACACTGTGAACCTCTTCACTGTGTCATGGCCTCAGACGCAACTCTCTGGTCTCGCGATAGATAGCGTATCCGTCGCAAGGTCGAAAGGGATTGAGGTGGCCCGGAATTGAGATAATTCGATTACGTAATACAAAAGCCCCGCCAAAACGAACATCGTTCCTTTTCCATTGTCATGGTTGATTCAATCGCCCCACCACCCACCTGCTCACATTAATAAAAAAAAAAAAAAAAAAAGAACGTGCAGTGAATTAACCGGTGACAGTGGTATCTTATTTGTCAAGCGTTTCGTTGTTTGGCACTGCGACAGAATCTGGTATGGCGTCGCAAGTCGAAAGGATGAGGTGGCCGATTGAATAATTCGATTACGTAATACAAAGCCCCCCAAAACGACATCGTCCTTTCCATGTATGTTGATTCAATCGCCCCCACCACCCACCTGCTCACATTAATTAATATTATTATTAATTAAAATAAAAACAAATCATTAGGATGGAGCATTGGCATCATCAGATCAAAGACGTTAAGACCATGTTGGTGAGGATTTTTGGTTAATTAAGCTTGTAGTTAAGGAGTTGTTTAATTAAGCTCTCTAATCTTAAATTCTTAATCCAACATAACAAGCAATGGAGGGTTGAGAAGGGAATGGTAGAAACATTTTAAGTAGAGTGCACGTGAATTATTATTTATTTATTTATTTATTAAATTAAAGTGGAGGTAACATGCCTCCACCAAATTTTGTTGACACAAACAAAACACCGACTGCCTAATTATCTCCTTAATTATCACATTTAAGCTCTAATTCTGTGTTTATTGCATATTTTAATACATAGAATAACCATGCTTTATTCAATATTATAGTTAGGTTGGGAGATTAGAAAGGGAAGACGCGGAATCCTCCAATGTAATGTAGCTGCCATTGCGGGAGTTTTGTTATAGTTTATGTCCATCTCGCCTAAATTTGTAATCTCTCCGTTTTTTATTTAAAGTGTTCGATCTATTTTTATTTATATATATGTGCAATTTATTTATAAGAATATTTATTTTTAAAATTTATACATAAATTCTGTTCAATTCAATTTAGGTAGTTTTGAGTTTTGATATCAAAATCATAACCGAATCAAAATTTCAATTCTTTATATTTTTCAAACTAAACAAAATAAATAATTTTTCAAAATTTATAATTTTGGATTCGTTTTCGTGATTTACGGTGGTTGGTGAATTCTCTTAACTGTAATTCAAAGAGATTAAACTAGCATGGGTATTTTCGACTTTTCGAGACTTGCGTCTATCTGCTTATCGTTTTATGCAATTCAACCATGGCAGAAGCAAATATTAAAAAACAAACTCAACAGCCCATAGCCTCTGTTATAGTAAAGCTCTGTTTAAAAATGGCTTCGGCAATCATCCCAAGCCCATCTCCTATTATTCTTTCCAAGCCCAACTCAGCAAACCAACATTGCCATCTTCTTTCCTGCTTGAATGAGTGCAGAGACATGTCACGGCTCAAGCAAATACACGCTCAAACTCTGCGCTCTACATTGCCTGACCAACCAGACACTCTCTTTGTTTATAGTCGAATCCTCCATTTCTCTGCCTTCAACGACCTTGACTACGCCTATCGAGTATTCGATGGAATTGAAAACCCAAATTCATTTATGTGGAACACTCTCATTAGAGCCTGTGCGCGAAGCTCTGATAGTAAAGCAGCAGCCTTCTTGCTGTATAGAAGAATGCTAGAGCAAGAAACTGTGTTGCCTGATAAGCATACGTTCCCTTTCGTTTTAAAGGCTTGTGCTTACTTGTTTGCTTTATATGAAGGGAAACAAGCACATGCCCAGATGTTAAAACTTGGGTTTGAGTCTGATGTTTATGTAAATAACAGTTTGATTCATTTCTATGCTTCTTGCGGTTGTTTGGAGTCAGCACAGAATGTGTTTGATAAAATGCCGAAGAGAAGTGTGGTTTCTTGGAATGCTATGATTGATGCGCTTGTTCAGTTTGGAGAGTTTGAAACTGCGTTGAAACTGTTTGTTCAGTTGCAGGATTTGTTTGAGCCTGATTGGTATACAATGCAGAGTGTTCTAAATGCTTGTGCTGGTTTATGTGCATTGTCTTTGGGGATGTGGGCTCATGCTTATGTATTGAGAAACTTCGATGTTGATGTAGCTAATGATGTTTTGGTTAACAATTGTTTGCTAGATATGTATTGCAAATGTGGGTCATTGGATATTGCTTTACAGGTGTTTGAAAGGATGCATAGGCGTGATTTAACTTCATGGAATTCTATTATTCTTGGATTTGCTATGCATGGAAAGGCTGAACTAGCTTTAGAATATTTTGATCTTATGGTTAGGACATGGAAGCTGGTGCCAAATTCTATCACCTTTGTTGGTGTTTTAAGTGCTTGTAATCGCAGGTGTATGGTAAATGAGGGTAAAAAGTATTTTGAGATGATGATTGCAGAGTATAAGATTGAACCTCAACTAGAGCACTATGGATGCCTAGTTGATATTCTGGCTCGTGCTGGTTTGATTGATGAAGCATTGAATTTGGTATCAAACATGCCTATGAAACCTGATGCTGTTATATGGAGGAGTCTTCTTGATTCTTGTTGTAAGAAGAATGCAAGTATTGAGGTAAGCGAAGAAATGGCAAGGCAGGTTCTCGAGTCAAAAGGAGGGGATTGCAGTGGCGTCTATGTTCTCTTATCAAGAGTTTATGCATCGGCTAGCCGATGGAATGATGTTGGCTTGGTGAGAAAATTGATGACTGATAGAGGAGTAACAAAAGAACCTGGATGTAGTTTGATAGAGATAGAAGGTGTTACACACGAATTTTTCGCTGGTGACACTTCTCATCCTCGAACGGGAGAAATCTATCAGTTCTTGGATTTGATTGAAGAAAAACTAAAGTCAGTAGGGTATACGCCTGACTATTCACAAGCACCTATGGTTGACGAGTTGAATGAAGGCAAGCAAAGAACTCTGAGGGTACATAGTGAAAGACTTGCTATTGCTTTGGGGCTTTTAAGCTTGAAACCAGGAATGCCAATACGAGTATTCAAGAATCTTCAGGTTTGCAGCGACTGCCATGAGGTCAGTAAATTAATCTCTAAAATCTTTAATGTGGAGATTATCATGAGAGATCGTGTTCGATTTCATCACTTTAAAGATGGCTCCTGTTCATGCATGGATTATTGGTGATCAGTTTGATCAGTTAAGCTATTAAAAGTCTCCCCTGCCCAAAATATACTGACTGGTCCTTGTGATTAGGAACCAGTGATTGTTAATCACAACTAGCTCTGCATGTGCATATTGCTGTACATCAACTTCAGATTGATATTTATGTTTCCAAGTGGTTAGATTGAAGAGAGTTTAATTTCCCAATTAAACCTTTTTAATTTGATCTCTGTTAGTAGAATAGAATTGTAACCACTTTAAGAATGAGAAGTAACTGTAAACACAGAAGGGGAAAGGGGAAAAAAAAAAGAATAAACCAAAATTTTCCAGGAAAGGCCCGACCTCTATGAGCTGAGGAAATTGAATATTATTTATTATTAAAAAGGCTATCCGTTTGTGGTATTTATAGGTGCATACATGCACCGTGATTTTTTAATTATGAGAACAGTGGAGACACGGTGATAAAATCATCATGAGATGGAACCATTATTGGAGCGCATCATTCTTACGGGTCAACTACTTCCAACAAGCAAGCGCACACGAGATAATTATTGTTGAAGTGGGACCCACGGTTTGGCCTTTTGAGATGGGCATCACCGTCAATTGCAATCTCCCACCGCAGTGTTTTTTTGCCCCCCCGGTGCACAGTACAACAACACTTTGAAAGACTTACCCACCCACTGTATACACACACAATAAATCAAACTACGATAATCAGTATAAAAAAAATGTAGATATTTTTTGAACAAAAAAAAAAAAACAGAAAATGATAATTATAGTAACAACAAAGCGATTATTTTTTTTAATGATAATTAGCTATTGTGTGCGTAAGAATAGGTCAATATTTTACCAAGAACATGGGCATTCAGTATAAGCTGAGATCTAGCTATCAAATCAAATTTCACAAGTGCCAAGTGCCAGTGGATAAAACGCAAATTACAAATATCACATGCATCTAAAGTTCTACAGTAAAATCTCTATTTCCCGTCAATCCGAGCCTTGTGAAACAGGCTATAAAACATAGTTGCAGAGTTACTGGGGTAATAATGCTGTGCTAGAAATAGTTGTGTAGCCGCCACCAATAAAGAAAAAGAAAAAAATATATATATGTATAGCTTGCTGATTCAAAATCCATGCAAAATCAATTCTACAAGCTCCCAAGATAAAAGACATGGACCCTGAGACATCATCAAACCATACAATTTTTGACATAAAATTGATGCGACAAAAATTTACAACAAAAATTGATCAATGAAGCTATAAAGAAATGATATTATAGTTATGTTCCAAGTAAATTGTGGAGCATTACTGATGGCAAGAAGCATGAGCACTGCATTGACCATCTGCGGTTGCAATAACACTTGCGATAATAGCATTACTCTGCCAAGATTGTTTAATTTTCTTCTGTTCTAAAACCATAGGACGAAGATATTGTTCAATGTTGATAGATTCAAGTGCTTTGAAGTAGATGACAAGAGAACTGAATAGATAGAATATACAGATGATGTAGTTCTGGAGACATGCTAACAAAACTTTTATGTCCATCCATGGTATGTTATTGTTTTGCAAATTCTCTTGCAACTGATACAGCAGGAAAGGAAAAAACAAGTCAAAAAAAATTTCCAGGGAAAAAAAAGGAGTAAGATAATAATGTCTGCAAGCGGGAATTCAAAGTCAATGATAGACTAAGTTGTTATTGCAAATAGAACAATTAGATGCAGTATATATATATATATATATACAAAAAAAATGGAGTAAGATATAATGTCTGGCAGCGGAATTCAAAGTCAATGATAGGACTAAGTTGTTATTGCAAATAGAAACAATTAGGATGCAGTATATATATATAATACTATATATATTTATATAATATATTAATTATTGAGCAAATAGAACAATTATCGTGTTCATCTACACATCAAAAGGGAAAAACGTATATATATATATTAATATTGCAAATAGAACAATTATCGTGTTCATCTAGCACACAAAAGGAAAAACGTAGATTTTTCCTGCATTTACACCAAATGGAAATGCTGTTAAGTCATTGCATTTGTACTATATAACTAACCATGAAGTTCCTATGCTATATTTAAGTAAATTTGTCACTAGAGTGAGTAAAATAATCATTTGAATGGCATAAGCACACTATTCTACTTTCTTGGCATAAGAGCACAAGATTCTACTTCTCCAAATTGATAAAATAAGGACTCATGAATGTGTTCCTTAAAACTAAACTTAATAAAATTCAAACGGGTAGAGCTAGCAAACTTACCACATGCTTTGTGCTTAAAAACTAAACCTCTAATCTACAATAAGCAAATATGTCTTGCAGAGGTAAATACAAACACAAACAATTATAAAAGCTGGAATTGTTTTTAAAGTAAATACCAGAATGTATCAATATATAGCTAATCAAAATTAACAACCAAACACAAGCAACAGCATATGAGATATGAACATTTCTCTACGCAAATTTGTAAAAACTAGAATACGCTATTAATTACCCAGAGTAGCATAACTGGATAAATACACCATAAAAATTAAACAAAGTTATAGCAAAAGCTTACCTTTGGATGAAGACTGAACTACAATAACATGCATATCAGTATTATTTGGAGGAAGCCGCAATCGAAGGGGATAAAGCTTTCCATTCAAAGGACTACGAGAACACACAATAATATCCTCAAGACCAATCTCTTCTCTTAATTTTTGAGTCAACTCATCAACCCCATTTCCCTTAAAATGCAAAGAATAAACTTCCCCTAGATCATCATCAAAATTGCCACTCTCATCAGCCACGTGGTAGTATATAGTTCTTCCTTCCGATTTCGGAGGCGAACTCACACTAGACTCAGTCGACTGCATAATTAAATACCAAAACAAAATATCAAAAATTTGAACTTAATTTGTTCAGTAATTTACTGACAACAATAAGAAAAAGTTACAGATCCAAACCTCCTGTCTCGAAAAAGTGCCAGATTTGATAGAAACTGAGGAAGGCGAACTGGATTCGAAATCCAAAGAATCGGAATGCAAAATAGGTTGGGGCTCCGATTTGTCTTGACGAGTAGACTTAACTTGAATCTCAACGATATCAACATCCCAAAGGATCCAATCCTGTGTAGCAGTCCTATGAGGAATATCATGAGTCACAGAATTCCTCCAAGGCGGAAGACCTCCATTAGCTCTCAAGAAGTTACCATATCGGGTCTTAAGCTTGACCCGAGCCCCTTCTCTGATAGGTTCCCACTCGACAGACGAATCAAGCCTTCTAGGCAAAGTCTGCAGGACCTTGCGACCAGTCATGCCTAGAAGAAAAGGCTGGTTAGAGGCAGTAAGGTATTTCCCATAGCAAGACTTGAGACGGATTATGGAGTCGGATCCGGGTACAGGCTCGACGGTCCATCTAGCATTCTTGGAAGATCCATTTCGGTCTTGATCAACGGTTTCTTCATCTTCTTCGGCGTGGAGGTACTTGTCATGGTGGCTACGGAGACGCACAGCCTTGGCGTTGGTGAAGAATTCCATACCTGACCGGAACTGGTTAGAGTTGGTCTGCGAAAGCGAAGGCAGATAAGAGAAGAGACTTTAAGACGACAAGAGAGTTAAAAAAAGCTTTAAAAAGATACGTTTCTTTTTTTAGGTTTTCTTTTTCTTCTTCTGTGGATATTCACATGTGAAGGCTGAAGGGGCTTGAGGTATTTATATATCCAGGAAAGTGATTGGATGTTACTTGTTAGTGAGGTGGTGGTCAGCACCAGCAGGCAGCAGGGCAAGCCACAGTTGAAAGTGAGAACGCGGGAGGTGATTTGGACACGATTATTAAGGAATATCCTATTCTGAAACGTGTCGTCTGAGTTGTACTAATACTTTCAACTTTTCAGACAGATGGGTAATTTACAGTTTTAACCTTGTGGAATTGAATTAGAATAAGAGTATCCCCAGTTGTAGACTCTTTTACTTTTTCCATTTTTTTTTTAAAATGTTTTCTCTCTTGAATGAGTCATGCATAATGTGCCACAGTTTGATTTTTATCTTTAAATGTGATTTTTTTTAATATTAAAAAAAGTAAGCGTGTTCTCTTCTCTGAATCTTCTTTTCATAAACAGTGACAAACTGATAATAACTCTGATGAAATAAACAAATACTAATTAGTTGTTTTCACATAATAATTAAAGATAAAATCATAAACACGATAAAAAAACGATGCCATCATTTTAGCAGAAATTACTATTTTGTTGCTTACTACAGTTGTTTTAGCCTTTTAGGTTCCAATGATTATGACTTTACCAGTAATTAAAACTTGCGTATACAATCTATATATTACTATATATTAACACACGCACAAAACAAAAAGGAAATTAAAATTTCTTAACGGTTTTTTTCACGTGAACATACACTAAAGATAATCTGTTAGGCTTAAAATCAAACCGATATAATAAAAATTGATCAAAATCAATTGGTTTAATTTCCCTTCTGAAGAAATATTAGTTTCCATTTTCTTTTGATTCGGTTCCATTTGAATCGAACCATATGTCCTACTCATCCTATCGAAAGGTATCAATTTTGAATTTTTTTCAAGTAAAAGAGTTTTTATATTTCAATCCATTAAATCTCGTGTTTAGTAACCGAATACCTCCTATATGTATCCACATAAATTTGCCATTTATGTAGATTTGACAGATGTAATACCAACAAAAGATAGAAAGCACTAGAAACTTAACCCAACTCACCGTGTACCTATAGTGCTCTAAGGTTGGTAAGGCAAGGCAATTTGCCGTTCAAACTTTGGAGTATCAATTATTTGATAATCAAGTGGAAATGTGAACATTTCATTGCAGGCCTTGTTTGAACTAAACTACACTGTCACTTCATTTCTTTTCTTTCCTTTCCTTCTCTTATGATGTTATCTTAACTATAAACAGTACTCTTAATTTGGTCCTAGCACCAAACAAACAACATAGACAGAGACAAAAGCCAAAATATGTGATTCTAAAGATAATAATAAAGGGTAATTAGGGCATATCGTACACGCAATTTCTTTCTTTCTATCTTTCTTGTTAATACAGGTTGTCTACGATTGTTCTTATGACCAACATTCTTTCTCGCTTATATTACCTAAAAGATGAATTTTAATTATATTACCTAAAAGATTAATTTATTTACTACCAAATTAGTCATATCTTTCCAAGTTTTTCTTTTCATAATCATTGTATACATGAATTTTAATTCAATAATCATTAATTACTTACTTTCTATTAAATTTTGAAAAATAAAAATTTCCTTGCTTACCTTGCTTGGTGATAATCTTGGAGACATTGACTTAACGACAGTCAATCTTGGCGTCCTCGCCGATGACACCACCGATATCGGTGATCCCGGTTCCGATCCCAAATACTCATCCGAAGCCGCTTCAAGAAGATCTTCAGGAACTGAAGAAAAACTAGACATAGACGATAAATACTCCGCCAACGACTCCGTTTCACTTACTTCTACTGCCTCCACATCCCAAAGAATCCACCTCACCGTCGAACCAGTTTGCGGCTCGTCGTGAGTCACGGAGTTTCTCCACGGCGGGGTTCCTCCGTTGGCGCGCAAAAACTTCCCGCACCAACTTTGTAGTTTCACCTGAAACCCGTCTCTTATAGGCTCCCACTGGAATTTCCAATCGGTGATCTTTTCTGGCACAGTTTGGATTACTCTTTTTCCGGTCATACCTAAAAGAAAGTGTAAATCGGAAGCGGTGAGGTACCTGCCGTCGTATGTTCTGAGACGAATAACTTCTTTTTTGCCTTCTACGAACTCCACAAACCATTTTGCTTTACGAGACGAGCCGTTTTTGCTTTGACGGACAGATTCTCCGTTGTCGTCGGCGACGAGGTATTTATCGAGATGGCTACGGAGCTTAACTGCCTTTGTTTTCGTAAATAACTCCATCAACTGCCAGAACTAACCTTAACTGATTAGAGAGATTGTTTTAGTTTGGAGTAATTAAATTTGAGATGGTTTATAAAAGGGTTTCTCTTATTTATATATATCAAGTCTGTGCATGACTAAGGAAGGTGAGGAGAAAATGAGGTAATATAGTGTTTAATTAAACTAATTAATTATGATTAAAAAGGTTAACTGTGTTGGTATTTTCTTGTGTTTATTCCTAATTAATGCTTACTCGTTTTAATTTTGTTTATCTTAGCATATAAGGTTTCTAGAGCGGAAGACGAAATTCCTATTATGACTTGTACTTGGGTTGACGAAGAAAGTTCTGGATGGCATTAACAATTTATAAGGATAAGGAAGTGTATTTTTCTAAATATAAGAATAAATTAATAATTTATAACAAAATACTGATTTTCGCACTTTATTACTTTTTTAGTGCATATTTTTATTTTAAAAATTGTAAAATTAGATACTTCATGATTCTGATATAGTTTTAGTTTGCATTTCTTTTTGTATAAATTAATAGTAAGAATGAATCAAATTAATAAATCAATATTTAAAATTAATGTGGTGTTATATATACAAATGCATACGTCGATGGGAAGAAAGGGAAGAGCTTCAGCATAAATTTATTTATTTATTCATAAAACAAAGTGGAAAGAGACAAAAGAATTGGCCTCTACTATTGGAATTGACTTTGACTTGTAATTGAAGATCATGCAACGCAACAATGACTTTTTTTCTCAAGGAAACACAAAGTATGAATTTCATCCGCAAATGGAATTATATTATAATCTTCGTTCACCAATTCTGTCCGCTGGCACTGATTCACATTGAGTGATGCAATTTTCTTCATACATATGTTAAAAACTTAAAATGGTTTATCCTCCAAAAAAAACAAAAATGGTTAAAATTGTTTAGTTTGTCAGCTGGAATTTGGAACTCTGGTAGTGAATGCACCCACTTGTCCACCAACAGAATTGATGGAGGAAAATTTTTTTCTAACACTAAAATAATGCATTTCATACTTTAAATATATAAACTTCTCTAAAAACATAAATTTTATGTACATGCGAGTCAAAATGGTGGTTTCTTTTATTATAATATAAATTTTAATAGCAATAATATTTTTTTTCATAACAATAATAGATTAGAAAACTATGCTATTATATAACAGAATTAAACTTTACAGTCATGCTAAGAAAGGTTTTGCAGCATTCCCTCTCTTCTTAGCTAAACGATCTATTAACAAATTTAAAATCTACTTGGACCAAAGACCATGGCAAATTATCAAAATTGTTAAAACCATATGGGAAAGAAAGTTTGTTAAATCTTCTTATTTATATATTTGTATTTTGTAGTGAAAGAGTGGTTCTTCTATGTGATAATTTTGTTGCCATCAAACTTGAAAAATGGGAAAAGAAAGTTGTAGTGATGGTTGAGTCGAAGCACTTTCTCTGTGATGTGTTTTGGCGCATTGGCAGACTTTTTCTTAGTGGATGGATGCATTTCATTTCAAGCAAGTAAAGTTGTGAAATAATTCGATTCAAGTTGCCTTTTTCTGATTTGGGTTTCAAATATATTTGTAATTTCTTTATTAATAACTTTAATATGATTTTTTGTTCTACCCATTTGATAATTTTTAAGATATTTGGAGTGCTAAGAAAAATTAATTAGTGAATGAAAAATATTCTCTTGATAATTTTTTTTTAAATAAACAACTTTACATTTTTATCATATATAATCTTATTAAAACGTATTTATTAAAATTAATTCATAATATTTTTAGTCTTGTAAATTACGTTTAATTAATTTTCAGTATTGTAATTAAACAAGAAGGAAAATATTTTCTAAAGACAAATCATTTTCCGAAAACAAAGAAAGTGTTAATTTCAAATTAATTAAAATTTACTATATAAAGTGTTGATTCAGCTCTGTGATCGTAGCTAACTTCGCAGACAAAATCATAATCTCTACGCTTACAACTTTTGTAAAGGTTGCGTAGATGTCAAAATGATTAGTCCCCAATACGTATTATGGTTCGTATTATCCTTAGTAAATAAAAAAAAATTTATTTTATCCAAATATTATCCTTAGTAAATAAATCTATTATTAATTTATAATAGCTTTATTGTACCTATTAATAATCTACATATGCTTCCAAGAAGAGAATATCTATATAATCTACAACATATATATGAAAGTTAAGGATTTCAATAGCTAAGGTAAAAATCTTACACGTGACACGTGTACAGAAAATCTAATCTTTTAATGAGACTAAAATTATTAAACTACTTAATTGTCAACATTAAATGAAAATGAATAGTTAATTATTTTCATCAGATTAAGAAATATTTTCAGTTTTCTCATGAGTTAAATAATAATTAGTTATTAAATTATGTTCTGTGAAGTATTACATGTCTATTCCATCTGGCAGGCCATTAACAATATTCAAGGGGAGCATTTGGGCTTGGATAAAGCTAGCAAAGTCCAGAATTGTTCATTAAATGAACCAAACTCCAAAAGAGCCCAAAAAGAATTAGGCGACAGCACTTATGGTCGTTTGGCGGTTGGACTGAGTGCAGGTCCAATCACTGTCGTTCCTTTGCTTTGAGTCAACGCACGTTAAGGACTTAAAATTAATATTTAAAGGCAAGTGCATGTGCCATTTCCCCCTCAACGACACCAAAGAAAAAGAAACATTTTTCATTGAACGTTTAAAATGGAATGGGTGGGGCCACCATTTAAATAGTGAAACCCTTTCTCTATTAACCATTACGGACCACACAGGAAACTAAAGTTTCTAGATGTTCTAATTCAACGTACGACTAACGTTACAACGAAGAGGTAATGGATTATTTTTGGGTATTAAATTGCAGTTATTTAAAATCAATCAATTTAATGATTTTGCGAAGACTTCGGACCCCCAAGGTCCCCTGTAGGTCACCTACCATCATTCTCTGAATGAAATGTAAAAATTACTCTGTTTGTCTACAAATATAATTTTTATTGTCTATAAGTGTAAGAAATTTTCATAATATTAAAAAATAATTAATGACGTTTTTCAGTATATACATACAGATTGCATAATTATCTATTCACATAGATAACAGTTATCTCTAGTTTTAAATTTTAAATTAATTTTTAATAATAGAAAATCAATTAAGATTGTACGAGATTAGATACGTCGGTGTTGGCTGTTAATTTCCTTTAACAAATTTATGTTGACGGATCGATCCATTGATTTATAGTTGGGTTCGGATCCAAAATGTAAATTTATTTAAGAAATGTGTAAACGCTGACTGAAAATAAAGAACAAAGTGATGTAAAATGCAAAAGCAAGACACATTAAAAATACAAAAGAAAAAGCAAGGGGCCAAGATTTCCAGTTTTTCCACCAATCTGACCCCTTCTCTGCCTCTTTCTCACCTCTTTCCTAGTCGTTTTTGTCTTCACTCATCTTCTCTTCACGTGACCTCCTTCCTCGAGTTCCTCTTTCTCCTCCCTCTCCGTGCAAAACTCAGCTCCAATATCCTAGGCAGCCACACTCAAGTATCACCATCTCAAATCAACATTCATTTCTCTCTTCATTTTTCCTTCAATGCCTCAACCACCACCACCGCCGCAGCCACCGCCTTACTTGTTCTTTGTGCTCTGTTTTTTTAATATCGTTTTTGCAGGTGGTGATGCATGTACTTTGAGTTCGAATGAAATTCCCAGATCCTCATGTCCTCCATTTTCATCCACTCCTCCTTTTCCTTTCTCTATATCGCCTGGCTGTGGTCATCCTTCTTTTCAACTAAAATGCTCTTTACCTTACTCTACTATCTCCATTAACGACTTTTCTTTCTCTGTTATTGAATTTGAACCCAACTCTTCCTCTCTCACTCTCTCTCCTCAAACCCATCATTCTTTTACATCTACAGAAACTACAACTAACAGTAATTGCTCTTCTCTTTCAATTCCTACCCGTTCGATCAATCTCTCTGGTTCTCCATTTCGATTCTCCGATTCTGATTGTTCCCGTCTCTCTGTTGTTCGCTCTTGTTCCCCCCTGAATCTTCCCAATTGCAGCCATTGTTCATGGGAATGCAAACTTATTAAGAACCCAGTTCAGCTTCTCCATGGTTGCGGATCTAGTCATCTACCTATTTCTGAGCAAGGTTGCCAGCCGAACATTTTAGAGTATCTTGACCAGTTTCTAACAGTTGGGCTTCATGTTGAATACGATGAATCTCAAGATTCTTACTTTTCTAGTTGCAGAGTGTGTAAATCCAAGAATGGTATCTGTGGGTTCAATTCTTCAGACCCGGATAAGCGATTCCTCTGTTTTCTGCCTAAATCGCGATTCTCGCCTCCATGGATTCACGAAGATGATGCAAATCGAATCGCGATATTATGTTCAATCTTCACGGTATTATGCTTATTGCTTGCCGTTCTAGTTATTGCAGCTATTTACAGGTCTAAGCGTCTAAGAGCATTAGCCTCGGAAGAAGACCCAACAATACTATTCCTTCACCGCCACCGCTCCGCGAGTCTACTTCCACCTGTATTCACCTACGAGGAACTTGAATCTTCAACAAATCGGTTCGACCCAAAGCGAAAGATTGGCGACGGCGGTTTCGGGTCTGTGTACTTAGGCCACCTCTACGATGGCAGAGTTGTGGCTGTTAAATACCTCCATAAACAGCAACACCACCACGCGGCAGCTGCAGGCAAAGCATTCTCTACCAAGTCATTCTGCAATGAAATCCTGATATTATCTTCAATAGATCATCCAAATCTGGTCAAGCTCTACGGGTACTGCAGCGACCCGAGAGGTCTACTTCTAGTATATGACTATGTCCCGAATGGCACTCTCGCTGACCATCTGCACGGGCCAAAGGGCTTGCATCGCAAAGGGCGTTTAACATGGCAAGTAAGGCTCGACATTGCATTGCAAACGGCTCTAGCTTTAGAGTACTTGCATTTCGCCGTCCATCCGGCGATCGTTCATAGAGATATAACTTCTTCAAATATTTTTATAGAGAAAGATATGAGAATTAAAGTTGGAGACTTCGGACTTTCCAGGCTTCTGGTTTTTCCCGAAACGTCGTCATCTTCGTCTGGTTACGTTTGGACCGGACCTCAAGGTACCCCTGGATACTTGGATCCGGATTACCACCGGTCTTTCCGGTTAACCGAGAAAAGCGACGTGTATAGTTTTGGGGTGGTTTTGTTAGAGTTGATTTCTGGGTTGAAAGCGGTGGATCAGAGTAGGGACAAAAGAGAGATGGCGTTAGCGGATTTAGTAGTATCCAAGATCCAAATGGGTCAGCTCCATCAAGTAGTGGACCCAGTATTGATTGTTGAAGGGGAGGCGAAGGAGAGTATTTATGCGGCGGCGGAGCTAGCGTTCCGCTGTGTGGCGGCGGATAAGGATGATAGGCCAGATTCGAAGGAGGTAGTGGAGGAGCTAGAGCGGATCCGGAGTTGCACGCGTGGGTTTGGCGGGGCGAATAATTCGAATGGAGGGGAAGGTGACGTGGCAAAAGGATGATTAATTGATTGATTGAAGGAAGGGTTACGTGTAGTGTGATGACGGGATGGGGTTTTGGCGTTTTGGTAGGCACAAGAGAAAGAAAGAGTGTGGGGTTTTGACTGACTGCGTGTCAGATGTTTTGTTTGGATGTATATAGAAGCTTTGATAAAAGAGAATGTCAAATACTTTGTAACTCTATCACGTTTTTACCTCTTTTGTATTTGGGTACCGGGTCCGGTCTTCCCCTCGTAAATTCAAATTCGGGTTAAATTTCATACAAAATCATACTCCCTTTGTTAAAATATAAGGTTTTTCTCTTTAATTATAAGAAATCAAGCGTAATTTGTTTATCTCAGAACATTATATCTTAATATAAATAAAAATAATATTAAAAAATATAATTTATTATTCTTAAAATACTGAGTATCAGAATAAATCATTTGGACCTATCTTAGCTATAATTGAGAAATATTGCCAATTATTACCGTATTAATGTCCACAAAATACTCATAATAAGATCATTAAGGAAAGTGAATTTTTATTGCACCATTTTAAACTCTGCCTTTACTCTGCTTTGACAGATGCATTCATGGCTTGCACTTTCCCTTTACTCTTCTGTCTTTGTCTTTATACAGATTGCAAGTAAGAATCTTTAATTGGATTGACTTCCTTGATCTGTCTTCTTTTCCAATAATTGATGCGAAATTGCCATACAAGAAATGTCAATGTACACTAATGGAAAATAAAAGACCTAGAAGTTTGTCTTGTCTCTATTGTTAAGCAACTGATAAAACACAACACCAATACACCATCCCTAGTTTGAACATCAGTACATATTTTTGTTCAATTAACATTTACATTGCGAGTTAAAAATGTAAAGTACACAGTTTTTACAAAATGCAGTAGATCATATCGTTCAGGCCAAAGACGATTCCACCTTTTTTCAAGTACTAAAGCCAGAAATATTTGATTAATTAGATGCAGCTGCATTTCTAAGTGAAGTATGCAGATTCTAATGCCTCGGCCTTCTTTCTAGCAACTTGAGCTTCCTGCCTACCAGTCATTGCATAGCCTTTTTCCTGAATCAAAGAAGTTGCAAATTGAATTCAACATCAAGTATGCATCATTTATGTAAATTTGTGTTGCTAAACCCCAAGATATACAAGGTGAAGCTGTACCAGTAGGCGCCACATGAATGGGGCTCCTCCTCTCTTCTTGATTTGTTTCTCAATTACCTCAATTGCTACATTGCATGCAAGAAAGTCAGATCAAAGCAACTGAAATTTAATTGTGGAAGTAGAAAACACCATATCATACCCTTTGGAGCTTGTCCAGTATTCAGCAACATATTGTACCAGACTTCGTTAAATACCTCAAGTTGCTCATCCGACGCTCCAATCATCTAGTGTAAAGTAAGAATTCACATCTTCAGTCTCTAGTACAAAACCATGCAAATGTAGCTAGTTGTAGAAGAATTAACTTGACAATATAATACCTTGCAATTATAGGCATCAAAATCGGGACCAAGTACTTCCAATGCTTCTTTGTCATTACCCCTCCCATACTCATATAGGGCTTCTGCTAGCTGAAAAAGAGAATGATTATCATATGCCAAAAAGCAATGGACATTTTACAAATAAGAAAAGAAAATGATGGCAGTAGATCCAAGCTAACATAAAATCGAATAATCAAACCGTAATATAATTTCTGATGGAAGCAGCATGAATGTTAGAGCTACTACAATGTGAAGTTCAAAAATTAGTTGATGCCATGCCTGCCTACAACAAGGGTTCAGTCATCTGTGTAATGTGACTGAGTAGCATCTAAATCTAAGCTATCAACAATTTGACTTGAAAATGCTAAAAAGCAGTGAACAAAATGGGAAAGGAAGCAGCAATCAGAACAAACCAGAATTCCTCTCTGCATTATTTCTTGCTTCTTCTTGTTCATCTTAGAAATTCTACAAAAGGAAAAGATAATAAAGTTGCAATAAATTAAATGCTGGAATGTAGACTTAAATGTTAAAACAAGAGAAGAGGGGTTTACCTGGATTTCAAGCCCTTGAGTAAGTCTTCTGCTTTTGACAGTTCACTGGTTTTAGCTAAGGCCCATAATATCAACACATCAAGGTTCCATTCCAAATACCAGTTTGCCTAAGAATTAGTGCATGAAGAAAAATCACAGAACGATTAGAGATTGGCATCAAGATATGGAAATAGCAATGCATCAGCAACGTAATGACATTAATGCTCATGAAACAAGGTAAATGCATCTCTGTCCGATACAAAATCACATAGGAAACTAGTTATTTGATTCGAGTCTTTGACTTTAAATATTATACGTGGTGATCTTAAAAGTGATTTTTGCTCAATGTGTGCTTCCTTGTCTACTAGGTGCGTACTTGACAGTACAGATTTTGAAAGCTATGGTCTATTAAGGGAAATGACCAAAACAAAATATCTGAAAGTAAAAAGCATAGGTAGGTGAAATACAATCGAGGAGGAATTGGTGTCTACATCCCAACACAGAAAAGAAACAGCAAAACTCTTTGCCAAGCTTCTTTAAGCCTGAATAAACTAACGGGAGCATCATAATCAAGCCACATCAAAAACAATTAAGTGAAGCTATCCAGACAAATTTACATTACCAAACTTTCCTTTGCAATCCTGTTAAAATTGAGGTTATATTCTGCTTCGGTTTCCTAGTTAAAGTAACAAATCTACAAGCATCAAAGAGAAATAAGTTTGCAGTTTCAATTAATCATGGAAATCCAAATATGTTCTTGTTCTAACATTATCAAACACAATTCAAGATCACCAGAAACCAAAATCCAACTCTTTTTTCGATGTCCATAGCAAACTAACAAGGAACTCAAAATGGAACCAACATCAAAATAAAGCCAATTGCATAAAATCTCATAATGTTTTGACCACCCAAGTACAGCCTAGTAGAAATCCTTATCCAAATATGTTTTGCAAACTGTTCCCCCAAAACAACCTATATATTCACTAAACAAGAATGGATTCAATTAAATTAGGCATCGACAATTACTAATAGCTTAATTACATTTTTAAGTTTACACTTAACATGGTGGGTTATAACTTACTTCATCTTTTACTCTCTCTGCTAAAACCTTCAGACGATCCTCAAAGGCATCAAGTTCATCCCGCACATACACACGCAACAACAAACCCAGGGCATTCAAGTACACCTGAATGTACACGAATGTTAAACCATATAATGCAAAAATCTGATTAATCTTGAATAGATTTACAAAGTATTATACCTCTGCAGAAGTGGCATCATCTCTTTCTAACTCCTTCCAGATATGATGGTCATAAATTCCTAATACTTTTTGCATTGAAGAATGACCTTCCAAGTAACAAAGAGCTACATGCCACCAATTATGTGTCACCCTGTAGACAACAACAATTGAACCATTCAAGGCTCAAATAAAGTGACTAATAAATCCATAATGACATCTAATTTAAATAACTTTCTTGCACATACATAAATGATGAACAAGGACTCCATGAAGATGAGCATTCTTCCATGAACTCTACTGCTTCTTTGAGATGACACTTGTACTGAAGAACATGGCACAACTGCAAAAGAATCAACATCAATGAACTTTTTAGAAATTATAGCTCCCTGCTACAAATTGGATCTATACAGCATTAAGTTCAGCAAACCTGAAATCTTGCTAGGAATCGTGATCTACCTCTTACAAGAAGATTATTATTTAGAACTTTTCCATTAAAAAAAAGACAAGACTGAGAAATGTAGAGGATTTATCAAAATATATTAGAACAAAGAGTACTTACAGCATGTTGAGCCCAGTAATCCAGTTTGTTGATCTCATATCCCTTTCTTGCAGCTCTCTCAGCATCAGCCATTTGACCCGTTTCTAGTAATGAAAAAGCAAGCATGCCATATATATATTCTTCTTGTTCATTTTTGGGTAGAACCTATTAAAAACTAAACTCTTACTAAATCCAATTAATAATAAAATAAACTTAAATTCCCTAGAGAGGAATAAACCTGTTGGACAAGGCCTAGAGAGAGGTCAGGTCTACCCATGTAGAAACATAGCACTTGAGCCCTTTTTAAAGAAACCAAATCTTTTGGGTATTCATTCAATAGCTGCAAATACACAACATGCATCAAATATATTTTCCCATAATTCATTCAAATCAAACACTTGAAATTTTCTTCACTTAGTAAAATGGGGGAATATGCAGGGTAGCAGGAGTCCTTAAAACTCTATAGAATCAACATATCCAATAAAAGGAAAATAAGCAGTAAAATCCCATTGCTAGAGTGTGCAATGAAATGAAAACCACTAAAAACATTGAAAAATTAATTAATCAATTAATTAAAGACTACCAGAACAAATGCAAAGAAAAAACCCGTATAAAATCAATTAAAAAACCGTTGACCTTAGCATGACGTTCAAGAGCAAAATCATCGTCTCTGTTCTCAGAAATCAAAGACATAATCGCATCAAAAACCGCTTTCTCATACGAGGTCGCTTGCTCCTGTTTAGAAACAGAGACAACTCCGGTAAAGATTTTTTTTTTTTTTTTGAGAAATTTTAAGGAAAAAAAAAAAGAAAAGCTAAAAACTTACAAGTCGAGACTTTGCAGCCTGGATATGCAAAGAAGCTTTAGAAGAATCAGAAGAGCAAAGGAAATGAGCAGCTAAAACATTGGCTAATGCACAATCTTGGTCATGAAGAGGCGCTTCCAAAATCACACGTCTCTCTCTCCCATAGCTTAGCACCTTCATTAAACAAATAGAATCTAAACCCAGATAAAAAAATTGCAGCAACAAAGCCACAAAGCTCAATGAAAATGAAAAAGAGAGAGACCTGCTGATAATAAGAGTTGATGGCAGAGATACAGGAATCAGAAATAGTTTTGACTTGGTATCCCCATCTGTCAAATTTCAGACCACCCTCCATTTTTGTTGACTCTTTTTAGAGTTTCTTTCTATTTCTTTCAAGTAATGGATTTTGGAGTCGCGATTGTCAATAAAATCTGAGTGATAGTGAAGAATGAGAATACGGACATGAAAACGTGGCAGACTGGCAGTGTGTCGGAGGAAACACCAACGTCGGTTAGCTTATTATCCTGTCATTATTTCTAGTACGAACCTTATGGACTGCGCTTTCAATTATATGGGCTTCGATTCGTTATACTTGTGAAATGGTATCTTATAGTTACAGGAATAACATCCAGTAATTAATAATTATACTCATCACTATTAAATTTGATTAATATATTAAATTAAAATAAATTTATATAAACAAAATTTGCTTAAAAAATTAAATAAAAATAAAAATTCAAATTTGCAAATAAATTTCATAAAATTTGATGAAATTCATTTAAATCAAGATGAAAATGTTGTGTATGATACTTTTTTTTTTTTTATCGGCCGTTCATATTTTATTTTATTAAATTATAAAATAAGGAAAAACTTATCAAAATTCAAGACACTAAACCCGAGTCAACATGTTTCCCTTATACACCCAAAACAACATTTGATTTGATAAGTGAGAAAACCTTATCAAAACACTATAATTGTTATTTATTATATCCAAGCTAAAAAAAAAAAAAAAAAAAAAAACCTCAGCCTTCAATCACCTTTTTTTGTTAAGCAATCTTGAAAATGATAAAAAAAAAAAAAAAAAAACCTCAGCCTCAACACCTTTTTTTGTTAAGCAATCTGCAAAATGATTGTTAGTTTTACTAAAATTTATGAACTCAGTATTACTTATTTGAGCACTGGTCGAATCAAAACTTATTAAAACTTTTCCACTACTTCCATGAGCATTTATGCTTTTTAAGAATCCAACACAAAACATTTCTTGAATTTGATTCAATAATCAAACTTTTTAATTTGTAATCTGTATTTCGAAAAATTTGAAATACATTAAAAATGGCTAACAATTCGACTTTATTAGAATCTAAAATGCCAACAGACTTAAAAAAGACGCAAAATACTATCCCTTTCTCACAATATTCCCCTCTACCGGCAGGGCTCGGCTTACCTCTTACTGCATTATTTTATATTGAATTTAATCGAACCTGTTGGAAGATTTTCCCAATCAATATGCCCAATTCTACGAGCAGTCCTACTAAAATTCAATATGTTGTTACAAGCTAATAAAGGGAACAAGCACCAATCACTGAAATTAAGAGAAAAAGAGGAATACTTTGCGTTGATCAACTCGAAAGTTTTGAATTTTATCAAGTCAATAATATGATGTAGCGGCTGTCTCTTATTTGAAAAAATCAATCTATTACGAGTCAACCAAATCGTCCATAAAGCTATGTAAAAAAATTACATTCCAAGCTTTCATAAAAGCTTTTAAATTGGATAATTTCACTCCGTTGTCAACCCAAAGCTATCACCGTTTTTGGGAGAATAGATACAACACACCACCAATTTAAAAGACTATCCCATATCTTTGAACAATACATGATCTATATTTTCCACATCACTCTCACAAAAAGAATAAATACATTCATCCATTTCAAGAATAATATTTCGCCTAAACATGTTTATTCTAGTAGGAATTCAATCTGTTGTGTAATAATTAATTCGTTGGAAGAGGTTCTAAGTTCCATTTTTATTCTACTGGATTTGAATTATATTTGTAATATTTGATAGTTAATTTTGATAAGTGTGTTCCGGTTTAATTTTATTGTCTTGCTATATTAAATTGATACATTAAAAGAGCATTTTTTATGAAGGTCTTATTTGATAATATTTGATGGAAATAAAGTAACTAGTAATATTTTTATTTATTCCCAAAATAATAAAATTTGCCAAAATGAATAAAATTTGTATAGCAATTTCGGCTATAGATCCGAGTTCAAATACCCTTCCCAATGCTCAAAAAAAAAAAATATATAAATTCGAATCTATCCATGAATCAAATCAATCACAATAGAAATATTTTAAAAATCATCGTCATTTTATTTTATTCTTTCCCAATAAATGGTTACAAATACTTTTGTTTTTTCTCATGGGTGAATTAATAAACTGCATCTAATAAGCGATTTTCAAAATTTAGTTACTAGGAACTAAAATTTATTTGATTGGGATAAGAGGCAACAAGTAGTAAGGGTATTTTCCACTTTCCACATGCAAATATAGTCATTTAGCATTAGCAGCTCTAAATTTGGCAACAAGAGATTTTCCATACTCAACAAGCTTATCAGTGAGTGGCATGACATCCTTGACAGCAGGATGAGAGGAGAAGGTCTCTGCCCATTTGACAAGACCAGGAATCTTTCTTTCATCAAGAAATTTGACATCACTCATCTTTTCTGTTGCTCTCAACCAACCCAAATGGGAGCCAAATGCAATGTCAAGATACCCAATTTCATCTCCTCCAAAAAAAGCTTTCCCTTTGCTACACTTCTGAAATGCATCTTCCAATAGCACAATCCCTTCTACTATTTTCCCCATCACTTCATCTCTTGCCTCTCCTTGAGAAGTTGATAGTAGTTTCAAGTTTGGGAACCACTGCATGTAGTATAGAATTCTATCAATTACAAAATCCTTTCTAGAAACCAATTGATTTAATTAATTCAAATGAAGAGTTCATAAAGATACCTTGTCACCAACATATGCAGCCCAAAATCTTGCAATAGCACGGTCATAAGGAAGCGAGGGAAGAATAGGAGGACCAGAAGACCAAACCTCATCAATGTACTCAACAATAATAAGAGACTCACAAATGGGTTTGCCATTATGAATGAGAACTGGGATTTTTTTGTGGACAGGATTTGATTGAAGAAGAAGTTGGCTTTTTGATCCCAAATTTTCCTGAAGAAACTCATAATCAAGAGATTTGAGGTTAAGAGCGACTCTTGCCCTCATAACATATGGGCTTGCCCATGATCCTAGAAGCTTTAGTTCACTGCTTTTAGCCATGGTTGCAATATCTTTTGGTACTTTCTTCTTCCACCCTTAATATGGGACGGAAGGAAAGACAGAAAGGACCATTAGGTGAAAAGGGGTTAGGTGTTCGGTGTGAAACGTGTAATGGGACGGGGTGCGTTGGCCTGTAGAGTACATAAATTGACATGCAACTTCGCAAAAATAATTTACTCTTCCCTCAACTTTAAGGTTAATTAATTAAAATTTTCAATTTGTAAAATTATATTTACAATTTCTTTAATTCATAAAATTGTATTTATTAAACATAAATTTATGAAACATTTAATTTTCTTCAATAAAAAAATGAAACTTTTAATTATTAAAGTGTTCAATCCATGTCATATCTTGTATATCTTTTAATATAAATTATGGTAATAAATATAATTTTATGGCGTTCGTGGATAGGATCTTACAAATTCAAATATAAAAATTGAGTGTCACTAAATTTTTATTGTAAAATTAGTAAAAGTCCTAATCAACTTGCTATTAAATTATTTTAGGTAATTTTATTTTCTTTTATATAATAAAAAGTAAAAAAAAAAAAAAAAGAGATTTTCTTAAAGTCACATTTTCATCTTCCAATTTAACTTATCTTTTATATTTTCAATGGTTTGAAAATCTATTTTTTCTCTTGAACATGAGTAAAAGTCGTATTTCCAAATTTTGCTATGAAAATTATAATTATATTGCTTTATTTAATAACAATTATATTTTAGTTATTCAAAAGAAAATTATATTTTAGTCACTAATTTCACTCACACGATCAAGAGCTAAAAATAATATAATTATAACCTACTGTGTTGTGGCTCAGTTGCCAATGCAGATGAGAAAAACTTGAATTCGATCGCCACCAAACACACTTGCATGGAGGGATGATGAAGAGCTTTAACGGTGATCCATTCGTAGTAATAGAGTCCAGATATAAGTGATTTAAAAAAATATATATAATTATAGAAGTCCATATGCTTAATTATTAAAATAAAATAATTGGTTAAGAATAAGAAAAGGCTAAAAATTTATGATTTATTTGATAATTAAGCCTATGCTAAATCAAAAACAGTTTTTTTTTTTTTTTTTTTTTTTTTTTTTTTTTTTTTTTTTTTTTTTTTTTTTTTTTTTTGGTAAATAAGTCAAAACCAGTTTTTAGTTTTAGAGGAAATCTGTAGGTCAGGGAATTTATTGCTCAATGCATTATTAAAATAACAGTCCGAATGCAAAGGAAGAAGCTTTACGATTACAAGTTTTTGTGAACCGACAAACAAAAACTAAACTGTAAAAATGACAAGTCCAAGCGCAAAAGAAACACAGAATGAATTACAGAGAAGTGAAAAGAAAACAACAGAGCGGGAATCAGAATATTCACCAAGAGCATACAGTTGGTATCAAACTGAGAACAAGAAGCTTATGCTTGGACAACAAAAGAAAGGGGAAAGACATAGGGTTTCTACTTAACTATTTATTTATTTGTTACCTCAAATTTCTTTAACTAAGATCTCATTTTGGCTGCAATCATTTTTGCAAACTCAATAAGCTTATCAGTGTCTGGAATAAGACCTTTCACAGCAGCATGAGAAGAGAAGCTCTCTGCCCATTTAGCAAGACCAGGTGTCTTTGCTTCATCAAGCAGCTTCACTTCATTCATTTTTTCTGTTGCTCTCAACCAACCCAAAAACGAACCAAATGCTATGTCAAGGTATCCTATTTCATCTCCTCCAAACAAAGCCTTTCCTTTGCTGCACTTGACAAATGCATCCTCTAGCAGTAGAAGCCCTTCTGCAAGTTGCCTTGTAGCCTCGTTTCTTGCCTCTCCTGCAGCAGCCCTAAGCATTCTCAAATTTGGGAACCACTGCATATATTATAGACTTGCACCCATATTAGAACTTCTTCTCTATATAAATTAAACAAAGTTTAATTCTGTAAAATGAAAGCCAATTGTAGGATTGAGTGTTTGACATTATATATTGAGAAAAACATTTTATTGAAAATGTAGGTAAGGAACGCACTATACCTTATCGTCTAGGTATGCAGCCCAAAATCTTGCAATGGCACGATCATATGGAAGAGAGGGAAGAATAGGAGGACCAGAAGACCAGACCTCATCAATGTACTCAACGATAATAAGGGACTCACAAATGGGTTTGTCATTATGAATGAGAACTGGGATTTTCTTGTAGACAGGATTAGATTGAAGAAGAAGTTGGCTTTTTGATCCAAAAGTTTCCTGAAGAAACTCATAATCAAGAGATTTGAGGTTAAGAGCTATTCTTGCCCTCATAACATATGGGCTTGCCCATGCTCCTATAAGCTTGATGAGTTCACTGCTCTCAGCCATGGATGGTTTGACTGTAACCACAAGCATCTACGGCACTTTATTATATAGGAGACGTGGAGACACCCAGAGTATTAACTAGGGTCACGTCATGCAGAGGATTAAGCAGAAAAGATTGCTTTTGGGGTGAAGTTAAATAACCGAAATTTTGAAATTAAGAGTGGTAGTTGTGGATTTGAAAATTTGAATATTAATTTAAAAGGTTAGGTGAGGTGTGTGAAAGATAGGTGATGGGATACTAGAGGCAGACATTATGCCACGCCCGTTTACAACATTAACCAAAAAAAAAACAGCTTTATCTTTTTCATGTCTATTGATTAACCATATGAACAAATTGTAAATGATAATAAATAAAGTACCGTTTTTTCACTCTCATGGAGTGTCAAAGCATTTACTGCAGATTTATTATTCATTTGAGAGCAATATTATAACTCTAATTAATCCGCATAAATAGTTTTTTTCTATGTATCGAGGGAGAAAAAATTCGAACATGAATCTATTGTATATGAATTTACCAATAAACTAACTATGCCTCGTTGCGTGCAAATGTAACCTTCTAGTCAATTTGAAAATTCAATTATTGTACTTTAATTTAAATGTAACCTACTAAAAGGTTGATTTTGGAGTGAAGTTAAATAACCGAAATTTAAAAATTGAAGTGTGTTTATATCCTTCTTTTATTGTATATGAACTTACCGGTAAACTAACTATGCATTGTTGTGTGCATATATAACCTGCTAGTCAATTTGAAAATTCAATTATTGTACTTTAATTCAAATGTAACCTGCTAAAAAGTTGATTTTGGGGTGAAGTTAAATAACCGAAATTTAAAAATTGAAGTGTGTTTATATCCTTCTTTAACGGATAATTAACCATCTATACTTAATACAGATGAAAGAGAGAAAATTAAGTTACCATGCGTCAACATATTAATGGACTCATGCAAACTGAAAAAGGTTTGGGGAAAACTTTCCACATGCACCACCGGGTGTGTACCGTGGCAGAGTACTATTCTACCTACCACTAGACCACTGATGTTCGGTTTTAATAATAACTATAGAAAGATATAAAAAAAAAATCTTTGATCCTTATTTGATTATTGCAATTACGCGTCTATTTAGATTTTAGACTGAATTCAATTTTCAATGAAAGTGAAATTCTGGATGCGTTAAGCTAGGAGATTAGAGAAACAAATTCTATGAAAAATATTAGTTCAAAAAATCAGAAATGCATATAGATACAAATGGTCGAACGGGAGCAACAAAATTTCTAGAAATATTTGAAACTGCATTTCTGAGCAGAAGTGCCGTTTTCTTTTGGAAAAAAAAAAAAAAAAAAAAAATTTTCTTTTTGAAAAAAAAAAAAAAAAAAAAGATCGAATCGACAAAGACAAGTTCAAAAAATGATGAATTCAATGATATATGAGCTGTACGAGAAAAATTCAAAAAAAAAAAAAAAAAAAAAAGATCGAAATCACAAAGACAAGTTCAAAATGATGGAATTTCAATGATTATATGCAGGCTGTCGAGAAAATTCAATATACCATTACGAGAAATGTAGTAATCAGGTTTTCAAGCTGATATATGCGTAGAAGTACTCATAAGAGAATAATCTGTGGCCATCTTTTTAATAGAGATTTAGCTTAAGTTAATCAAACCCAAATCATAAGTGTCCCAAATGTGTAGCTGCTCTGTAATATTTGATTTCAAACGTTTTAAATCAGAGGTCACAGTTGCGTAAGGCAGCTTCAACACCATCAATGGACTCCAGTTCCTAGAAAACCATTTGTTTTCACTTGAAAGATGAATCTTTGACTATCTGCGAAGCCATTTTTCCTTTCCGTAATGCGTTTGGTTTTCTTCGGTTAGGTTCCATGTTGGGCGTCTGAGTTGTAACTTCATCCATCTCAACCTCAAATTCCAACTCTGACACAAATTTAAACAGTTACCACCTAAAATGCTGCATCCATTCAAATTAAGTCGTGATTGAGGAGAAGGCTGATATAAAATGTCAAAGCATTGCCTTCGAATAAAGATTACTGCACAGAAGTACCAAAATAAAAATTAATGCAGAAGCAGGGTTAAGATTGTTATACCTTTATCATTTGATTTTGACTACCAACATTTTAGAAATTGAACTGCATATGGTAGTCATATCCCATTGTGATTCAGCCTCATCTGCCCTAATGGTCTATCTGGAATGCCTTAGCAGGACATCACATGAATGTTGGCCCACCTGTGTAGTAACAGGGTCAGTAGCCAGAAAAGAACAGCTTGAAAATATCGACTGCTTTGCATCTAATCCTTCCCACCAGGCAGATCTGATCATTCAACTTGGTAAAGAAAAATTAAATTGTTGGCTAGCACAGCAAGTGTGCTATGAAACTATGAGAAAAATCTTCTTGCTAAAGCAGATAAAAGACAAGAAGTCCGAAGGCAAGCCTTACCATGATCCTCAAAATGTTCAGTGCAAATAACTTTTGATCCTTCCATGCCAGCCTAAAACTGAGCCAAATTCGTCAGTTCTTCCCATAATTACTTCTAAATCCTGTAAAGAAAAAAAACACGACTATTGTTTTCCATTCCTGGCTTTTTCCACCAGACACTTCTCTATTGCTTCATCACAAAGCTCAAGGGTGGTTTCGATGTTCCCCTCTTCATAGTTTATATCGAGAAAAATATTGTATACTTCTGCCTCAACAACCAACCCTCTTCTTCTCATCTCTTCAAATAGTTCTCTTGCCTCCAAAAGTTTCTTCCTCTTGAAAAAACCTTTGATCAGAGCATTGTAGGAACTAGCTGTTAGATTAAATCCCTTCTCTGCCATTTCTTTGTATAAAAACCATGCCTCTTTCATGTTCCTTGCTTTACAGTGCCCTTTTATTAAAATGTTATAGGTGTTGCTATTGGGGATCACTCCTTGAGTACACATCCCCCTGTACATCTCAGTTGTGCATCGCATATTATTTTTAATACAGTACTGCTTCATAAGAGAATTATAGGTGGTGGCATTTGGCATTATGCCTTTCTCCAACATCCATTTTAGTAGCATCTCACCATCTTCCAGCATTCCTGACATACAAAAACCATTCATGAGCACATTGAATGTAACAACTGTAGGTCGAAGCCCTTTATCAAGCATCTCACGCAAAAGCTCATGAGCCTTGACCATCTCCCCAGTCTTGCAATAAGCATCCATCAATGTGGTGTAAGTGATGGTATCAGGATGCATTCCTGCCTCCTGCATCTCTTCCATCAGCTTTACTGCCTGCAATATATTACCTTGTTTGCAAAGGCCATTAACAATTGAGTTGTAGGTGCAGATATTCAACTGAAGGCCCTTTCTGCACATCTCATGAAGAAGTTCATTTGCTGTATCTAGTTCTCCACACTTACAGAGGCCATCAGCCAGTGCAGTGTATGTGACAACATTTGGGGTAAGCCCATTTTGGACCATCTGATTGTGAAGGGAAAATGCCTTTTTCATCTCTCCTGATTTGCAATAACCATCAATAAGTGCTGTATATGTAACCTCATCTGGCTCCAATCCATTGCAAAGCATTTCACTGAAGAGTTTTTCTGCTTCTTCAAACTTTCCACTTTGAGAAAGCCCACATAAAAGAGCAGTATATGATATAAAATCAGGAGCAATTTTCCGAGACTCCATTTCATCAAACAACTTATACGCAGCTTGAGTATTCCCCAATTTGCAGAAACCGTCAACCAGAGTTGTATATATCACATTATCCAGAAAAACTCCCTGGTTCATCATCTCCCTCAAGATTTTCTCACCTTCAACAACTCTACCACTTCTGCAGAGAACAAGGATTATGCTGTTGTAGGTGTATGAGTTTGGCTTCAATCCCTTCATTTGCATTTCATTTATAAGCCATAGCACCTTTTGTAGTTCACCAACTTGACAATACCCATTGATTATAGTGCTATAACTTACCACATCAGGTATACAGCCTTTATTTTCCATTCTCACAAGTATATGATGGGCCTCTTTTATTTTCCCCAATTGGAGGAGGGAATTCATAATAATGTTGTATGATGTGGTGTTCCAACAAACACCAACTTGAGGAAATTCACTAAAAACTTTTATTGCCATCCCAAGCATATCAGAGTTGCTTGACAGGCGGGTAAGATATAAATTACAGGAATCAACAGAAATAATTACCCCATAATTGAACAATTTTTCAAAAAACTTTCTTGCTTCATTCAGCATTCCAGCTTCAACAAGCACTTGAAAGAAAACATCAAATACATTGGGATCTGAACCCCAGTCCTTATAAGTGTATATCAGCCGCTCAACAAATTGATTGAATGAATGATTGATATCCAAATTTGGTTTTGCCCAAAAATCATAAATAAGTCCATGGGCCATTTTAAGATCTTTTGCAGCCACAGCAATATGAACAACAGTGCAACGAGATTCAAGGTTTAGGTCTCTATGTAGGCATGCCCAATGAAAGAAATCTAAAACCAACTCATAATCATTCCTGATGTTCATAAGAACCCAAATTAGGTGATCAGACCTAAACTTGGATTTATAAGGCTTAAGAATGCGGCCAAGGGGCTCAGAGCGGCGTAACTTTATTGTATTTGAGATTTGATGGACAAGTTCAGATTCTTTAATGGTGGGCTTTTTGGGAGAATAATCAGGAAAAGGTCTAGTATTGGTTGACCTTGAGGAAGAGAGACTTTGGCTCAAAGATCTTCTAACAAATAACTGCAAACCATGTGGAGGAATGCCAATAAAGGGATGCTGAGAGAAAAGTCGTAAATAAAGCCTAGAGTAAAGAACGACACACCTCTTCATGTCTAGGAGAGCCACCCATAATAAAGAAATTTAGGAATTTGTGTAACGATGCAGTGGCTCCTCTTTATGTGGAAGAACAAAGATGCATCATCAGTCCATTACCTACAAAGTACTGTAATTCCAAAATTTTAGTGCACTAGCAACACTTTCATAATGTAGGATACTAAAGTGTACAAATGTATTATATTGCCACTAAAACAGTAGAACAGTTTCAAAGCAATTTGGCAGAAAAATATTTCTGTAGTAGTTAGCGCTTTCTTTTTTGATGTCATTCTTAAATCAATACACATGATAGAGGCAGGTTAATATAATCCCAAGTTTCAACAAACTTTACTAAAAGTAAAAAAAAAATAAATAAATAAATAAATAAATAAATTTATCATACTATCAGATTCAAGTGTACATTTATGCAATTATTTAATCAAAAAGACAGTGAAGTCATAAATCAATAATTACTTAATTAGCATCATCATTTGTCTATAGTAATGAACTAGTCATATATCAATAAAAAAAAATTATTCAATTAACAAAAAAAAAAACATGCAGCCCAACATGTGCCAAAAGAAAAAAAAAAAAAAACAGACAAAAGAAAATTTGTTACTATTTAACATATTTTTCACAAATGAAAACAGGTCAAGGATGGATGAGTCCCATATCCATGCCACCATAAGTGGCAAGCCAAACATTCTGACCCCTTTAGCATCAATGTACCGCATTTGCTTAGCTTAGAACCAAGAAATAAAGAAAAACAACTACCAAAATCGTTAACTAAGCATTTTCACAATTATTTTTTCTTTTCAAGTGTAAAAGGTTCTTGAAGATAATCTTAAAAAATTATACAGCATTCATAAAAGTGCAATGAGCTGACAAATGCTAACATAAACCAGGCTGTCATTTGAATAACCACATCAATAAGTTGAATTTTTCATTAGTATAATTTGCTATAGCTACTACAAATAATTCTCAATTCCATAATCAATGAAATAAATTTCTAAGAGACATTCCATCAAACACCTCTTAAGCAAAGTTCAGGATCCAAGGGAGAGAAACAAGCATTGTTAATATGAGGGAGCCCGTACCTCCACCATTTAGTACATGATAGTTTTATTAATAATTGAATATAAACTTAACTTAGGATGTTATATTTGCTTCAGAGAAACCAATATATATATAGTGCTGAGCCAAACATGAAAGCAAGACAAAGCAAAACCCAATACAAAATAGAAACCAATAAAAGAAACCCAATGAATGTGAAAGGAAGGCAAAAATGATACCTTCAAGCTAAACGATGGCATCAGTACTTGCTTCTCCGGTCAAAACCGATGCAATTTGAGAAGCTAAACAATGGCTTCTTCACCTAGTTCTTCTGTGTCGGAGTTTCACTTAAACGTTATCGTATTTGCAGTTTGGGCTTTCGGCTTTTAGACTCTTAGATGAAACGACTTCGTTCCGCTGCTTAAGAGATTTCTTTTTTTCCTTTTTTGTTTAAATTTATTTTAACTTCTTCTTTGTTTTTTCTTTTTAAAAAAAATTTACCTTGATATTTATCATAAATAACTATTTAAAAATTTTTATGATGTGAAAATCCTAAATTAAGCAATTGATTTATAAAGGAAAAGTAAATATATAAAAGGTCGATGAAAATTATCATATGTATTAGACTAACATAGAAAATATATCCTCGAAGTTAAAATAATTTTTTAAAAAAAACTTATTTGTAAAGTAAATAATTTGTATAATTAATTTGAGAATAACCTTACTTGAAAATATAAAAAACAAATCATAATTAAATCAATCATTAGTGCGTGCATTAAAGGATTTATATGTAAGTTAATTTAATAAAATGATTCATATAGTTTAAGTTAATTCATAAAAAATAGGCTGTCAAGTTAAAATCTAAAATGAAATAATAATTTTTTTTTAAGACAAAACCAATACAATTCTGGAATAAAATTAATATAAACGAAGAAAAATAATTGTAAGTTTAATTCATAAAAAATAGTCTGTTCAAGTTAAATCTAAATTGAAAAAATAAGTTTTTGTTGTTTAAGACAAAACCAATAGCAATTCTGGAATAAAATTGAATAGTAAACGATAGAAAAAATAATTGAAGGTATAGGTTATAAGGTATAGGTATTATATAGTAGTTTATATATAAATACGATGAATTTTATACGACGACTCAGATATTTCAAATCTATATATAAATACGATGAATTTTGACTACGACCGACTCAAGTATTTCAGAATCTATGTAATGAATAACTATCTCGATGTGACAATTTTTATATTAAAGGATCACCTCAAAAATTACCAGAGAGTGTTAATTCTCAAAAACGAGTTTATTAATATATCAATAGATGCCTTGACAAATAAAAAAGCACAATAAGCTGTCCTAGCAGAAGTGTTCTTTTGAATTGATTAGGAAAAGATTGTCTCCACTATCTGATGAAACCCTCCTTTAGATGATAAGATGCCTCTAAAGAAGCTGCAAAGTGAGAAAAAGAAAAGTTGGGCTGGATTAATTAACTATTTGAATTAGGCCCATATGGTGAATATATAGCTTATAAAACAAAAAGAAACTCCATTTTATGTTTTCTAATCTTTGTTTCTTAATCCTATTTCTTACTTACCATTGATTGATAAAAGCTCTTTCTCCAAAAGTATCCTTAGCCCTAAATTTTAAAATTGAGGAACCCAATATTGTATTTTTAAAATAATAAAAATCCATTAATATGCTAGGTCAAATATAACAAAATAACATGTTATAAGTGGAACCAATCACCAAATCAATTTTTCTTAGTAAAAAGAAGAGTTTAAATTGTTATCTTTCCATTTAGAGTATTAGGGAAAGGAGATTCAAATTTGAATTTATTATCTGGCCGTATATGCATTTATCACTAGTTTACGCTATATACAATGCTTTGGATTCTAATATATAATTCAACTAAAAGTGTAAATTTGTTGCAATCACCAGTGCAAATTACAATTCCTTTCTCGTTGGTCTTATTCTTTGTCTTTCTTGGAGGGCTAAAGTAGAGTTGGCAGTCATCAAAGTGCTCTAAATTAATAATTCGATAGAATTCTGAACTAGAAAAATTGAATGGAGACCCTTGTTTTGGGGCCTAGTGAAGGAAATTGTATTTTTTTTAAAAAAAAAAAAGAAACGAAAAATGTGGTAACTAAAAGAATTTTTTTTATAATAATAATTATATTAATATATAATGATAATAATAGGGTTACAAATGATGCATGCACAGACAAATAGAATATATATATATATATATATATAAGATGTGGAAAGATCGAGTTGATACATTTATTCATACTTAATAGAACCAATTAATATAAGTCACTGAGAGTGTTTTCCCCTTTATGGACATGTCCAACATAAATTTAGATTAATTGAATTAGTAAATTTCGGATAGGAAATGGTTTGACAAAAACCCACAAATTATATAGAATCAAGTCACTATGAATCATAGTCTCTGTTTTTTTGTTTTCGCATATAAACTAATCTAAGTCAACGGTCTAAAGGTAATTACAGATCCAGCCTGCGTTGGATCAACAATATCCTTAAATTACGTAATTTCGAATGTGCCTAATAACTCAATTTTGTCTCCTAATTCAGTTTTTTTTTACATTTTTTTTTTATGTTTAGAATATTAATGTCAAGTTAGCATTAATTGACGCGGAGATCCTTCATAAAAGCCACAAGAACATTATCTCTCGCGATCATTTTTGTATTTAGATTCTGCATTTCACTTTGATTTATCGATTTATGAGGTTTGTTTATTTACTATATTTTGATATTTAAAGATAAAAGCTATTTTCGTTTTAAAATTTGTGACTACAATTGCATCTCTCTATATGGATCATATCCCCTGATTCTGTAAAAGTTATTTATTGAATTCGATATATCTTATCACTTGAATCATTCCTTATTAATCTTATTTATTTATTTTAATAATGAGAAAAATGCTTTACTTATAATTAGACCGATAACATATTTTTAGCATGGGAATGATCTCGTTTCGAGGCGTGTGATTACACCCTTTTCATCAGTATTTTTTCAACGTGTTCAATTCATAATTTTACAGAAATCATATGGTGAATCTAACGTGTCATACCAATATATTAAGTGGTCCTTATAGAAGAAGAATAAAAGTTGTATAATTATCAATAATATGAATATTAGATAGTTGAATAATATCCTAAATTTTAATTTTGATGTCAATATAATATAGAAAAATTATCATTTTAGAATCTGTGGGTGCTATGATTAAAATATCCTTTACTAATACATCAATTTTAAATATAATTAATTCAATTGACAAGTTGTATTTTCCTCATTAATCAAAATATTTTTTGCTTTAATTTTTAAAATAGAAATAAAAAAATTTATATGGTTGGCCACAACTAATTAATTTGATGAGTATTGGAGAAAGAAAATTTAAACATGGATCTATTGCCAAATAGTAATACGCTTACCACTAGACTATGCTTTGTTTAGTTTGTTTTAATTTGATTTTATACCATAAAAATAATGATTTTCACAAAAGTAAAAAGGAGGATAATATCTTTTGCAGGAAAATTGGAAATATATATTGCTAATAAGCTCTTAGCAATTTCTATAAAATTGGGTTTTGCATACACTTAGCAATTTAGGGCATAATTTGAAGCTAAACCATCTGAAATATGCAAGTTCCTTGTGCCATCCAAACCAAGAGATTAATTTCTTAGGCCAATGCCACCAAAAGCACATTTTTAATCAAACTGGATGATGAAAACAAGGCATCTAATAATATAGAAAAGCAAAAAGATCATCATCAAAAGCTTTGCCAACCTCACACCGAAAGTCACCAAAAAAACAAAGAAAAGACACGTACATTACTTAGTCTCCTTAGTCTCTACTCATATATAGACAACATATAGAGACTTAGACCAATGCTTCATATCTTCCTAAATCTTCCTCTCTACATAGAAATGAAGCTAATCAATAAGCACTCTTACATTACTCTTCTTTCTTTCATATCTTTCATTATAACTCTCCCTTCTCCAATCTCATCTCAAGCTTGCAAGAATTCTTGCGGCAATATCCCAATCAAATACCCATTTGGAACTGGTCTTGGTTGTGGAGATCCAAGATTTCAAAAATATGTAACTTGCGATGATCAAGAAAAGCTTTCTTTGTTAACCCATACAGGCTGCTATCCTATAAACAATATAGATTACACTAATCAAGTTATTTACATTTCAGATCCTTCTATGTCAACTTGTTCTTGTACTCAACCAAGCAAAGGCTTTGGCCTTGATTGGGATGCCCCTTTTTCTTTTCAGGATGATACTGTCTTCACATTACTTGATTGCTCAACTACTTCCTCACCGATTTTTAGAAATTCTAATAATGGGAGTATAGTGCCTCAATGTGATAGAACAGGTGCACCCATTTGTAGTTTCTTGTATTCTTGTCAAGCTATCAGTAGGCTTAGTCTTCCTATTTCTACTTGTTGTGTTTATACACCAGTAGACCTAGGGCCGGCTTTTGAAATGGATTTACAGAAACTGCAATGCTCTTCTTATTCTGGGTTTTATAGCTTTAATGGTCAGGAAGATAACCCTGAAAATTGGAAGTATGGGATTGCACTTAAATACAAGTTTAATGTTTATAATGATTATCCAAGTTCTTGTGCTAATTGTGAGAGAAGTAATGGGGTTTGTGGGTATGGTGGAGTTTATAATTCTTTTGTTTGTAATTGTCCTAATGGCTTTAACACAACTTCTGACTGTTTCTTTGGGGGATCATATAGTCTCGGTTCAACCCTTCTTCCATGGCAGACAGGTATATAACTTTTACTTTTATGTAATCTGAACTTTCTCTTGTACTGGTGTAAATGAGCCGAGCTGGCTCACGGGCTGTTCAAGCTCGGCTCGAAAAAAGTTCAAAAGAGTTCGGCTCAAATCGAGCTCGAACCTAAAATTTTCAGATTCATCGAGTTCGAGCCGAGCTTCGAGAGTAGCAGGTTCAAGCTTGGCTCGGCTCATCTACACCTCTTACTTAACTATGTTTTTAAGAATTACCATGATGTGGGCATTATTGCAGGTAATGGGTTGATCTATTCGTTGGCATGCTTCCTTTTCTGGGCCTTTCTTTAGAGAGTGAAGATCAGCAAATTATGTTAATTGAAATAATGGACCTTGATCTCAAGGCAAGGTTTGTTATTTTCATAAAGAAGATAAGCAAATTGTATCAACATATCTTCAAATGCAAGAAATGTCCAAAAGATAATAGTTTGTCTTCTTTTTACTTTTCAGCCTCTTTTGGGTAAAGAACGTATAAGATAGCTGCTAGTGTGTTCACTTCATTTATCTAGGCCAAAGAAAATGAGCATTTGCTAATTTTAACCACTAGAGACTTTTAGGTTGAACCTCTAATTTTAGCACTTGTTTGTGATCCAGCTAGCAAAAGTGGGTCCATATAGAGGCTGAGTTGTTGTGAGTGTATTAAAAACAGGATGAAGGAATAAGGTTCTTTCTTTTGAGCTCTCACATCCACCAAGCAAGAGAGAATCACTTTCACTATAAAGAAAGGTTCTTCCTTCAGGGCCTGTGTCCTTGTCAAGCTCTAGAAACAGATAAAGAAGCTTTATACCTACAGTTTTATTCTCACACAGCATCAACACTTTATATACCAAACTCTGCACTTAACTAATTAAAATATAGAAATTAGACAGAATTAAGAACCAAATGCAACAGCAATGCAAAAAAGGATACAATTGAAAAAAATACGATGAATCAATTAATTATAAGGAAATGTCAATTGCTATTCTGCACTTATGTTTCTCCACTGATAGACACAGAGAGGGAGAAATGAAAGGTTTCCATTATTTCCCCTCCGATGTTTTCCCACTTAAGATTGCAATATTGTGTGACTTTGATCTACTACTTGTGCAATCACCAACAACATTGGGAAAGTCTGAGGATCGGAACCCAGTATATCTTAAATTCTTCTGAATATGTACAGAGATTTATGATGACCATGAAACTTGTTTCTTGGAGTTTCTTTCTCGTTCCTCTCAGAATTGTTTTCATATAATTATTATCTCATGTTGCAGCACTCGGGGTTTCCCTGTTGTATTTTGTCCCAGAGGCATAGCATCTGCCTTGGAGATTGGTAGTGAGCAGTGAAATAATCTTCAATGCATCCAGACTGACAATAGTTAAGGCTATGCACATATTGTACAGGTTTTGAAGTGTTGAACTTTTCCACCCACATTCCCATGCTTACATCTTCCATCTTAAACAACTGCACCGAGCGAACATAGATTAGATTAATCCTATGAACGTGCACATAACGCACAGAGAGAGAGAGAACAAGTACATACGTTCAACTTTTGACTTTGAAACTCCGCGACGATAAATTGTGCAATGTCAGATGAGATTATGTAACCTGGACCATTTGCATATGGTGGGTACACTTCTTCTGGCCATTCCTGAAATATCAACAGTATCAGCAGCAGAATTAATTTTGTGAATGCCTAATTCAAGGCAAGAGAAATGCATGGCTATGAAATTGCTATAAAAATATAAGTTGACAGATCATTTTAAAACGAAATACATTGTTATCATGTCAATTCAACTCTATCACAGAGCAAATAAGGAGCCACAGTCAAAGAAGAAAAGAACAGGAAGTAACAATAACAGAGTGACTAATTACTGAATTCTCTACTATAATGATTTGCAAAACATCTACCTCAAATGTCACTGCCCATTTGCCACTACGTAAAACCCTGTGCAAGTAGTTAATGTTTCCAATATATAAGCTTCTATTTCTAGGGACTTTCTTAATTTCCTCAATCATGACCTCCACCCTGACAAAAGTATCATCATCACACTTCATAATATTCTTTGCAGCCACAGTCTGAATCTATTACCAACCAGAAAAAAAGTTAAGGAAAATATAGATGATTCTACTTAGTAAATGATATGATGCTGAAACGGAAAAGATAATCACTAACTAATAATAAACAAAACATATAAGAATGCTCAAGAAAGAATGAAGGAATTGACAAATTTTGATTTTGCCATATCACTCACCCCATATTCACAGATAGCAAGAGTCTTCAGTACAACAAGATCGTAGTTATCCATGTAAGGAACTATAACTATATCACCAAAATAATCTGCTTCTTTCTTTAACTCCATATTTGTTTCCCGTCTTCCATTCTGTTGAATTAAAAATGTAGTCCCGCAACTATCAATATAAATCAGCTTAGAGCATAGCTAAGAGGGCTATAATTCTAAAAACATGACTAACTAATTCACCCTTACCAATGCTACGAAAAAGCGAGTCACCACTTCTGAAGTTCTTATCAACTTATGCTGCATCCAGGATTTCCTTAGAGCCATCCGCTCGGCAAAATGGTTGCCAGCAGAGAGGACTCCAATGAAGAGCTCAACTTGGGCATTAGGAAGAGGAGGAGCTTGCCACTTCTTGAACATCTCAAGATGGTGTTGTGGTGCAAAGCTTGGATGTGAGGAAGGTAAAGAAGCAGCAAAAATAGAATGCACATCAACATCCCCATTCAAATATAATCCAGTGGCTTCCTCAAGAACAAATCCCTATAACCATTAGCACATCACGTAGAATTATAAAATTATTTTGCAACTCTGCATTTGTCAAAAGATTCGGAATTTTTGCAAGTCATCAAATATTACTCACAGTGCGATATGGAAAAGAAGTGATGTGTCTGCCACCAACACTGATATGATAACCTTCCAAGCCAGCACTCACAGTAAGAACAAACAACTTGCCCTCAACAAAAGGGAATGGCCATTGGTAGTCAATCTCCTTTTTTCGTCCAATAAGTCTGTTCAACCACCGTGTGGCTTTTGAATCTTCAGGGTAAGGATCGTCATCCCGAAGCCATCTCTCGCATTTCACCTGGCCATCAACTTCCAGAAACCCAAAAAAGAAAAAGAAATTGACAATCATGAATCATAGTCTTTGTCCAGTCAATATATATAATATTAATTGAAGAGTTGAAGGTGAATCCCGGAAGAAAGAAAGAGCAAATGAGCAGGTAAACTGAAACTACAAAACGGTGTCGGAGGAACCGCTGAAAGAATGCTATTAACAAGTAAATGCAAGAGATATAAAATTATAAAACTGACAAGCAATATAACAAGCAAGACAGAAATAACTGACAGCTAAATCTCAATTCCCTGTTACTGCGTTTAACTGACAGCTAAAGAAACAACCAAAACTTCGTTGTCAATGCATCAGAACAAACTATAAATTATAAACAAGCAAATGCATACCAAAAGTAAATTCACTTACCAGTTTCTTCATCGGTGTCAGAACTCCAACCCTCACACCTCAACGGAGTTCTTCCCCAGTGCATTCTATAGCAAGTGTTTATCTCGATCACAGGTTTCCCACTCCAATCACCCTTCAATCTCGGATTAAAATGGAGAATTCTTGGCGGGTCCTCGCCATCAACGGTTTTCAGTCCCTGTAACTCCATTAAAAACTGTGACACCATCAGTTCATTTTCCCCTTCCAGCAATGACGCTATTTTCGGGTCTTTCTCCGGATGGGCCCACCTCGGACTCCCTACCACCGTTATGTGGGACCCCAGAGTCAGTCCACAGGGGAGCTCCAACATCCAGTTCCGGGCGGAAAACTCCGACCCGGTTAAGGTTATAGAAGTCGGGCAATGTTCAGTACGATTGTCGGTGCTATTTCTATTGACAATTATCGGGTTGGCTTGAATTTTATCCGACTCCAACTCTTCCCATAGCTTTTTCCCTGCCATCAAAGCTTCTTTAGATGCCTTGTGGAGTAAAGAGAACTCATCAACAGAGCCAACAGCATCGAAGATACTCTCATTAAAGAACAGAGCCGACAGTCTTTTAGTCTCTCGCATTCGCCTTCCGGGCGACCTGTGAGAGACCCGTGGTTTGTCCAACAACTTTGGTTCGGATTCATCATTCTTAACCAGTAAGGGCCTGGGCCGGGGCATGGGTAACGCTTGATCGACGGGCACGAACCCATTCCCAGTTTTGAAAATGAGAGGTATTTGAAGGCTCATGAAGAGTAAGTAGACAAGAAGAAGAGTCATTAAGCCCTGAATCAATTTGAGTCGAGTCACTGGCACTAAAGGATCAAGCTTGACTCGCTTCATTACTATTGTCGGCAGTGAAATACTGCAATGGTTTTTTCTCTTTTACACTTCTCTGTTAAACCCTAAGGCTTAATTTCAAGGATATTAGGTCGAGCCGTTGAAGAAGCTTAGTATTTACAATTCCTTCATTTATATGTACACAATGAGAGTAACGCAACTCCACGCTCTTTGGCTGAAGGAGAAAACGCCATAAATGGAAGAAACTGAAATCATGCAAATTTTTTACCCCTTAAAGACTCTCCTTATTTAATCCGCCTTGCTATCGTTGTAGTTACTAGTTAAGTATTAAACGACATGCGTTTGTATATACCTACAATACACACATAATAGCATACTATGTTTGTTTGGTGAGTCTTAGGTTTGATGTTGTTGGCTCATTTTTGGTTTGTGAAAATTAAAATATATTATTATATTACTCATACTTCAATCTATATACGAATTAATTACAAAATCGGTTACTAAATATCTCAATATCAAACCTAAATAGGTAGCTCAATGATAAATAATACTCACGAGATTAACCACTATAGATTAAATTACGAATTCGATCCTCTGCAACACAAATTCCTTCGAGTCAGCCTTTTATCTTTGAGGCGAGCAAGTATAGAAAAAAATCAATATCTAACAAAATCAGAAAGAGATATTATTATTTACATAAATCTAATTTTAATATATTTTATGTTATTAGTCTTTTCGAACATCCCTTGCATGTTATTTACACTTGTTCATTTTTACCAGTAGTAAATAAATGTAATTTAACTTATTTATAATATTTTTTATTATAAATTATAATATTATGAATAATTTATATTACTGAAAACCTAAAAGCACTTACAAAATAAATAAAAAAGAACATTTATAAAATAATAAGATAAAAAATTCAATAACCTAATTTTCATAAATATAAAATTACTTATTAACTAATTTAAATTTTTTTATAATAATTTTTAATTAACTTAATTTTTGCGTGTATAATATAATTGTCTACATTACTAATATATGATAAATCAGTATTAACTATTATAATAATTGAAATCTTAATAATTGTTTTAGAGCATCATTTATACTTTGAATTTTTTTTTTCAATTTTTGCTAAAGTCTATGAGCATATAATTAATTTTATAATTATTTTTTAAAAAAAATTTCAATATATTATATAGTTTGCCGATATAACATGTTATCTCATAATTTATATTTTATATATATTTCTAATGAATTTTATTTTCTATTTTATATCAAATATAAATCATGTAATATATTCTGTAATAACTAATAATAACCTTAAAAAATCAAGGAAATTGAAAGAAAAATCAATGGAAAATAAAAACATAACAATAAACACTTCTACCTTGACTATTACTCACAAAACCCTAATTTTTGACTAAGATTCTAGTCATTAAAACAGAAAAAAATATCAATCCAAAAATCAAACATACGAGGATGCATTACATAAGATTAAAATCCCATCACATATGTTTACTACTTTGTTATTTAATTAATTCCTAAAAATAAGGATATCTTGGATTTCAATATATAATATTTAATTATAATTCCTAAATGAGAAGACATTATATACGATTAAAATTTCTTTACATATATTTATTATTTTATTATTTAATTAAATTCTTAAATGAGAATTATACTTAGAATCTAATATATAATATTTAATTATATTTTTTAGTCATTAGAATTTAAATTTAAATAGAAAATCAATATAACCGAACAAAATAAATGATCTTTATTTTTTAATCAATAAAATTAAAATTATTAAATTTATTTTTATTAATTTATAAACTTACTAGAGATATTTTTGGCAATCTCATATTTCTATCCCCATTTCCACTTATATATATATATATATATCATAAATAGATATGTATTTCAAAAAATGATATAAGGGTAGGTCTATAATACCCTTAATAAGTTCAATGCGACAGATTTTATCCATACTATGCACATAGAATATCTTAGACATTTTAACTCACTATAGTAAAAAATTATGTCAAACTTAAATTGGACCAAATATATTTTTTTTCGATTATATAAATCATGATATTTTTTAAATGGTATTTCATTCATTTAATTACCTTATTTTATTTGAAAGAATTTTTTTTTTCTTATTAAAACGTTATGATAAGATTTATATATTCCATACACTAAGTGAATAACTAATTATTATTTTAAAAATAATTATTACAATTTATTATTATTTTATCCATTTCATCATGATCATCTAAGGTGATACTAAATAATTTTATTGAATTGAATTAATTTAGTTTATATGTAAAATCATTCTTTGACTCCTTGGCATGAAATTTTAAAAACTTAAAACATGATAAAATTAGCCAAATATGTTTATTTTTATATATATTTTATATTGAATTCTCGTGGATTTCTTTTCTTATACAAATCATATTATTACTAAATATAGCAAATTAATATGGCATTGTAGAAAATTGATTAATTTATGTTTGGCGGATTAATTAGTAATTATTACTTATGACATTACCAAATAAAAATCAGGTTAAAAACTATTTTCCGAGTAAAGCATAGTGATCATAAATTGCCACCAAGTAAAGCATAATAATTGCCGATTACATAAGTTTACTACTACATCAACTCGATTGGAACTCTCAAATCAAGCAAGTGTAAGGTAATTTAAATGAATGATGATTTATAATTTTCTATTTAAAATATATTTATAAATACTATAAAAATGCTATTATTTACGAAAAAAAATTATATATGTCTTCAAAAAATGTTGAGAGAGGCATGATGTCATGGACTGCCCGCCATATTGTGTTTTGTTTGTTTTGAATTTAAGAAATACACGAAAAGCAAAATTCTAATGTTAAGAGTTATGGAAATGATTCAAATATTAGACCGTTGGGATCATTAGTTGAAGATGGTGGGGACTAGTGCGATGGGAAGGGTTTTAATCGTTGGATTTGTCCTTTTCCTTATCGGGGCTTGCTACAATGCCTTCAAGAAAAAGCAAGCAAACTTTCCTTATTTTAGTTTATAAGAAATTGAAATTTGCGTTCATTATTTTCTAATCAGCATTTTATAAAAAGTCAACCACTCGCTATAAATATTGATAAAAGAGTTACAATTTTATAATTCATCAACTTTTAAAAAGAAATAATTACTTTTTATAAAATATTATAAAAATAATAGTAACAGAAACTATTATTATGTAATCGAAAATTTTACACAATATTATTTATTATTTTACAAAAATTATTTTATAAAAAAAAATAATATGATCTTCTATAGAATATTATGAAATATTATAAATTATTATACATTTAAAAATTTAAATTACTACAAAAATTTGATTGTCTTGATTTTCCTTCAAGGCATTATATAAAATGCGTAAGAAATGTTGAAGTTGGAAGACAAGTCTGAACTTTGCATTATTGTCGTTAATTATGTAAGTTATTACTGTATTTATTTGATTTGAATTCTTCTTGTAGCTTGATAAGGAAATTCTGTAGAACTGTTCTTTCTAACGGTATATCATCTCTCATGTTCACGTCATCTGATTGAAGAGACTGAAAAATATCTAAATCATGATGTGACGCCGTCCTGTTTGTGATAATTCACCTCTATTTGTATGCCTCCAGCTCCAACCAAGATTTGTAGAAATGGTGAGGAAAGAGAGCGAGAGAGAGAGAAATGGAGAAGAAGGTGGGAGAGAAAAGAGGGCAAAAATGAAAATTTTGAGATTACTTCTAAATTTCAAAATCAAAAATCAAAATTTAATTAATACAACAAACAACATACGCATTTGACAAGTATGACAATTTTAGAATTGTTTCATACTTAATTCCAAAACATTATGGTTTTTGGCCCATTTTTTTTTTTTCTTCACATGAGTAATTAACGCACTAATTTAATGTTTAACACAAATATTAATACTTCTTTCCTATTGTATGGAAACTTAATATCTAAAATAATAAACACTTCTTTACTAATAGTGTATGTATTCTTACACCAAATCAATTTTACACTCACATATAAATATAGTTAAAATTAATTTAGTTTATAATATAAAAATTAAAGGAAGAGAAAATTTGTAATTGTATTTTTCTTGTCAATATATAATTAGTTTAATATGTTATATAAGCTTATACACAAATATTTTTTATAGATGAGAAGTACGGAAACACTCGGGCGGAGTTAATGAGAGCTCCTTCCAAAAGTTATGGACACAATAAGGTATTTCACGTAGTATATTGCTCTATAAGGATTCTACTTACTTACAAAGAATCCATAGCTCTACCCGTAAACCTAACTAAATAAAATAAAAATTTTTATTAAAATGATGATATTTGTGACCTTTAAAATTTCCTTAAATAATAACTTTCATTTTATTACAGTTTTTTTCTCATTAAGATTACAAGAAAACATATTGCATTCTCTTTTTATATTTAAATATACAAAATTTTATAGGAGATTTGAATTTGGATCTACTGCTGGGTTATATATATAAATACATACTATTTGGTGATCCTTAAATTTTTATATAATATATAAATACTTTTTTTTTTTTTGAAAACGAAAACACTATTTGTATTACCTTAAAGCATAAAGCTGAAACAAAGGTTGAGGAATGGCATCCAAATACATTTTATTTATATAGATAGTTTTTTGGAAAAAAAAATATATATCAAATATTAAAAAAAGTTACCATTCTGATTTGACAAAAAAATTATTAAAAAAAAGTTTAAAATATTATTTATTATTATCAATAGCTATCGGACTCCCAAACCAAATATGCTAGTTCAGCGAGCAAGAATAATAACATAGGCAGGAACTGCTCAATCACATGGCATTATTGAAAGCGACATGTATTGCGATGCAAAAACTTAACTACACATAAAACGACAACGATGCATTTTGCATCATGCAGCGATCAACACAAAGCCATAATATTGTCTTTCATTTTCTTCCTCTAAAAACGCTGCCCACTCCCTCGGTTACACCCCATGTAGAAGCAAACCCAAAACTTTCTCGGCGCAACTCACTGTCATATTCTCATGGTTATTCTCAAAAATCAAAGTACCAATTTCTGTCGTTTTCTCCTTCCGACTCTGTATGTCTTATATATATTGCTACCTTTTACCTTTCTCTCTAACAAAACTCCACTTCCAATCGAATTCTAAAACCATCAATCATGGTTGTGGTGGACAGATTTCCAGCAGTAAACAAATGTGCATCAATCGGCAGAGAAAAGCAAACGGTGGTGGCCGATATGGATGGTACTTTGCTTATAGGCAGAAGCTCTTTTCCTTATTTTGCACTTATTGCATTTGAGGCTGGTGGCTTTTTTAGGCTTCTTTTTCTGCTATTAGCGTCGCCATTAGCAGGGGTTCTTTATTACTTTGTATCAGAGTCTGCTGGAATTCAAGTTCTTATCTTTGCTTCATTTGCTGGTTTAAAAGTGGCCGATATTGAGTCTGTGGCTCGTGCAGTGTTGCCGAAGTTTTACTCCAGCGATCTTCATCCCGAGTCATGGCGGGTGTTTTCTTCGTGTGGGAAACGCTACGTTTTGACGGCGAATCCAAGGATTATGGTGGAAGCATTTTTGAAGGATTTTTTAGGAGCTGATGTCGTTTTGGGTACAGAGATTTCATGTTATAAAGGTAGAGCAACCGGGTTTGTTCGCAGCCCTGGCGTACTTGTGGGAAAGAACAAGGCAAATGTTCTTCGCAAGCTTTTTCCAGATATTAGGCCTGACATTGGACTTGGAGATAGACACACTGATATTCCCTTCATGGCTCTGTGCAAGGTTAGCACTTAATTTTTTCTGGTTCTAATTAATCACATATATATGAACAAGGCACAATGTTCTTTCGCGCAAAGCTTTTTTCCAGATATTTAGGTCCTGACATCTGGGACATTGGAGATAGACAACACTGCATATTCCCTTTCATGGCTTCTGGTGCCAGGTTCAGCACTTTAATTTTTCTTGGTTCTAATTAATCACATATATTAATATATTACTATATTAATATATAATATATATATATATATATTATATATATAAAATTAAAGCACGAGCACTTAATAAATCTCCTATTAAATTACAGGGAGGGTTAACCTGGTTGCACGGGAAGACAGGAGGCCAGAGCCAGAACGGCGACAAAGCTACCCAAAAAACCAAGTAGCTCCGATGATGGCCGACTTAGATCAAAAGGCCAACACCATTAATTGGACACTTAGTCATTTTAATCTTGGATTCCTATAGGCTTGCATTCCTGGCTTGTTTACGGATATATAAAATTAAGCACGAGCACTAATTAATCTCCTATTAATTACAGGAGGGTTACCTGGTGCCACCGAAGACAGAAGCCAGGCCAGTAACCGGCGACAAGCTCCCAAAACCAGTAGTCTTCCATGATGGCCGACTAGTCCAAAAGCCAACACCATTAATGACACTAGTCATAATTCTCTGGATCCCTATAGGCTTCATCCTGGCTTGTTTACGAGTTGCAGCCGGCTCACTCCTACCCATGTCAATGGTCTACTACGCCTTTTGGGCACTTGGCGTCCGTGTCACCGTAAAAGGCAATCCACCTCCGCCTGCAAAAAAGTCAACCGGTCAATATGGTGTCCTCTTCGTTTGCTCTCATAGAACCCTGCTTGACCCCATATTTCTCTCCACCGCCTTAGGCCGCCCTATTGCAGCAGTCACATACTCAGTTTCTCGTCTCTCTGAATTCATTTCTCCAATTAAGACTGTAAGGTTGAGTCGAGATCGTGTGACTGACGCGTCAATGATTAAGAAATTATTAGTCGACGGTGATTTAGCTATTTGTCCTGAAGGGACTACCTGCCGGGAACCTTTTCTTTTAAGGTTTTCGGCATTGTTCGCCGAATTGACAGATCAAATTGTTCCAGTGGCTATGGTGAACCGAATGAGTATGTTTCATGGAACTACAGCTAGAGGATGGAAAGGAATGGATCCGTTTTACTTCTTCATGAACCCTAGTCCAGCTTATGAAGTGACTTTCTTGGATAAGTTGCCTGTAGAGATAACTTGTAGTTCAGGAAAGTCCAGTCATGAAGTGGCTAATTACATACAAAGAGTTATTGCTGCTACTCTTTCTTATGAATGCACTACATTTACCAGAAAAGATAAGTACAGGGCACTTGCTGGAAATGATGGAACTGTTGCTGAGAAACCTAAGCTGCAACACAATAAAGTGATGGGTTGCTAATTTTATTTTTCTTTTTTTTTTTTTTTTGTCGAAGTACCTTTTCATTTTGGTGTTATTACATCTTATAACTATTTTAATTTGGAATAGAAGTGATCAATTTTCCTTCTAAGTTTCGTATACAACAAAATCATGTCTTGTTAGAATTTAGAATCTTACTTGGAAACAGTTGAAGTGCAATCATATTTGTCCTGATTATGTTTTGCTTTGATTTTATCATTACCATTTTTTATATTTGTGGTTGCTATCTTATATTATAACCATAGTAGCTAAAAACTGTTTTCACGTTCAAACAATATTTGAATTAACTTTCTATAATATTTAGTTTTTAATATTTTTGAAAAGTTACTCAAATAGCTATTTAAACAGTTTTTAGCTACTTAAATAGCTAAATGCTGTTAAAACATTTAATAGATATCAAAACAGTTAATTTTGCCGAACATGTATAATTTAGGTTCATCAACATATCTTTACATGCATGACATTGACATATCTTTACAAAAATAGGGTGAATTAACCAATCAACAGAAATGGAATGCATTTCCTACTTTGCACATAACATAGAACCATCATATTTGAAGCATTCCTCTAGATCGAGGAAGAAAAAAAATATATACATTCGCACAACTTTAAAAAATATTTTTACCAATCTCTAATATTATGGGAAAGGACCTGAATTATCCACTATAATAATACCCTTCAAATCCAGGTTTATCTGCCGTAAATCTTCTGTTCCTGGAACTTCCTCGTCAAATAGGTTTTTTTATCTCCCGTAATTCTTCATCTCCATCAAATATTGTCAAACATTCGTCAAGGTACCATATTAACAGAAACAAATTGCCCGTCAGAATGAATGGGTTTAATTATCTATATATACATTACATTAGCCCTTTCTTTGCTATTATAAACCCAAAACAAACAGAGCGGGTCATACGTGTTGGTGGTGAAAAACTTGCTCCTCTTTTTGCTCTTTCCTCAATTTCATTTCTATCGACAATCAAATTTGATTTTCTTTTTCTTTTTCATTTATATTTGTAACAGAATACTCCAGAAATAAATTCATCAGATAGGATTGAATTTGGATTTGGAATTGAAATTGAATTCAGAAAAAAATGTCGAGAGCGTCGAGTATAGGAGACTCAGCAGAACTCGAAGGAAATTTAACGCTCAGTGAACGTTTAAAGGTCTTTAAAACCTCTAATTTCGATCCAGATGCTTATATAAAATCCAAATGCCAGACCATGAACGAAAAGGTGCAAATCACTTTCTATTGGATTGTATGCTTAATAAATATTACTGGGTCGTGATTGCTATTTCCTTTTTGAGGACAAAAAAAAAAAAAAAATGGGGTTGGATTGTATTCTTAATAATATTTATTGGGTCGTGATTGCGGGATATTTCCTTTTTTGAGGAACAAAAAAAAAAAAAAAGAAAATGTATGAGTTAATTGTGGATGCAGGAATAAACATTTTGTGTTCTTACGCTTAGTTGAGCTAAAGAAGGCATCTGCAGAGGAAATAAAAAAAAAAAAAAAAAATGTATGAGTTAATTGTTGATGGCAGGAATTAAAGCATTTGTGTTCTTACCTTATTGAGCTAAAGAAGGCATCTGCAGAGGAAATGCGTAAAAGCGTTTATGCTAATTATGCAGCCTTCATTCGGTGAGCTATGGATAATGCTTCTGCTATTCTTTGTTTCGCAATTTTTGTTGTTTTTGAGTAGTAAGATGGTCAGTGTAATATTGGAAGATAGAGAGATTGCTTCCATCTCCTTTTTTTTTTTTTTATTTGATAAATTGGGTTTTGTTTCACTTAACATCAAATATTGCAATTATATCTGTAACTTAGAAATTACAGTAAACTAGAATTTTATTGGCATGATTTCAGGTTTCAAAAATGTTTTGCAGGCAGCCTATGACTTTCATATAAAAATAGTTTATATGCTTTTTCTCGTAATACGGCTGACTTGCAGCCATCTTAAAAATATCTGTACATCTTCCATGAAATTGTGATGGTCACAAACTCACAATTCATCTTTGTAGATAAAGATCCAAGATAATAAGAAAGGCGGATTGCTTGTTATTTCCTACCATTTGATTTTTGTACCTTCTTCAAATCTAGTTTGAAGAAGGATTCATATTTTATTTCATATTGTTCAATCCCAGTTCTGTTTAACCAATAATGTCTAGTTTTTAATTAGATTTTCAATTTCAAAATCATAAATTTATGTCTGAAGATTGTAGTCCATAAAGTTTCATCTCTCCATGCAGATTCAATGAAACCAAAAATCAACTCATACTCTTGGTTTATTTCAACTTGCTGAAGCACAAAAAATAAAAAATGTTTCATGCTTCAATATCATGATAAAAATGATTCAGCAAATTACCGAATGAACTTCTAGTGGATTGCAGTTCTCAGTTCTCTTAGCTTGCTACTATGTGGTATGTATGGCTTGGCCACCTTGGGCTTCCAAGTCCTTGGAAGGATGCAAGTATTTTGGAAACAAGCAAGCATGTTCTTCCATTAAGTAAAAATGAATACTACTCACAAATATTCTCGGTTGTTTTAATAGAGACAATAATCTATTTTGGTTTCATTTGCAGCACATCAAAGGAGATTTCAGCTCTTGAGGGGCAGCTGCTTTCTATGAGAAATCACCTGTCTACTCAGGCTGCTCTAGTTCAGGGTTTGGCAGAACGTGTTCGCATTAATTCACTGTGGGCTGATTCTGACGCCCCACTGGCAGATGACCTCTCTAAATTTGAGAAAAGGGAACTTCCCAAAACAGAAGATTGGTTAACAGAATTCCTAGAAAACCTTGACGTTTTATTGGCTGAAAAGAGAGTGGGTGAAGCTATGGCAGCTCTTGACAAAGGAGAAGGTTTAGCCAAAGAAGCCAGTAAGAAGCACACACTGAGCTCAACTGGACTCATTATATTACAGACTGCCATTAGAGAACAACGACAAAGATTAGCTGATCAGCTTGCAGATATGACTACCCAACCTTCAACACGTGGACCAGAGCTTCGATCTTCTGTTTTAGCTTTGAAAACTCTTGGAGATGGTCCCCGTGCCCATACATTATTACTTAATTCTCACTACAAGAAGTTGCAGTCAAGCATGCAGAGTCTTCGCCCAACTAATGCAGGACCATATGCTGCTGCACTTTCACAGCTTGTTTTCTCAACCATTGCACAAGCTGCAAGTGACTCCCTGTCAGTTTTTGGTGAGGAGCCTGCATATTCTTCTGAGCTTGTAACTTGGGCCGTCAAACAGACCGGGGCTTTTGCTCGTCTTCTTAAACGGCATGTCCTAGCTGCATCAGCAGTTACGGGGGGTCTAAGGGTTGCTGCTGAGTGCATTCAAGTATGCTTGGGACATTGTTCTTTGCTAGAAGCTCGTGGATTGGCCCTTTCTCCTGTTTTACTAAGACTTTTTAGGTCCAGTGTTGAGCAGGCATTAAGTGCCAATTTAAGAAGAATTGAACACAGCTGTGCTGCACTAGCCTCTGCAGACGACTGGTTGCTTGCTTATCCACCAGCAGGTGGGCGTTCTTTAACTTCTGCTTCAACCCTTAGTAATGCAATTTTATCCCAGCCAAAGCTTTCAAGCAGTGCTAACAGATTTAATTCAATGGTTCAGGTGATTAATTACACTCTCTACTAATATTAGAAGAACATGATCTTTTGACCTGTTTTATATTTCTTAAATTATTATTAGTTTTTTTTTTTTCATATTCATCTGGCAGTTGTTGCTACTTGCTTTCAACCTGCATGCCTGTTGATTTAAGTTACGGGACCTCTTCTTTAAGTTACGCTCAGTCTGAAAGTGAGGAATGCTCACTTAAACTTATATTGCGGACAAACATTCTATTATTCCTTTAGGCTCCTTAATCTTATTGTAATTGTTTTTCATTCTTTGTCTGAATTCAGGAAATTCTAGAAGATATAGGGCCCCTTGAGAGCCTTCAATTGGATGGTCCTGCATTGGAAGGTGTTCTACATGTTTTCAACTCCTATGTAAATTTGTTGATACGTGCATTACCTGGTTCAGTGGAGAATGAAGAGCATTTGGAAGGTTCTGGCAATAAAATTGTCAGTATGGCAGAAACTGAAACCCAGCAAATAGCTTTACTAGCTAATGCTTCATTGTTGTCAGATGAGTTACTGCCACGTGCTGCCATGAAACTTTTGCCATCCCCTAATAAGGATGAGCAACCAAGAAGAGCTTCAGATAGGCAATCTCGTCTTCCAGACCAAAGGGAATGGAAGAAGAAACTTCAGCGTTTAGTTGATCGCTTGCGAGATACCTTCTGCAGACAACATGCTCTTGAGCTCATCTTCACGGACGATGGTGACATTCGTCTCAATGCAAATATATACACGAGTATGGATAATCAAGCAGAGGAGCCTGAATGGTTCCCATCTCCAATATTTCAGGTAGCTATGTCTAGGCTGCCAGATTGCATTCAATTCTCAAAATATTGTGGGTTTGGTCCGTAACAAGTACATTTGGATGTGCTTTTTGACATACAAATGAAACATCTATAATAGCAACCTGAAGACAATGGATTCCCACTGTGCGCTACCATGATGTTCTTGCCAGGTTTTCATGCCAGTATGTTGTATCTACTAAAATTAGGATAGAAAGACTTCTAGTTAAATGTTATAATTCCTAGAACACAGAAGAAGAATTTTTAGATTAAGTCTACCTTGTTCAATTCCATCTACATATTTTAGCGTATTGACTCCATTATTTTTCTGAGTATACAAATGTGAAAGAGAACTAATGTGGCTTTATTGGGTACCGTGTAGTAATTTAGGACAAGAGAAGCATGTGTTATTTCAACTTTCTTTTTTACTTGAAGACACCATGGCCAGTCTTCTCACTGTTTGGAACAGTTCCTTTTCTCTCCCCATCCCCCAATAAACTACTTTGCATTTCCGTTCATGACACCAGCACAACATCTATCTGAAACACTGTATTATGAATAGCTGTTTCTGCTCTATAAATGACTTGTTATATAATTGTATTTACCAAGATTATGAATTTTTTTCATAAACTGCATTTAAATTCAGGAACTCTATATAAAATTGACTCGGGTGGCAAGCATAGCAACTGATATGTTCATAGGTAGGGAAAGGTTTGCCACGGTTCTATTAATGAGACTCACAGAGACAGTAATCCTTTGGCTTTCTGACGACCAAACATTCTGGGAAGAGGTGGAGTTGGGACCAAAGCCTCTGGGTCCTCTTGGCCTCCAACAGGTATATTTAAGAATAAGCAATCATTATTTATGTACTTCTCCTTTGCTTATTTTATGCATCAGGGGAAGGTTTTCTTATGATTGTTCAATTTCTATTGCAGTTTTATTTGGATATGGAGTTTGTTTTACTCTTTGCATCTGAAGGCCGTTACTTATCTAGGAATCTACATCAAGTTATAAAAAACATCATAGCAAGAGCAATCGATGTGGTATCTGCTACTGGTGTAGACCCTTACAGGTACTTGTAGTTTAACTTTAAACTAAACATAACGAAATGAAATAGTGTATGTGTATATAAAATTAATTTGGTTCTAGCTGGGTATGAATCTTAAAATCTTAATAGACAATATGCAATAGATGGTTTTGAATTACTTTATAACTTTGATTAGCAAATCAACATCTAAGTTGCCATGATGAATATTGTGTTGGTAGTGTACTGCCAGAGGATGACTGGTTTGCTGAAGTTGCTCAAATAGCTATAAAAATGTTATCTGGGAAAGCAGATTTTGGGAATGTAGAACGAGACGCTAGCAGCCCCACTGCATCATCAGTCATGTCGCATGGAAGTAATTGAAGGTTAGCCATTCATCAAAGCTAGAATATTATTGAGAGGGATATCCCTTGCAGTTTGCTTTTTTGGCTAGATATAATACACACTGCTGCTTTGTGCTCCATTTTCTTTGATTCTTTTATATGTCTCAACAGACGGGTTATATGTAATAATATTTTGTAGTTTTCTTCATAGCTAGCCTCTTGTACATGCATAACCATGTACTAAGGAAATAAGGAATCAATTGCTGTATTCTTCTTTGCCAGAGATATTAATGAGATTGTTCCAATTTTGCAATTTAAATAGACTTACACAAATTCTATTCAACTACAAGTTTGGATCTATAAAGCCATTAAAGGATGGAAAGAGAATGTTCGAACATGAGACCTTTTGATCCCAGAATCTTTTTCTTGTCCATTAATGGCTTTTGCCCCAAGAGGTTTACCTAACTATTCATTTAATTTTTGCACGTAAGCTTATAATTTTAAAATTATTCAATTTGTGGTTAAAATTATTCAATTTGTGGCATTTTGTAGGAAGTTTATAATTATTTTGGGGTTTTTCACTTTATTTCACCTTAAATTTTCAGTATTAAAGAGGCCAATTGGTACCTAATAATGGATTCGTTGAAGCTTCAACGTCAGTTCTGTTCAGGGTCTCATTTTCATTATCCACTTAAAAACTATTTATAATTTGTTTTTTTCAAGTTACGAATTTACTTCTTAAATTTACTTTTTGGTGTTCAATGAATAACAAACGCGTGGCAGAAGACAATTTGCTCACTTATATGACGCGTTGATTTCACAGTTGTTTCCGTAAAACGCCTAATTGCCTTCCCGTCGTCGAGCAACCGTTAAAAAAATTGAACTACTACCCACTTAAAAGACGGCGCGTCGCATATGTATAACGGTCTTGTCTCTCATGAGCCCCTGTGAAGAAACCGTCGATGAACTAATTTGCCATCGGTCGTCGAGTGATCGCCAATAAAACAAAATACACGTGGCAAGAGGTAATTTGCTCGTTTAAATGCGATAACAGTTGAACGACAATCAACCCTGCTTCTCTCGAGCGTTTCTGCCCTCAATCTCAGTTGCCGACTTGACAACTGACCTCCAGACCTACAACTGTAAACAAACCGAGCCAAATCGAGCTTTAACTCAAACTCAATTAAAATTTGATTAAATTTGAAAAATCAAATTCAAATCATTATAGAAATTTATAGTTTATTGAACTTTTTGTCAAAAAAAAATTTTAGAACCGAGTTTCAAACAGCTTAATTCATTTATAATTTTACTTGAGATTTTCTTATTATAAACACTATAAATATATAATAGATATAAGCATGGTAGATCAATTTTAAACTATGTTAATCTCTGAATGGGTGGATAAATTTTAAAATCTCCAACCTATTACTTGGGATTATATAAAATATTTTGATCTCGCTTGATAAATGAACTGTGAGATGCTTCTCGAAATTCCAAAAATTTTAGACAGAGGTCGAGTCCTTGGGTGTGTGTGATGCCTGACACATAGAAGTTGTTAAAGTACATTTTAAGACCAAAGCAATCCATTGACATGGGAGTTATAAAACCTGCTTCCTGGAAAAGAACGTCTCAGTTGGCCATTAACAAATCTCAGTAACAACTTCTAATAAAAGTTGTTTTTGTATTTTTTGAAGAGTACAAAAGTGGTTAAAGATTAGTTTGATCAGTTTGAACTATTGGTTGGGACCAGTGAAATCTGATATTTTCTTTAAAGCAAATCCAAAAGACATCATAATTCAAACATATTTATGCTTTTCAGCATTACAATCTGTAAAGAGAAAAAGGAAAAGCAAAACCACTATTTTTGACCCTCTATTCTTCTTTAAGCTACAGAGATGTGCAACTTACTATTTTCAAATGCATTTCCTGCAAAAACAAGATTTATTTTCTTACTTCAGGTAAAAATGGCTTGTCAACTGCTATGCGTACTTCTTGTTCTATTTGCAATCATATCGACTGGAGAGGGAAATCAAAATGCAGGCAAAGTATGCAACCCTGTTGACCTAAAAGGTCTAACTTGTTTCAAGGCTGCAATTCATCTTGATACTTCTGGCCGGCTAGCGAAATGGGTTGGTGTTAGTTGCTGCAATTGGGAAGGTATTCGCTGCAATAATCAAACTGGTAGAGTAACAGAAATCCATCTTTCAGGATTCATTTCGACTGATGATTTTTTCTTCCAATCCGAGATGAGAGGATTTCTGTCTCCTTCTATAACATATCTCAACTCTCTCCAAGTCATTGATCTCGGTGGCCTAATAGGACTTGCGGGAAGGATCCCAACAGCAATAGGCTTTCGCCTTCCAAATCTCCGAAAGCTATACTTATATGGCAACAGGCTCAGTGGATCAGTACCAGATAGTATTGGTAAGCTGTCGAAACTTGAAGAACTTCACCTGCATGAGAATAGATTGTCCGGTTCTCTTCCTTCGAGCCTTGGTAATCTAAAAAATCTAAATCAATTGCTTCTATATTCAAATCAATTTACTGGTATGATACCTGATTCACTCACAAATTTAACAAATCTGATGCAACTGGATGTCCACAGCAATTCTTTAACTGGTTGCATACCAGACAAGGTTGGTGGAATGCAGGCGATGGAGAAGCTCGACCTTTCGGATAATCTATTAAGAGGAAAAATCCCACTTTCATTAACAACTTTGAATGCTATATCAGAGTTGTATTTGGATTCAAATTATCTTGAGGGAGAAATCCCATTTCCAGCGAGTTCTGGTCAAATGTATTCTCTCGGTTTCCTCAGACTGAATAATAATCTTCTCACTGGTAGAATACCTCGAAGCTTCGGATATTTGGTTTCTCTGCAAAGAGTTTCCCTAGCAAATAACAAGATTGAAGGAACAATTCCTTCCAGCTTGGGGAATCTATCAGCTTTAACAGAGTTTTATATCAGCAACAACCTTCTTTCTGGGCAGATACCAAAATCAATCTCTCAACTTTCTCGTTTAATTATCTTAAACGTCTCTCATAATTTGATTCAAGGGCCATTACCTTATGAGATTTCTTCTCTCAAAAATCTTCAAACTATCGATTTGTCATTTAACCGTTTGAACTTAATCTCCTTTCCAAAGTTTTTAGCCGAAATGTCATCGCTTTCCAAGATATATTTAGCTGGATGTGGAATTCAAGGAGAAATTCCAGAGTTCTTGCGAGCAACACCAAGTTCATTACAAGAGCTAGACTTATCAGCTAACCGTCTCACAGGAAGCTTGCCAGCATGGCTTGGAAGCTTGAATCAGCTCTACTTGTTGAATCTCTCAAGGAATATTCTTGTTTCGAGAATCCCTGATTCAGTTACGAACTTGCAGCATTTGGGGGTGTTGGATCTCCACTCAAACAAGTTAACAGGAATTATAAGTGAAGTTTTTGATATAGGAAATGCATTTCCTGATGGTTCAATGACATATGTAGACCTTTCTGATAATAACTTCTCAGGCGGCATTGAACAAATTGGAGTAGGAGCTCAATCTGAGATGAACTATCTCAATTTGTCACATAATTTTTTACATGGTAGGGTTCCAACATCCATAGGAGGATTGAAATTACTTCAGACTTTGGATTTGAGCTATAATAAGTTAGGCTTCAACTTGCCAGAGACTTTAGCCAATTTGAGCTCATTAGAAAGGTTAAAGCTGCAGAAAAACCATTTCACAGGAAAAATACCAGCTGGGTTTCTGAAGCTGAGAAAACTCAAGGAGCTGAACTTATCAGATAATCTTTTGGAGGGACAAATTCCGATGGGTAAACCTCTGATCGAGTTCCCATGGAGCTCTTACTCTGGAAACAAAGGTTTATGTGGGAAACCTCTTACTCCCTGTAAGGCTTAAAGTTGCAGATACTTAGGTGAAAACTCAGATAGGACTAGTGTTTTGCAATGATTCTGCTCAATTAAAAAAGTTACATTATTTATTTTATAATTTGCTTGCTCCTTCCTTTCCCTTTCTGCATCTGCAATTGCTTCATTAGTTAGAAACTAAATAACTTGCAGGATCATCAATATTTTTACAATTTGAAAATGGTGCATTTTACATAAATCCTTGAGGCACATTTTTTCAAATGTAAATTGAGGCCTGCATGCATTTCAATCAATTTGTCTTGTAAACATAGCACCTAGAATAATTCACCTTAATACATCAAACTTGGTCTAAACCTAGCACAAATGGACAATCAATACTAAAACAATCTCCCACGCGTGCACACTCTTTACACAGTGCAAAGAAATAATAATGAAACTTGATCATGATTTCATTCCATAATTTATATCATATGCTACAGTCAGGACTAAATTAGTATGAAGGCAGTACAATTAAACAATCAAATTAGACATGGAACTGGTTCTGTTAGATTTGTATGCAAGTGTGGTACATAAATGCTATTGGGTACTTTTCCTTTGTAGCTATAAAGATGTGTTACAGGACTGGACAAATGCTGGAACAGAAATTTCTCTGAAAATTAGCCTTTATTTAATATTGTTGTTACATCATTTAAGTACTTAGAGCTTCAAAGAACTCTTGGTTTAACCCTAGTTGACGGTAATTCATGTAGTCAATTCCGTTTAACCTTACACAACATAAGACCTGCTCCGGCAACTCCTCCACTTTGTTGCCCTATTAAAATATGCAAAAACAAGGTGTACAAAAATCTCAGATTCTAAGAATCACCATAAAATTCAATAAATTTCTCAAATTCAGCATCTATCAATTAGCTTTATTCTTCAAAAAGAATATATAAAAAATACTTGCCTGTATTGTGAGGCCGACATCCAGGACACAAATCTTAAGTCTGTCTAGGAATGCTTCAAAACCTTTCCTAGAGATGTAACTGAATCTATGCATGTCTATGTCAATTTCGAAGTAGGTTTCTCTTTCTCCCTGCAAGAAAACATTATCTGCTTTAAACAAATGCTACTTCGCCCGACCCATATTAGATCATGTTACACAGTCTTAATAGCAAGCAAATTATTTTGAAACACAGCAAAGGGAAAGCAACTCTAGTGTGGAGACATGAGCCATCATGAGTCACAATGCACTCACATCATCAAACTCTCTTGCTTGCATAAGACAAAGGTTCTTAAAATTAAGCATTCAACATATATAAGAATTCTGTAGAGAGAACAATTGCCTTAACAACTGTAATTGAGCACTTTACAACAACTTGTGTTGTAAACTAATTTATTTCTTGTAGGTATCAGCCTGACCACGAACGAAAACGTCATCATCTAAAAAGGAAATAAGCAAAGTGAACTTCAACTCTAAATGGATAAGTGAAATTGCAAAGGAACTTACTAAGTAAAACTCATGCTGAGGACGTGACAGAACAGGTTTCTCATTATATGCCTGCATAAGTTTCCTCTCTGCAGCACTTAAATGAAGATCTTCTATATTTACTACTCGACCCAATATCTTCAATCTTTCTCGAAAGGGTACAATTGTATCTACAGGGAACCCTTTGACTTTTTCAACTTCATCATCAATTAACCGCTGTTCAAAAAATTAACGATTAAATAAACAAAGGCATGGGGATGAAATGATGAAACTAATTGACAATATGAAATATCCAGCAGCATAGAACAATATCGTCATCATGAAAAACATTTCTTTTCTTTTCTTGGCTAGTGATAGGATTATAGAGTAGTAGTTTTGCCAAAGCTAAAAAGAACTAAACAGGCTTACGATGATTTTTTTGAATATGTTGAATTTCAGTTATAATAAAAAAGGCCCCAATCTTACCCTGATACTTTCTTGAAATAGGGTTGGAACTTCCTTTGAGTAACTCTCAGAAAGCTTAAAATACAAAACAAAACTCATTCCTTCTCCATCTATTTCACTTTGAAAAAATGCGGCATTATACAATGGAATCTGCAGAACCCAGACAAGAGTCAGCCCAAACAATTCATACAAGGGAAACAATGAAAAACAATAGGAAACTTTCATTCTAATTCAAGCATACTGTTTGAGATACCTGAATATTCACATGTACATACACCGATAACAAATGTCCAATGTAGGAATACCTGAACGTTTACGACAAGTATATTTGGAAGCTTTCCAGAAGAGTTAACAGCAGGGAGCTCCACAAACCGAGCAATATGATCAACTTTTCGAGGTGATAAGAATACATCAACCCCAAATGGATAGTATGCAGCATAGTTAGGAGCAAATTCCTTCTTTTTGTCCCTACCATACAGAAGAAAAGTGCAATTGAATCTCTTGAAAGGAGATAATCATGTTAGATCTACATTTAGCCTGTGACAAAGGATTTACATACATATATACTGTATATACATTAAATTAAATGCAAGTAGCTGGAATGGTGTTCATGCATAACAAACTAAATAATTTCCATCCTTTTTTTTTTTCGGTTAGAATAATTAATTTCCAACTTCCTAAAAGACTCACCTGAAATAGTTCTGTCCCCGGACTTTGAAACTGCTCGGTTCTATATGTGACCAACAATCAAGCATTTTCTTATCTATTGGACAAAATGGGACTTGCGAACCAGCTATTGGCCTCTGCAGAATTGGCTTAGAAGAAACTGAACCATAAAAGAAGAACAATAAAATAAGAGCTAGTTTCTCTAATTTATACTGGGTTGTGAAGGATATAAGTGCTTTTGATGTATTATCACCAACTAAGACCTAATATCAAATGTGAAAGGGGACAAAAGAATTTTTTTATGAAATAAAGTATTAAAGCATCAAAACCAGACCACATATGTACATTACTTCTGAAAAGAATAAACAAGTTAGAACTACTTTTAATATAACCATGCCTATTTGAATTTCAAAAAACTGAATTACAAAGCTTCATTAATTTATGTCTAAGGTTTAGGAGGCTACCAAAAACATCTATTATTCTGGTCAAATCATTCAATATAAAAAACAAGCAAAGGTTGCTAGGTAATATGAAGACAAATTTCCCATTTATGTAAGAATATATTTAACAGGGGATGGCAATGGAAGTCATCAAAACTTTGTAGAATTTGAAACTACTGTTCCACAAAATTGTGACTCTCTGAGCTGCATACAGCAGTTAAAAGAACTAAAGGATCAAAATCTTAACAAGTATTAGCATAAGATCAAATGATTTTTGAAAGTATAGCTGCCTGAATGATATTAATGACAATGAACATATTTCATGATTATTTTTTCACTTTCAGAGTCGATAGTGGAGTACTCACATAAAGCATTGTTAGGATGCCCTTCCTTCCATTTGAATGAGAGTTTTAAGGCAGCCTTTTTCCTTGCACTTGGTGGACTAGAGCTTAGAGATCGTCTCTTTTCAACTGGTGGAACAGTTGAAGCAAGACAAGGCAAACAGTTGGCTGGAAGAATTCCACAATTATCTAATAATCCTTCCCCCTTGCCACCATTTTCATCCACAGATGACGCAATTTCATCAAGGAAGACTGGTTGTGAAGGTCCCTCAGATTTTGGTAGGGAATCTGCATAATCTGAGTTGAAGACCTGATTATTTGGATGTCTAGCAGCCTCACTCACAGAGTTCCGAGCAGAGTTTCCTGCTGATGAATCCCCTGCCTTCTTCATATGATCACCTGAAGAGGTATACTGGAAACCAATAGTATGATCTCCATGTTTTGCATCTCTGCTAAATGCAATACTTGATGGTGGTAAGCCTTCAGAACCGTTTAACGATAACACATCTGCAGTTATTGAACACATAATTCCACAACATAAATCGTCTATTAAGCAGCGGAAGAAAAGACAAGTCAATTGTTCAAGAGATATTAGAACATCCAGATTAAATACCATACCATCTGGAACACTTTCAAAATCTTCCTCACAATCAGATTCAAATATTGGAACCGAGTCAAACCATGCCTCCTCAATACTTCCTGCTGATGTTACCATTGTAAAAAAAGTGAGGATACAGCTACAAAGAATAAAGGGAGAAGTAGCATATATGCTATACACATTATTTCACAACAAAGACAACTACTATGGCTATGTTGTCAATGCTAGACAAAGTCATCAAGAAAAATGCTATTCCAACAAAATGTGATGGTTTCAGCAGAAACAGTATATGAGGAAAACATGAAAAAAAAAATCTTAAATCTAAATAGAGGATAAACTTTATCGGATCATTGGCCATAAACCTAAAATATAAATTAGTCAGCCAATATATTCAGCATGCCAGTTAAAAGCATATTATGAAAATCCTCATCTCAGTTCAAAAGAACAAAGTATTGCAAATCTTCATCAAAAACAGAGCACACTTAGAGAGCATAGCAAGTTGTCTTCCATCTAGTGAGTACCAGTTCTTTCATCTTTCATACGATAAGGACTTAAGGGCGGAAATAAATAGAACCAGTAGATTAAGGATATATATTTGTGGAGTCCACTACAATTACCAGAGCCACAAACATTGAAAAGGATTTGACGAAGTACAGTTGTCAAAAGCCACCTGTAAAAAGTTCACAAAGAATCATAGACAGCACCCCATGCTCATCTGCAAATCACCATTGACATGGACTATGGAAGGCCACAACAGGCTGTGTAGTCAATTCTTCATAAATATACAACAATTATACTAGCCATCCTCTTATCTTACTAAAAAGAAATGGAGGAAAAATATCCCCATCTCCTCAAGCAATCATCAGAATCCAATCTGCTAAATCCAGATCAAGCTCAAATTGGTAAAGTCTTCTGCTTCCTTGAACAACAATATCAGATATAGATCTTTGCTAACAATTGATGATCCAGATAATTTTCATCAGCCACATTCATTGCGATCGATAAAGAAAAATTAAAATGTCATCATATGTAATTATTACACCACTGCAAATTAGCTTACAAGTACAGCTTGATGAAAAAACACACACACACACACAAAAAAAAAAAAAAAACCTTGCTTTACATAAATATCATCAGGACAAATAGTACCAACCAGTTATTGCAATGCATGCTAGTACCTTACTTCAAATAAAGAGCTTCTCTTTATCATCACATTTACCAATATCCCACTAATCATAGTAAAAGAAAAGAAAAGCTACATGCCATTGTTGCCAACGTTTCATGCAAAAAAGAGATTAATCATAACATTACATTAAGCCAATCTAATACTCCAAAATGTCCAAATTCCAAACCAAAAATATAATCAATTAAAAAAAAATAAAAATCATACCATCACTACCATCAAACAAATGAACCCAAAAACACAAACCCAGTAAAATGCAAAAATCAAATCAACCACCATTCAACCAAAAAGAAAACAAATTTGATTACAAGACGAAAAGGCAAGGCCAAAATAATAGAGTGAGGTGTGGACCTTGAAAGGTGGTGTTAGAGAAGGAAGAGCGATGATCAGGTGGAACAGCAGCAGCAGAAACAGAAGAAAGAGGCCTATCAAACTTATTATTATCCAGTGATCCATCAGATAATCTAGATGACACTCTTCTTCTGATCCCTTTCCTCTTCTTGCGTGTCTTCTTCTTAGACCTCAATCTTCCACCTACACACCCTTCTGGTGTTGATACACATGCCCCCATATTTTCTCTCTCTTCCCCACCCCCACCACCACCACCACCCCCTCCTCTCTCTTTTCTCTCACAGGATCAGAAAGTCTCCATCTTCAACGAAAAAAGAGCCCAAAGACAGACAATTCTAGTAGTCCTCAAAGAAATGATATAAGAAAGAGAGAGAGAATATAAAAATAAAAACTTGGGAAGGTTATAAACAATCAACAACTACCATCATTCATAGACTTTATTGCTCTCTCTAGATTTTCAAGAACAAAGAAAACAGAGAGGAAAACTCTTTTTTATATATTTATATTTATATTTATATTCATATAATAACACAAGTCCAATAAATAATTAAGTTATGGTTTCTTTCAATATTGCTCACCTTTTATATCAATATAAAAAAATAATAATAAAAAGAAGAAGATATTATTATTGATTCATTATTTATTGTAAAGGAGCAGCGACGGCAAATTTGTGTTAATTGTTTGTTGCTGGATGCGTAAGGCATCAAATATGGCGAATGGGACCCATTAATTCATAATAGCTTTGCCACGTGGATCATTACTATTAGCCCAATTAGGAGTTTTATTTGAGTTCCTGGACCAGCTATTTCAGTGCGTGTGGTTGTCTCTTTTGTATTTTCTTTTTTTTTTTTTAAGAAAAAATATTTGGGGTGTAATTAACGTTGCCTTTTTTATTATTTTTATTTAACATTTAAATTTATTTTTATTATTTATTAAAATAATGAATATATATACACACACCTTCGAACAAGAGATTATATGTAGTTTCTATAACTTGTTGAAATTTGTAAGAAATATATTAATTTTAGAAATTAAATAAATAATCTTTTTATTTTGCTGTTAAAAAAATATGGATCTTTTTAGTAGTGAAATGGAGAAAGTCATATATATCATCCCAATCTACCTTCAAAGGAAAAAAAAAAATTGTACCAGAAAAACAAAATTCTTTAATGAATATTTATTTATAAATTAAAATTATTGATACTTAAAATTAAAAAACCAGAATATAATAATTAATTAAAAAAAATAAAAACTAAAATAGTAATTTTGAAAGCCGCAAAGAAATATACAGAGCATAGATGGTGTCAATTTTAGACGCTAACAACGTGGCTTTCGGCTGAAAAATCTGATGCAAAGTCTGCTTACGTGTGAACTTTCGGAATTGTATCACAAAGAATATAAATATTATATATATTAAAAAACAAACAAAAGGGAATTGGTGTGATGTGATAATAAAAATTAAACTTGTTTTCAACCTGAAACTGCTCATCTCTTCAGCTCAGAATTTTTTTTTTTTGTCCGTTTACACTATTCTGCGAAAAAATTTATAATAAACTATTTTGAATCTAATGCTAAGGTGAAAAATAATTATCTAAAAGGAAAATATAAATTTTATATATATATATATATATTAGGTGAGCTGGCTATGTAGATGAAATGTGGAAGGTATGGGGTGAACTTGCTTAATTGGTAAATTCAAATATGTACAAACGTGAAATTACCAAAAGTGATCATAAAAAGAGGGTCCGAAACAGAGCGTTTTTGTCCTAATTTGGATATATATTACGTAATAATTAAAAGAAAGAATAAAAAAAGCGTTACGGCTAATGAACAGAAATTAACGCTATTATGTGGGGCGAGAGGGCTGCGAATATGTGGCGTAAATGATTGGAAGATGAAGACTAACTCGCACTCGCACTCCACATGCAAACCCAAAGAAATTTCAGCACACGTGTGAAACTACGCTATTTTTAACCAATCCCTTTGAACGGTATATTGTCAATGGCGAGATTATCATCTTTTTGGAGACAGCTGCCAATTCGTTAATTAATTAATTAATAATTATGTAGAAAAAAAAATTTTGATTCAATAAATGCTGCCATATTTTATCTTTGAATTTATGCAAGTAGACAACTGCCATTATTATATTGCGTTATGTATTCTTTTATTTTTTATAATCTACAAAATATATAGTTCTTTCTTTTCTTTTTTTTTTTTTTTTTTTTTTTCTAACAAAATATATAGTTCTTTTTTCTTTCTTTTTTTTTTTTTTTTTTTTTTTCTGGTCCATTGAATTGCTGGACAAATGGAGTTTCATAAAATTTTGATTTGTAAGCCATCATGAAGCTAGAAAGTGGTCACCGTTGAGTTAAAAAAGAATAAAAAAGTTTAAAATATTTTTTTTTTTTTTTTTTTTTTTTTGTCCATTTGAATTGCTGGACAATGGAGTTTTTCATAATTTTGATTTGTAGCCATCATGAAGCTAGAAAGTGTCACCGTTGAAGGTTAAAAGAATAAAAAGTTAAAATAATAATTCAGTCCTCATTTTTATCATAATTATAATTTGGTTTTTTTAATTCAATTTATACACTATTTAATCAATAAGATTAAATTAAATTAAATTTATTTTTTTCATAAAAAACCATTTTTTCAATAATAAGAATTAGAAATTAAAGAAATAAATAATAATGCTATATTGAATATAAATGTAAGGAACAAAATTATAATTACAAACCAAAGAAAACTAAATAGCTATTTTAAATGAATAAAAGAAAAAAAAGAGAAAAGATTTCGTACTTTGGTCTAGTCAAGTGATGGGCTAAGGGCCCCTCAATGCAAAAACCAGGTGAGCTGGCTGTGTAATGAAATATTATTGATAAATTTATTAGCAAATATATCTTCTGAAAGTGATATAAATATTAAAAATTCTTGAGTTGAGATATCAAAGGCAAATAAATTTAACACATTCGAAGAATAAGAAGATTTTGTTTTTTTTATTCATTAATGGGTAATTATTGGGTACAAATAATACTATTGATTACAGGATAACAAATACTAATATTTACATTTAAACAATTTGTATTCAATATGTCAGTAAATAAAAAAATAAAATTATATTTTTATATTTTTATAAAAAATAAAATAAATCAACCAAATTATATTTAATTACCACGAGATAAAATTATTTACTCTGTCAATTATCATGAAGAAAGTAAAAGTATTAGACACGTTTGAATTACTGATAGTTCACCATTTTAAGTTAATTAAAACAAATTATTCAACTTGGTAGAAAAATTAAACAATTGACATGCGAAGAAGTTGTTCGCCTACTTATTTGCTATCTACTAATTCTTTAGTCTAAGTCAGAAAAAGCTTGGCTTTCAACCGTAACCATAAACCGTAAGGAAATGAAAATGAGAGGGGAGAGAAAGTGTGGGGGATCAAAATTTCATTGATGTGACAAAGTAACAACATGTTTGAAAATATTACTCATCATTGAGTGAAAGAGAAGTTTAAAGAGATTCCTTTCAACCGAACCAAACATGGTTGATCCTCTCCAAATCAGAGAAAAAGTGCCTTCTAGATTGAGCCTACCCATAAAATTATTAGTATATAATAGTAATCTTTTATAATTTTACACTTTTATTTTGCAACTCGAAAAGCATTTTTTGTTTTTTCAACACATCTATCACAATTTATTTTCAACTGGGCAAACATTAAAAATGCCGATCAAAATAAAATAAAATAAAATTCTGCAATTTTTTGATCCAAAACAAGAATATTACATTTAATCTTTATATTTGTAAAATAGCATTAAGATTATTGACAAAAGCATATGGTTAACCAAGAGTTTTTCAAGTTCATAAGCAATCATAATTTACTCATTCAATTCAATTAGCAGCCAACCAAAATGGGGAATCATATTATTACTAAATAAATGCAATGTTTTAGTACTGATTAAAATAATAATTAGAAGTAGGAGAAAATGTGAGTAGATATTTAGGTTATGATTCCAATGTGTGTTTGACAAAACTATACATGATGATTATCATTCAACGCAACTAATTAATTAGTCAAAGCATTAAATGAGCCAAGTAGTAAATCACTCTCATCTTCATACATTAAAATTTTGGGATCATTAATAATAAATTAATTAATGCGTCTGGCGAGTCTACATTAATTAATTAATTACCTTCATCTGCCCGGCTTTAATTGTTTGTTCTCATTTTCCTAATTCTACTACTACTCCTACTAATATTTTTCTTAACAGATTTCAGATATTCACGCCTTCTTTCCTTTTCACTTTTTTTTTGTTCAATTTATGTTTTTGTCTTTTAGTCAAATTGTTTAGTGGTGAGGTTGAGGTACCATCAATTTTTCCTGGCAGGTGAACTAAATCCAAATTGCTATTGATTTCACGTTATTGTTTCTCTTTTTTTACTCTGACCTATTCACAAACTTTCCTCCATTGTGCATTCAAAAAACAAAACATAGAAACCTCCTACCTTATCACCGAATTTAAGGTCGTCTTTGGCAACACTAATTTTCTTTATCAAATCAAAATTCTATTTTGTAATATAATATTTACCATAGCTTTTAAATATTTTATCAAATGTTATGTACTCTAACATTTTAGTATTCCATATTTAGATTGTATTAAATTTTTTGATAATCATATTCATTTTTTTTTCTCCAAATTCAGCTAATTAAATAGCTATTTTTACCGAACAATTTTGATTTAGCTCCTACATTTAATAACTATTAAAACTAGTATTATCGTAAATGTGTGAATATACATAAATATTGCTCATATTTGATATTTTAATAAATATTGTATTAACATTTATATTATGTGATTCAATTTATTTATTTATTTTGATTCCAATTGTCTATATTTACATAAAATTTAATATAATTCAAATATAAAAAGTAATAAAACTAGAAGAGAAATATATGCAGGAAAAAAGAATTCACTGAGACGAATCGTAGAATAAAAACCCACATGAATACCTGTCTGGAAGGACATAATCAACGGTGTTGAGAATCTAGACCTAAGAGTAAATTAATCAAATTTGAATTTAATATTAGACTTATAATAAGTTGGACTTACCTTTTAACACAATATAACCTAAGTTATTTTGATCGATTCACCATTCATATTATATACCCTTTTAATTAGTTTTATTTATCCTGACTCTGGATTACTCGAAAGCTTCAACAAACGGGGTTTCTTCTCTTTAGAGGGAGGACAGTCCATGGAGAATGGCCCCCACAATTGCAATTCATAATGGGTAGTAGTTCCATAATTCCATTCCCTATGCCCAAAAAGATAAAAGAGCATTGTTTTAGATGAGGGGACACTGTACAGTTGGAAAGTGGTTCTCTGTGTCGTTCCGGTTAAGCAAGCAATCAAATAAAAAATAAAAATAATGTGCACTACTAAACAATATAGAAGAATTTATGGATAGTCTTCCTTCATAATCATAAGAGATTTGGCTAGACAATTTTGCTTTAGGTACACGTATAAGCAAGCATGACTTCATTTCTGGAAAGAGTGAGGAATTGAAATTGAGTTGCTCATAAGTCGATTGGTTTTAACGAAATTCCAGTTTAAAATTAAAATCAAACAATTATTTTCCTTTTTAATTTATTATTTTTTTAGACAGTTTAATAAAACACCAAATTATAATAAACGGAAAAAACAGATAGTCTTTGATTTTACAAATATTTTTCTTTTCACGTTTCAAAATTAGAATCGCTAATTCTAGTTTCAAACAAATAAAGAACTAAAACCAAATCTATACACTTTATTTCAGTTTTGATTTAGAACAAAAAATAGTTGGTCATAATTTGATTTCGGTTGGTTCTGAGCAATTTGGTTCCAATTGAATTTCGATTTAAAATTGAACCAGGTCATGGTGATGCCTAGTACTAAAACATTTCGTTTTATTGTATGTTTATCACTTTATTATGATCTTTGCAGGAACGGCAATTGGGATAAAAGTTTAATTCATGCATTATCCCTTTTTTTAGCATCGACGAGAAACTCTCGTGCCATTTCAACCAAACTATCAAGATAAAATCTAACCTGTCTTGTCTTATCCTTTAGCCTTTTCTTTCTTCCTTTCCTCTGAAAAAAAAATGTTAAACACATAGTTTGTGGATATATATACATAAATGAGTTATATAAGTAGACAAAAATAATTATTATTATTTCTATATAAATAATTTTGAGCATTTTCTCATCAACTCATTCATTTATTTACCAAGACTAAATATCATTTCTAAACTATTTTAAGTGTCTATTCATGTTCGAGATTTACATCAAAAATTAATTCTTAGACACTGATTTTAAAAATCAAATCATGATCAACACATTGAAGTCTAAGATGTATATCCACTGGGGTATTGATGTTACACACGTATTTTTAATGTGAAGAAAAGATTATTAGCAAAGGAATAATGGGGCTGTGCTTGAAAGGATTAATTGAACGAAAAGGTATTTTTTTAAAAAAAAAAAGTTGGTACTTTTATTTTTAATATAGTATTACCATACGAATGCCCATCATTTCTCACTTCAAATATGCACCCACAGCTCTAATAACCGGGTATCACCTAATTCCAAAATAAATCAAATCTATGTCCTTTTGATATTCAAACAAGAAAAAGAACTGACCAAATCGAAATAGTTTTTGCAGTGGACAAAAAGTTGTATTGAAATAGTGAATTGAAAAGGCTCTTAGGGAGATGATAGTTTTATGAAGGTATGAAATGAAAAGGCTGAATGCAAAAGGAATGTCAATTGTCAAAGAGGTGTGGAATCAACATTCACCTACTGATTCTATTCTACTACACAACATATTGAAGATTGAGAAGACAAGACACAATCCGCCGACTGTTGTCTGCTATTAAAAATTTATTCTAGAATCAAATTCTATACTTTCACCCTGTCCAATGCCTCCAAATCCCAATTTATTAGCATTTAAGTATGATTCCATTCTCTAAGAACACTGAAACGGCTGGCTCCAAAAAGACAGATTTGGGGCAATTTCAAGGGTGCATAGGAATCGTAGTTGCACGTTTGATTTGGCATGGAAAGCGCTAAGTTGAGTGTGACTTCTCTGCTCAATATTGACAATATTGACTTTTTTTTCAAGTCTAGACAATTACCTAATGAACTTTGTTTGTATTTGGTTGACTTTTACTGCTCTTCACTTGCAGTTATGGCTGTTCTAAATCACAGATGGGGACCAATTACCAAATCAAACCTCTCCCAGGTAACAAGTCAGCTTTTGCTGAGGCCTGGCTGATATCAGGGTTTAATGGTCAATATACACTGCTCAAAAAGAAGTTGTAAAAGCCGGCCCAATATGTAACCAGAAAATGGGCCTCACTTACTATGGCTCGACTAGATTTGCATTTCTTTTATGAAATTGAGATCTATCTCCAGAATAGAAAAACAATGTGAAAATCAAATTGAACATTCTTGGTGGAAGAAAATCAAGCAGACTTACGAAAATGGTGATTGCAAATGGTATTGTTTACATCATATTCCTTCTTCTGCTGCGCCCATAAGACAATAATCTAGTTATCACTAATCAGAATGTTGAAAACATGACCAGTATCCTAAAATGAAATTTTGATACCAAATAATCTAGTTAAACCTGGCAATTCTGAGGTTTCTGCTCGAGTTGTTGAGCACTCTGAATCTAAATGGTGTACTGTTGCAATGAACTGTGCATAAAACATATAAAGATGTTAACTGTTTGATATTTTTTAATCTTGGAAATGTCATCTAATTTTCTTCTAAGCGGTGATTGGCTAATGTAAAAAACATACTTGTGACCTCCATAGCAAATTTTATCATGGTTCAAGATGGAATATGCAATTTCATTTCTGAAAGGATACAAATGTCTGGTTACTTTGACATAAAGATGATAACATCTCTTACCTTTCCATTGTTTGCTGCAATGCTTGAATCATGAACTGCAGATTGAAGTTCGGAGCAAGGCGAGTGCGATGGAGAAGTAGAAGACTGCTGATTGATCATTTCAAAAAGTTTTATTATTCTTTTAGCACAGTAACAATAAACAAGTTCATTAATTTGCAACAACAACTCTACTTGCCTCTGACATACAAGAGTCTAAATGATTTTTTTCTTGCTGGAGGTTCCCGACCGAGTGCTGCTCTTGACATGTAGGTGAAGCTGCATAAACAGTTTAATAATCTGTGCTTGGTACATGTCTCATGTTTTCGTTTTTGAATTTCAACTTGAATTATTTCTTTGCAGTACACACAGAGGCATGTCACCTTTTAAAATCATTTTGTGTTTGAAAAGCAACAGTTATTTGCAAATTAAGTTTAGGACCCATTTCTGGGAGCTACTTCTCAATTTGCAAATACCATTGTGCTCAATGTGATAAGTTTCTGTCTGTAAATAATACATCTATTTTAATATCTTCCAAAATGCATACAGGCTATCGAGTATACACACCTTAAAGTAAAAATATAAACATTTACAGACATCCTATTCCTAGGGTCTTCAATTGCTAATCTCTAAATCAGTGAAAATAAAATGAAGGAATAGCATACCTAGATTTTCTGCAGCACCCATTCTGCAAGCCTTATGTAGAGATGCTTCTCCGATGTCTATGACATCTGCTTCAATCCTGGTCAGCCACTTACAATACAAATAGTTTCATGTGTACGAAACAGCATTTGGATAAAAGCATAAGTTATAATGCTTGCATACCGCACAAGTTCAAAATCTGTCTTCAAAAAAGCATAAGAGACCTACTGGAGATGTTCAAGGATTTATTTTGTTTCAAAGACACTGCCAGAATTGGTTTTTTTTTTTTTTACCACACGAGAAATTTGTAATACTCTAACTTATCTGATTACTGAACTGAAATAAATAGGGTTGATGTTTTTTTTTTTTTTTGCCCTTAACTCTTTTAGCTTCAATAAGAAATGTAAATTAATCAACTCAAAATTGAAAATCCTCCATTATGAGGGCATTGATGTTCCCAAGAAGCCTATTCAGTTACCTATTATCTTCATCTACCACAACCATTTGACAGTCTTCTTGACATTCCAGTGCGGAGGAGAACACTCTTTTGTCCTGTCATTCAATTAAAGGAAATTTTAGCCACAGAAGAAAATGAAATCAAGTTAAACTAAGTCATAAAGTTATCCATGAAAGCTCCTAGACAAATCATAAGATAAGAAATACTGAGGTTTAGAGGTTACACCAAAATCCATGGATATGATATACTGATAGACTAAACTCAGCATAGTAAAGAAGTAAAGTCCACAGCCAAACAACTTTATCTAGAGAATGGCCATACACCTGCTTTAAATCAAAATCTAGAAATTTCAAGGAACCATAAAATAGCCACATTTTCGAATAGAGCTTTTCTTATGGGCAATGATATTATTGTCTTGTCAGCTCATCAAGGGTAAATGTCTATAAGTTAAATGCCAAAAACATGTACTGGATAATTTCTCACTAAATGGTTCAAATGGTTCTTAGGAATGAATGCAAATGACAGATTAAATTTGTGGGTGAATGCTCATAGAAAAAATGAAAACCTTTTCTGACCTCTTCATCCATATCTATAACAGTCTCCTTAACCTTCTGTAATATTAGTGCTAACTTCCTCACTTCACAATGTAAAGCCTGATTGTTCAAAAAAAACAATAGAGGTCAGTGAGCACGAAAAAGCTGAAGTGAAAAATAAACAGCCAACAGTCTCAAATACTGACCTCTTTTTCACAAATCAGATTCTGGATTACTGCATCCTTTGCTAATAGAGCATTCTGAAAGTGAGGCTAGTTAAGACCACTCATAAGAAAATATTTTCAGCTAAAATTAAAAAAAATTTCATTTGGAATCTAGAAGTTAGGCATAGCATAGCAAGCATGGATATATCTCCTATTTGAGTTTGATTACTGTTCCTAATTTTTTCTGCTTCCAGCTGTGCTTCTAGCTCTGAAATAATGTTGTCTCTCCTTTTGAGCTCATCCTCATTGTTTTTTAGTTGATTTTCAAGGCAATGGACCTTTTCTGCAAAAGAACAGAGTGAATTAGACATAACTGGATCTTGACTTTGTTAATTAAATAGTACCTGGACAATTGAAGTATTTCGAAAGGTTTGAAAGTGATTAGAAATGAATGAATCAAACATTCAGGTTTGACCAAGGAGCAACAGATAAAAGAAATGCTAACAGCTAGTCTTAACGATGATCAACTGATAACATTCAAGAGTATATAAACATTGAGATGAAAACAAAATAAGATGCAAATTCTAATTTATGTAGGTGAACTAGGATGTGAAGTTACCAACAAATACTTTCTCAAAAGCAGAGACTGTATCCATCTTGCTCCTTAAGCCAGCCACTGAGAATAGCAACGAAGTTAATAAGAACTTCATATTAAAGATTTCCATTTGATTATGAATACCCTATGCTGGAAATAAACATTCTGATACATCTGGAACCAATAACGGTTGAGAAAGCTACGTGCCTACATCCTCTTTTTCAATCACAAGGAGTTGCACTTTGTTCACAACTTGCTTGATTAAGAATGCTTCCTTTTCTATAGAATCAAACAATGATAGGTGAGAATTCAGTTTTTCTGATAGGAGACTGAGCTTTCTATCTCTAGCTTCAATTGCACGCTTCATCTCACAAGTTGTTTCCTGCTCATAAATATCAAGTCAGTAAACAATATATCATTTAAATATGTTCCTAAATTATAAGGTAAATCAATAGCATAAGTTACTCTTAGATTTATTGAGCTTCACAACAGTTTCTGACAACAATTCCAGCTCTTAGAAAGAACACGATAGAACTAATTTCAGCCTTTATTAATTAAATTGATGGCCCCCATTAATGATAACCTTCAAAAATACCATAATTTTCCATATAAGAAAAAAAGGCATAAAAAAGAAGGATTCTTTTCTTTTAAAAAGTGAAAAAGGTGATAGGACTGAGTTCATGAAAAATGAAGTAACCATGTGTGAAGGTCCAATAGTACTATAATAGGCAGTAAATAAGCTAAAAAATAAAAACTAGATCTCAAGACATTGGAATTCTGGAGTTGCTTAAAAAAAAAAATCAATATAGTTTCTGGAGTAGGCACAAAAAAAATCAATAAATGTTAATAAATTATGTACCGCCAAATTTATCATCATCAAAGAACATTCAATTATGCAAGATTCTTCACAACGCAATTCTTCAGGCACCACACAGACGAACAAGAGGAATAAATAAAAGAACACGCGTATTCAGCTTTTCCTAACATGCCTCATAAGCATTCACGAAATTTTCCCTCGATTGAAGCAGGGTTTGTATTGTTCCCTGCAACTCCTTCTGTCTATTCTCAAGCAAAGCATTGTCGTTTTGTAGGTAATTCACCTATTTTAAAAAAATTACAACCACTGTCAATTGGCTAAAAAAATTAGTTAACACGCAGATTTAGTTTCTAAGGAGCATTTCCACAAACACATAGACAGACTAACCTTTCGTTCGAGCTTTTGGTGCAACTCGTTGGAGGAAGCTAATTCCGTTTGCAATTCTTGCAACTTCCTCCCATATTCCTCCTCGGTTTGCTTCTGTTTCTGTCTCCACAAATTATCAACTTCTCAAAGAAGTAAAATTGAAATCGAGTGGAAAAGTAAAACAAGTGTAGCAGAACCTGAATCAGAATGCGGCATTGTTCGGTAGCAGAGTGTTCTCTTTCCTATATATATTATATCCCATAAATAACCAAAATGATCAGAGAAGATAGACAGGGAGAGAGGTTAAAACGGTTATTGAAAGTCTTACTCTGAGATCTCGAAGTTCTGTGGTCAGGGCCTGAAGCTGGAGCTTGAATTTGGAAAGCTTTAGTAACTCCATTTCCCTCCAAAAATATAAGGTTAATACGTGCGTCTTATCAAATCTGTAGCCAAAAAAAAAAAAACCGAAAAAAGGGAGAGGGTGACTTCTTTTATCTGGACAACCCGTCGTTTGCTTCCGCAAACGGCTGCTTTTTTGATTGTTGTAAGGCCAATGCATGTAGTTTCAGTGAACGACAGACAATGGCGCTGTTAACAAATGACTGTCGCTTTTTTTTTATTGTAAACGACAAGCGCAACGTGCCATTTTTTGCGAATGAGCCGTCAATTTCAACTAACGACTAAAATCCAGTCGTTTCTAGGAAATAAACGAATTTTCATTTTCCTGTATGCGACCAACACCCACAAGTAACTTATCAATAGAGAATAGACAGTTAACAGAAGACGGCGATTTTTTATGACAGTGGTTGATGGTTTGTCGTTTATATGAATCCAGCGGTGATCATAACGACAACTTCTTCTTGTCGTTCATAAACAATTAAGTGCAGAACGGGGCCGGCACGTAAAAAGCCCAGAACTATGCCGATTTTATTATTATTATTATTATTATTATTATTATTTGAACTACCTAAGCTTAACCAGTCTGTAGGAGTTTAGGTTATGCCAATGCACAGCTGGTAACTCCATCGTTTTTCAGGAAATTAAGGGTAGCGTTTGGTTAATCAGATCCTAAGTAGGCTCAATTTCTTCAATTACATTTTGAAACTATTTCTTAAAATGAGCATTCAATTCAACCGAATTAAATCACTCCTAACTAAAAAAACCAAATTTCAAATAAGCAGAAAGCAAACTAAATAGGCATGAAAAATCAAATAGAACTATTTTCAATTTTTTTTATAGAGAATATGATTAAACCAAAATATCTAAAATTAAATAACCGATTTAATTGAAGAATCAAATTGAATTGACCGAAAATAACATCGAGTTTAGGCAGAAATTTGCATATTTTACTTGTAAAAATCAGGAAAAACGTATATATATTCATGTGTTGACCCACGTATATATTAAATTAATTATAAATAATATTTTGATTCAAACGAGAGTATTTTTTATCATACATTGAGAGAAAAAAAAGGACAAAATATTAACTTTTTAAAAAGACATTTTTTTTATTTATGTTGTATTTAGACTATATTAATTTTATAAAAATAATTACTAAAAGATGTAGGTTAACACACAGTAGTCATTTATTATATAGAAATAAGTGAATCATTCAATTCAACTACCAAAAAATTAAAATTTTGATCTTAAAGTTTAAATGTTAGAATGACTTGCAGGTTATAAAAGATTTTCAATTCTCTATAGAGACAATGCAAAACAAAGAAATTGAATAAACTTTTTTCAATTTACACTAACGTTTTATTTTTATTTATTTGAATCATATATCAATTTAATTTGATAAATCATATTTTGAGAAAATAGTAGAAGGATTCTGATATTAAAATAAAACTTTTATGTTAAATGGCTCGAGTGATTGACAGCTTATAGCCGGTTCGATGGATGTTGACATTCAGATTAAACGTTGGTGTTTGAGATTTAATACTTGCTAGGACCACAGTGCTTTCCTACAGTTGTGGTAGCAGCGGACCAAAACTGTCCCTAAATTAGGTCTCTATAGCCCATTTGATTTTCCTTTCATTGTTGTTATAGTTGGCAGCCTGTCACAATTTCCATCGTTTAATTTTTTTTTTTTTTTAAATCATTAATTCTTAATCTCGATAAATTTGAATGCCATTTCCCAGCTAATAATGGTAATTACTGCTAAATAGCGCATCCACAGTCTTTAGAAGGATACCTACCTACTATATATGCAGCTTTAAGCTTTTATACTATGCATTTTTGCCTCAAAGTTAGATGAACCTACCATTTTTTTTATTGATATATAAGCAACGTTTAATCATAATAATCATTTAGCTTATATTCAATAAATTATAAGATATTGCATTGTAATCGATTTATTTTCCTTTTAGCGTAGAAAGAAAGGACAATAAATATTTATGCTCTCACTAAATTAGTGAAAACACTTATGGTCGAAAGAATTTAAACTCGAGACCTCTTACTCTCACTCATACCACATATGATTGGCATGAATTATAACGTACAAACCTCATATAATAATTTAAAAATAAAACTCAGCCACCATTGAGCTATCACTTAAAATTTCATTTGTTCCAACTAAAATTCAAAACACTGTGTATTGTAATTCATTTTAAATTCACATCTACCAACTTAATAGTTTGGTGTTTATCTCATAAGATTATCGCAACTCAATTATTAAAGACCAAATAAATTTGAAAATGAACAGTTGAGGGACTCTTTCATATGTAATAAATGTCTAACAACTAGTGGCCTAGGTGACCAATTCCCTTTAAAATTTCAATTTACACATTTTTCTTTTCAGAAGTTCATTAGGAGAGAGCTTTTTTTTTTTTTTTTTTTTTTGTGGCCTTAGGTGACCCAATTCCCTTTTAAAATTTCCAATTTACACATTTTCTTTTTCAGAGTTCATTAGAGAAGGCTTTTTTTTTTTTTTTTTTTTTTTTGGCATGTTTTTTTTTTTTTTTTTTTTTGGCATGAGAATTGTTATTTGTTAGTATTATTAAAAGTAAATCCAGCAGCCTCCATCAACAGAATGGAAAACTTACCATTTTTGGTAATTAATCACATGAAGTGGGGCTTCATTATAATTCTTTGGTGCTAGACAGTGAAATTGCCACCATTTCTTGTATTCTTCCACGTGTAATTCCCTTCAAAAGAAAAATATTCAGATGACGATTAGACACACCAATTTCCTTTTTTCCACGTGCTCAAAATACAGGGTTGTAATTCTTTTCTCTGCTTTGTTATTGATCCAACGGTCTAGAATTGGCCATCAACATCCAATGACATAAATTTGTCCAAATGATTTGATACTTCATATAACGTCTTGAGCAAGAAGCAATCTAGTCTTTCTAGTGCCTATATATGCCTAGCCAAATTAGATATCCAAATGGGAAGGTTGGCAAGACCTATATATATGATTGGCTTCAATGTAAAACACAGTTCACATCCACCATTCTTTCACAAAGAGCCAACTCACTTCTTAGATTTTATTTTGGGAACCCAAAGGATAGGCAAAAAAGCCTATAGGGGAAGTTAAAAACACCTTTCATAAAGAGAAGTACACTAATCCAGAGGAGATTTAGCATTAGCCCATGTTTGGTTATCCAAATTCAATATTTCTATCCAAAAGATGTTGTTAATTAAAATTAATTTTTTGAATAATGAATCATCATCGATGATAATAAAAAGTTCATAGGGAACTCAACTTTCGATTACATAACTGAGAGTGAATTGTATTCCAAACGAACATTATTTATGAAATTAAGGATAAAAAAATCTAGAATGGTCGTTGTTAAAAGGGATTCACTGGTTTACATATATAATAACTTGAAAGGAAATATAATTTTGACAATTATATATAGTTTTTATTATAAATTCAAACCACTCTTTAATTGGTCAATGAAACCAATATTAGGGCAAGTTCCACAAAATGAGCTATTTCGGTGGCCGTTGACTATTTTAATAACATTTAGTTGTCTGAGTAGTTATTAGCTGTTCAAGTAATTTTTCATAAAACGCTAAAAGTTAAACATTACATGACTTAACCTTTTATAAAATAATATATTAACTTCTAAAAGCCAATACAAATATTGTATTATTAAATTAATATTATAAAAAAATAATGTTTAATATATAAAACGCTAAAAGTTAAACATTACATGACTTAACCTTTTATAAAATAATATATTAACTTCTAAAAGCCAATACAAATATTGTATTATTAAATATTATAAAAAATAATGTTTAATATTTTGATGGGCAAAAACTACTTAAAATTTTGTTTTCCTAGTTTTGTTTGCACCGTGCTCTAGCCAATTGAGGTGGCAATAGGAGATACAAAATTACCCACATGTGGTTTTCAAGCACGTGAAAAACACATATTTCATCTGCTGGCAATTGGATTTGGGCTTACACTTTTTCTGTACTTTGCTCAGATGATATGTCCAGCTGGCTTCTCTACAATGGCAAATTTTCAAGTCACGTGGATTTACCAAAAATGGTCTTCTTGAAAGAAAGCAATTACGTTGTTTCTTTCCCTTGAAAATGAATGGTTGATGACTGAGCTGCTGATGAGGTAATTTTGGAGCATACATAGAACAATTATGTGATTGCCTGTTTTATGATAGAGAAATGTAGGTATTTATGTAAATAAATCACCAATTGTAACTCGCTTGCTAGTTGCTGCTTCAATCAATTCTAAGGTAGCTCACATTAATTATCCAACAATAAACTAAATCATATTCTTATTTTTACAGTGTAAAAAAATTTCATTAAACCTATTATTAATCTGCCGAAGCAAATTTGCAATTTAATTCATCCAATAGGATTAATTTTATTTTTTTCTCTTATAGGTACAAGAGAGAGTGGAAGAAAAGATAGAGAGCGATTTCAATCGCGGCTCGGTTCATATGATTATAGAAGAATCCTATCGTTAAGCTAAGCTTAAACCATAAATAATTAAACATAATTTGCAATATTTATGTATATTAATAATTCATCTATTAAGCTATTAATAGATGAATTGGCTCACAGGTTGTTTGAGTTTGGTTTAAAAAGTAATTGTAATCCGTTTGTCAGAACCGAGGGGTCTTTCTGTGGAAACCTCCACAAACAATCGTCGTTTTTTGATGGTTTTTCCGCTTCTCACAGCTGCTCTTTTCACACCTCCGGATATCTGATGCCAAATCGTCGCCCTGATAATAGAGTTGGCTATCTTTGTGGCTGAAAAGATTTGATTGGAACCGAGTTATGTTAAATTATTGTTATTATAGTTATTGAGCTTTATCAACAATGAGTCTTAACTTAAATTTAAGCCTCTGAGTTATGTTCAAATTTAAAATTTCTAAACTCATTAGAACCTTCGTTGCCCGGTAAATTTAGGTTCGACTGAGCTTTTTTACTTCTGTAATTGTAAATTAATGGTAATGAAAATGGCGGTGATGTTGGTATGTTTTGGATGGTCTCCGTTCTTAGAAGTTGGCCCCTATCCAAATAGCTCAGTGCATACTTTGCTTGGTAGCATCTATGGCCATCTCTCTACAGAACCAGTCAAAAATCAAAATTATTGAATTCCACAGAATAGGGTCAAAAGTTTATTGATCGAATATGTCTTTTCCAATTGAAAGATATCTGCTCTCATGGCATCAGATACTTCCATTCATTTTGAGTTTTTCCTATATGTATAAAATCTTTCTAATAAAAATCTTTAAGTTTTAGGTAATCTAAAAGAAAAATAATTAATTTCTGAAAAGAAAAAGATAATTACGCAGTTTTTAAATTAAAAAAAAGTAGCTAATCAAGCGTTCCATCACAAATAAATATAAAAATATTCAAAGCGTAATAGATATATCTCTGTTACTTTCCTCAATTCTTTCTCTTGTGAATTTTGGATTCCAATACAGTTAGATTGTGAAATGAGAAATATATAATAATAATAATAATAATAACTATCATATTTAAATTAAATTTAGCTACTAATTAATATTAAAATTAAAAATTTAGATTTTCTCGAATTATTTTTACTAGCATACGAGAGATTTGAACATTTGCACAATACAAAATTTTATTAATCAATAATAATAATAACAATATCAATAACAACCTTAAACTTTTTTTCAATTTTTTTTTAAGAAATTTTTTCACCTATTTAAAACTTAAAAGAAAAAAAAAAAAATCAGATGCCTACTCCAACCACGAGAGGATTGTATAAAATATGTTACCTTTAGTGGGCCAAGGAAATAAATAAGATAAAGATAAACATATAGCCAAGTTTGGAAACAACATTTTTGATAGTGGACCATTGAATTTGTGGGCCTCCTTCTTAAACCTGGGATTATATCCAAATCAAGAACTAAAAACCATCATCATCTCTAACTTTATATTAACATCACAATCATAAACATTAAACAATGATTAGTCATTATTAATAATCTATTTACTAAAATGAAAATCATGTGCTAATCAAAACCAAATTCAAAAATATCATTACTCTAGAATATTTCATTCATTCATTCATTTTTACTATTTAAAATACTTCAATTTGTTTCTGTATATACTTTCTGCAAACTAAGCTAAATGACCCCCCATGACCCATCAATCAAATTAAAAACCCAATAATGCCCTTACTACTTGTTGAGTAAGCATCACCGTTGATCATTTAGAAACAGGTTAGATATTAAAAGAAAAGTAAGCTAATCCGACGGTGTGGAAGTGAGAGAGAAGTGTTCGATAGACAAGAAAATAAAAAGAGAGAGCTGGATCCTCCGAGAAAACCTCACTGGAAGTGACTTAGTTTGCAACTCCCGAGGTCTCTTTCTCTGTCTCTGTTTCTCTCTCTTTTTGTAATAGTGAGTGAGTGGTGGCACAGTGCGCACCAACCTCCATTGTCTAAGGAGATCGCACACACAAACACAGACACCTAGTCTCCTTTTTCTTTCTCTGGATTTGCTTTTTTTCTCGTTTGTTTGATACATAGCTTTCGCTTTCCTTTAATGGGTTCTGCTTCTTTTTTGTGAAGCTACTTAAAAGCTGCTTCATTTCCCTTTTTTAACGAACCCATTGAGTTTGACACGCAATGCTCCCTTAACGAACGTGAAAAAGATTGTAGCTTTTGGTTCAATTTGAGTTGGGATACGAATCGTTTAGGTTTGGTGGGGATATTTATATGGATCCGCCGGCGATGATGAATAATGGGTCGTATAATTTGGCTGAGATCTGGCAGTTTCCGGTCAATGCAAACGGGAGAGGTCAGTTTGGACAGAGCTTGAGTGGTCAGTTTGGGGATTCGAACGGGGATATTTTGCGCAATGATCCGATGAATTTGGAGCAGAGAGGAACTCGAGGTGGCGGCGGTGGAAGAAAACGCCGCGATGTAGCGGAGGATGACTCTGCAAAGGTCTTATCTTCAAGCAATGTCAATGGCAACGGCAACGGCAACGGCAACAGAGTGGTATTTGTTTTTTTATTTTATTTTATTTTATTGAATGATCTCCCTAACCTTTTTTTGTTGTATTTTTGATTTATTTAGATTATTCAAATTTATCTTCATTTTGGTTGTCTAATAATGAAGAGTTAACATGTTGATAAAGAAAGAGTTGTCTCCTTGTTATTGTGTTTCCAATGTAAACTTTAAGTGCTTTTTGAGGTTGTCTTTTTAGCTGTCCATTTATTTTTGTGAGTGAATTCAATTATTGATCTAAATTAGTAATCACACTTAATTAAGTTGACTCAGAATTCAATTTATCACCTAATCAAACTTGGGAATTTCTATCCTTTTATGTAGAAATGATCATCTAGAATGTTTTCCATCAATATAGCTGGGTGCAATTAAATTTTTGTAAATTACAGATTTTATAATGAATCAGAGTTTTTTTTTTTTTGGGTGATATTTTTATCTTTTGTTTTGTAATCTGAATTGGGCAGAATGATTCAGATGCTAAACGGCTTAAAACATCAGGAAATAGAGACGAGAATCATGATTCTAAAACTGAAGCCGAACCCAGTTCAGGCAAGCCTGTGGAACAGAATACTCAACCACCAGAACCACCTAAACAAGATTATATCCACGTACGGGCGAGAAGGGGTCAAGCTACTGATAGCCACAGTCTAGCAGAAAGAGTAATTTTCTTTAATTCTCTTAAACTTTAATTCATCTGTAAAAACTAAAAAGAGGAAAAAAATATTACTAAGAAGTAGTAGCTACTAAGAGAGATTGGCAAGAAGCTTAGATCCAAGAGCTTATGTCAGTTTCTTTTTTGTACTTCTATTGTGCAGATGTGTTTTGATTCGTAAATCTATGATATAAAATTTTCTGATGAAAACTGTTGTGCAAACAGGCTAGGAGAGAGAAGATAAGCGAAAGAATGAAAATTCTTCAGGATTTAGTCCCTGGTTGTAACAAGGTATGGTGTTTGAAATTTTCTTACAGTTCATATTGACGTAGTCCCAGAGCAGCTGCAGGTTTGGTCTGTATAATAGTCTGATAACAATATCCGTGGAAGTGGAAGTGTATATTTTGCTTAATCAATTTTGTCGCGTAGTCTGTGATAGAGTTCTAGTAAAAACAAGGTTCAAGCTTGCTGCTCTGCTGTAAATAGTACAATTACCAGGTTTTACTTTAGAGGGCTGTTTCCTAAGGTTGGTTTCCTGACGCAGGTTATTGGTAAAGCACTGGTCCTTGATGAGATTATTAATTACATCCAATCGTTACAACGTCAGGTTGAGGTATATATCCTTACTTTCCATAAGTATTGACTGCCCTAAGCTGTTCTATTTTGAAAGAAATTAAGCCCTACAAATCATTGGAAATTGCAGTTCCTGTCTATGAAGCTTGAAGCAGTAAATTCAAAAATGAACCCAGGAATTGAAGCATTTCCTTCTAAAGATGTAAGTCCCTCTTTATCTAATTTACTATTATTGGATTTCCCTTTTCTTTTTCAGATTGCACCTGTATTTCTAAATTATTGGTGGTTCCCATCATGGTTGAACTGCCTTTAGAATTACAGATTTGTTTAGCTTATTTCTTGTTACATTACAGACAGAAAATACAACAGGATAGCCGAGTCCTGAACAAAATGTTAAACATTTGATGATGAATTTCTTTTCTTTGCCTTGAATAGTAACTCTTTTCTACAAATCAATTTTTCATTTCAGTTCGGACTAACTTTTGATACAACTGGGGTTGCATTTGGATCACAAGCCACAAGGGAATACAGCCGCGGTGCATCACCGGAGTGGTTGCATATGCAGGTTGGCAGTGGTTTTGAAAGAACATAATGATATGAAAAGACAACATCAATAGTAATAAGAGCATCATCAAGAAGCACTTCTTCTTCCTTCAGTTGCTGTCAGAATATATACCCTCACTATGTTAAATCAAAGACAGGGAACATATTTCCGTTTCAACATCATACTCGGAGCTGTCCTTGCTGTCTAAAAGGCTGGTCAAGTTATTATCTAAACATCTCCATTCATTTGTGTGCTGGAAAATGATTCTTTACTCCATATATTTCTTCCCCAGGCTTCAACGCCATTCTCTATACGAAAAACTCGAATACTGCCTCCTAGAGTTGGGTATTGCTCTTGTAAAAGAAAGTTGCTTGTTCAAAATTGCTAATGTTTACATATTGTATAAACCTTTGCTTCAGAATCGGGCTTGTTGTGAAGCTGAAGCTTGTTCAATAAAGTAAAGCCTTTAAGAGCTCTGTATCTGTAGAACTCCCAAGTTGATAAATGCTAATGTTTATGTTATAACATTGTTAAGACTATATTTCTGACTAACTTGTAATTCTCTTTTGAAATATTTCAAGATGTTATGCCTTAAAATGCAAGTCAAAGAAGATTTACGAATACACTGCATTAGAACAGTCAAATTGTCATCAAGATCCTATATCCAAGCAAACATTATGTCCGTAGTGTTTTACACTTGACCAGCCAACGGCCAAGCAACCGCACTAGCCTAAATCCATCGTGGCCCATTGGGAACAAATATGTCACATAAATTGACATGAATATTTGAAGAACTTGTCAAATTTACCCTTTCTATTATTCACAAATATAACAGAATTTATCATAGCTGTTTCTATTTTTAGCGTGTCAAGATAATTGTGGGATTGGTGTGTTTTTTGAAAGGGAATACTCTGAGTCTCTGAAGTCTGACCATTAGGGATACTAGGCCATTGGCTGTGTGCTTCCGAAGGAACTTCCACCCTGGTTAAAAGTGTTCCCGCTTGATTGGAAAAAAGAAATGGCTGCCCATATGACACGCAGAATCAAGATTACAGTGAAGACAGTGGTACCGAGGGTGCAAACCACCTGCAATAAACATCAGTCACCATTTGTCATATAAGTTGTCAGCTCATTTTGTTATCCTGGTATCAGCACTTCTATAACCACAAAAACGATCTTCTAATTCTGAGAGTATAGACTATAGTATAGCTAACTAGTAAATAAATACTACTAATCAAATGCTTCCAATTTTCATTGACTTTCCAGGGGATCGTCAACAAACTCAATTTTGCCTCCAAAAGAATGACAAAACAGAAGCAGTTTCATTTCACTGCTGCTGCAACTTTTTGGGACTCCAATATCATTCCTTTTAAATGGAGCAAATTTATGCAATTTACTGCAAGACAGTTTATTTCTTTATTTCACTCGCATTATCAAAATGATTACATGATACACAGTGATAAGTTTAAGATCGTGTCCTATGTTCTCATATATACATGCAAGCCATGCAATAATTGCCTTTGCAACAGCAAAAGGCAGATAAACTACTAAGAATTTGCAAATCTAAAGTAAAATACCTCAAGAAGTGCTTTAACAATAGAAAGTGCAGCCAATAGCATAATCCCATCAACAGCAAAGGAAACCTGAATTCCCAAAACAGAAGAAAACAAAAGAAAAAGAGTATAAGAGCAAGCAAATAGCAACAGTTTCTGTTACGATTAACAAGCAGGATTATTAAAAGTTATTATCATCTGCTGTTTTTCTTCACCCTCTTTTTATGTCAGAAAAAGATTTTGGTACATTAATATGTAGAAATGCAGCAAACCAAATTCAACAGTAAAAGGATAAGAATCTACAAGGTGATTAAAATATGTCCTAATTCCTAAGTAGAAAACATAATAAACATAGCCTTGAAAAGGAGCCCTCGCTTTGGTAGTAATTATCACAAACACCACCAATACTGTCAAGCTTTTAACGTTTGGCAGCTCAATCAAAGGCCATCAGTAAATTATCTATCCATGATAAATAGGTTCCCTGTCAACTGCAACTTAAAGCAGAGGTCTATTACACTTTACTCATGTCTATAATTACTGTATCTCACTGAACTGCCATTTCAATTGCCCTTCACAATGGCCTCTTGGCACACCCCTTCTCGTCAGGAGCATGCTTACTGATGAGTGTGATAAATCTTTACATTATTTATCTTCGAATAGGAATGCATTTTTTGAAGGATCCTAGCTTTCGTGGGTCTCTGAGTTCCTTTTGATGACCTATGTTGGTTTAAGGGATATATATCTATATGATCCGATCGATTGCATAATAATGGAAATGGGATTTTTGGAAACTTATAAAGTTTTTCTGTTATGCCTTGATCAGTGGACCCATAAAATCCTTCAAATTTTATCTGATTGTGTTGGTAAATAGTAAAATCCCAAATTTGCAACTATGGCAAAGGAAGCAAAAACAGAGCAGCTAGTGTTACAAAACTTCTGCGAAGCTTAGAACATCTCCTTGTTCCTCCTTCACAGCCTACTCCATCATTCAATGCAATATCTGCTAAGAATACATCTCCCTTCAATTGTGACAACAAATAAAAAAAAAAAAAAAGGAAGAAAAAAAAAAAAAACTTCTGCGAGCTTAGGAAACATCTCCTTGATCCTCCTTCCACAGCCTACTCCCATCATTCCAATGCAATATCTTGCTAAGAATACATCTCCCTTCATTGTGACAACAAATAAAAAAAAAAAAAAAAGGAAAGAAAAAAAAAAAGGACCCGAGCCCCTTTACCTCTTCCAATAAAAAAAAAAAAAAAAAAAAGGAAGAAAAAAAAAAGGACCAGAGCCCCTTACCCTTCCAATAAGAATTGAATATATGAGCCCACCAATTCTCATAACAATCCCCAATTTCTAGAAACCTTAAATTTGACATTCTTGATTGTCAGGGACACTAGTCTCCTTTGTTAACATTTCTTTCTTTCAAACATCCAACTAATTCAGAATATATGCATTTGCTCAGTTCAATTATCAAATTATTTATTGTAGGCACTGGCTTTAGCAACAGCAGCAATGTAGTTCAAGCATAAGTTTATTATTTTTTAAATTTATCAAGTGAAAAGAGGAATTGATAGTAAAGATTTGTAAAATCACTGTTCCAAGCTACAAGCAAGTGGACAGAACAAAATTGAGATTTCAATAATAACCAATGTTTTCCACTATATAGGAAACGTAAGTAAATTTACCAATTGGGGTGAAATTACTGAGGGCAAGATCGAGCGAGAAGCCTTCTTGGCACGCTTAGATACCTTCTTGAACATGCTTTGAAAGAATCTGATAAGCAAATCGATACTGCTTTCGGTCTCATCCCCATCACTGTCATCTTCGATGGTGTCATTATCATCAAAGTAAACTTCACCATCAATCTCCTCAAGCTCTTCACCATCTAGCTGAGAACATAAATCTTGATGGTGACAAAAATGCATTCAAGCGAAGTTAAAAACAAAAGGGAGAGAGAGAGAGAGAGAGGGAGAGGGAGATAGACCTTTCCATGGCAAATGATGATGTTAGGATTTCTGTAGAGAGTGGTGAGGTTATGGAAGCGGAAGTATTGGTGTCGAGGTTGTGAAAGTGATGAGTGAAACAAGAGTTTGGTGGGTTGGGAAGTGACAGCAGTGCATGACAATTGAGATGATGATAGTGGAGGTGCTACTACTGCTGCCATTTGGAGTTTCAGAATAAGATAAAAGGATGACTTGAGAGAAGATGAAAATCTCTTAGACTGGGCTTGCAATAAGCCCAGTCCACTTTCTAAATGGTTGGGTTGCATCTAATGGGAGTGGACTGGCTCCAGCCCACGAACAAATTCAACAGTCTAACGCCCAGTTATACCCGAAGAGGTGAAAACGATTGAATGAGGCCACCTGCCACTAGAGGTGAGTATTCTGTCCGGACTGAATAACCTAGCCAATATCGATAAGCTTTTTTAAGAATTCGATTATTATTTGCTTTGAGTAATGAAAACTGAAAGATTTCAATTTTGGTTCAATCATTTGTATAGCTAACAAAAATTAATTTTTATCTCCAAAATAGATAATTTGATTTGAAATAATTGAACTAAATCTAAATCTAATTTAATTTTAGTTATATTGTATCGATTTTCACAATATATGAACTAAATCTCCAAAATCTATTTGATTACACTGAACTGAATCAATTTAATTTAATTTAACAGGATCCTCACCCCTACTGCAACCAACCAAGTGATCGTGAAAAAAATGCCCACATTCGACAAAAGTAGCAAGGAGCAAGAAGCATAAATTAAAGATAAAATAAGAAAAAATATTTAAAAATGTATTTGTCATGTCTTATATGAGATATTAATTTATAAATGTGATTACCTGATTATAGATATTACTTAATAGATAAAATATGAACCTAAAATTATATGGAGAAAAGCTGTCACAAAAAATATTCCGTCTTTCGAGAGATATAAGACTCTGTAACCGATCTCAACTATTTTATTATATTTTTAGAAGAAGATTTAGTTAGACAATTGAAATGATTTTTAATAGTATTTGGGCCAAAAAAATTAAAAACTAACTAAACCATGTCCTTAATTACTAGTAGTATTTCCTTTTTCATATTTGCCCTCTATCCAACCAGATCCCATAATTGATCTCGAATCAGAAGATTCGTGATTAGGGCAAATAGGTCAACGAGACCAAGTAAGAAATGAAGTGTCTATGCTCGCGCATGACACCAGAAAATTCAGCGCAATGTCGTTGATAGAACAACGCTCGTCGTACAAGTATTTCCATTTCAAGTAAGCTACTCCTCCCTCAGCGGCGCAGCGTTTTTGGAAACTTCAACGCCGATGTTTGGAACTTCACGCATTAAGCATGCGCGTGTCACTAAAATATCCAGTGCCACCCTCGCGGGACCCACACTAATAACCAATTAACTGAAATCCACGCGCACCTATTTCGCGCGTGGAAATTAATTTAAGAACTTAAAATTAAAGCTATGTCAAGGCAAAGCACGCGGTTTTATTGGATATGGTGAAAAATACAAACGCAAAATAACATAACTGCAAAAAATTTACGCGAAGAACAGAGAAAAAAGAGAGACAGAAGAAAAAAGAGAAAAAAAAAAAGAAAAAGAAAAAGAAAAATTGAAGCTGGAGAGATTTTCCCCTCTCTGTTTCATCGTCCGTATAACGAAGCTTCATTAGGAAATCGAAGATACAATAACAAAAACACAAACAGAGCGGAGAAGAAGGGAAATTTCTCGAGTCAGAATATTCTGTTTCCGTCAAATTTGTGACTTTGGATCGGTCATTTTGGTTGGCAAGGAGAACGATGACCGGTGGATGGGAGAGGGTAAGGACATCGACATCGAGATTGACTCGAGACGTGAGCTTAACCGGCCGTTCGTCGGCGGGTCGGACGGTTCGACTCGGTCGCGTCCAGCCACAGGCACCTAGTCACCGTACCATTTATTGCAATGATCGTGAGGCTAATTTGCCCGTCAGATTCAAGGTTCCTCCTGATATCTAATTTCATGGCCTTTTATTTATTCATTTTGTGTGCTTGTTCATCTCCATTTCCTTGTCTGTTTCGGTGCTAAGAATAACTGTGAGAGAAAAATGGAGTTTTTCTCTTTGTTTGTGGTCCAACAAAACGGGAACTCTACTTGACTTAGTGTGTAATGCAGGAAATGTTTAATCCAAGACTTTCGGGGAGGATATTTATTTGAATTATATTATTAGTGTTTGTTTTATCGAGGTTCCTGTGATTTAAACATATACCATAATAAACTAAGTTAAGGGGCTAACAGCAGGAATTTTCTTTTGCCGTACTATATGCGGTTACAGGTTCTTTTTCTCTCTCTTTTTTTTTTTTCAAAGTAGTATTGAGGTCAAATTTATTCTACACTTATTGCTTTTGGAGATGAACAGGCATAACATGAAAGTTTAAATGCTTCAGTTTCACTTCCCTTAAGTGAATAAAACTGGGCACTCGAAGGGTATTTTCGTTCGCAGTCTGCATTGACTTTTGTTCACTTAAAGATTAGGGGAACAAAAAGAAAGGGCTGCTTTCTATGTCCTACATCGACAATGCAATCAATGCAATAAATCATTGCAATTGATATCTACTATGTTAAATCCAAATTTATTTTATTGTAGTGCATGGTATATAACGTGGATTTGGGCTACGTTTTTTTTTCCTCTGTTTGAAAATTACTTACTTTATCGTTGTAGGAGTACAGTATTATTGAAACTTGATTGTAGAACTGTAGAAAATGTAGAGCAAAGCATGCAGATGCACTGTCGTGTGCTTGCTGTTAAGACCATGTAGGCTTGAGCAATAATTTGTTTGTTTACACTGCAATTCATATGTAGTAACATTTGGAGGTATAATATTTATAGGAATGGACAAAAATAAGAAGAGCAAGGTTTCTTTTCAAGATTAATTTTAACATGATTGTCTAATGCCTCGGTTTAATAAGCATCCATATAGTGTACAAGGTGTGAATTATACATATGAATAATGAAGAAACAAAAGTATAAGCTGTTTTTGTGATTATAAGAGTTCGGCTGTAAGTATTCTACAAACTGGAGATGGAGAATTGAACCCTTGTGCCTACTGATTGTCAAATTATAGTCAGTCACCCTTTTTCATAATGTTGTGAAAAATGAAAAGTAATGAGTTGTGTATGATAAGTCGTGGATTTGAAAGCTATCTGTCAGAAAAAGTAGGCCAGTGTCTTGCAAGTTGTTGCTCAGCATAATCGTTTTTCTATGGCCAATTTGATCAGGTCTATACTTTTGAATCAGGAGTTTGAATTTCCATTGGGAAAAGGGAAATACATAATATCTGTTAAGAAGCATGAAGATAGGGACAACTTTATTAGATTTTGGTACATATCTTTCTGATAGAAGCATGACATGGATGTTGACTTTCTATATTAGATGATGCTCTACGTAGACACTACTATTCCCCTGGAAATGTTGCTTTCCTCCCCACTATTTGTATATAGTTTACTGCTGTGTATGGCCATGCTTCAGAAATTGTTCAATGTTCGGTGTATCAGTGCTGTGCTCATAATTGTTCTTATTAGTTGAGAATTGGCCTATGCTACCAAGAATCTATCCTAAATGGAATAGGATTTTTCAAAGAACAACAGATAACATGCTCTTAGATTTCATGGCTGCACACACAGCATTTACATAAATCTTCTTCTTGGATTATTTACAATTGGATCTTGTGAAATGTTATGTAACACTCATCGCCCGGTCCCGATTGTGGCATTATGGAATTCTTGTAAGGGAATTTTACGACATATTAAAAATAACAATTTTGGTTTTTAACACGATTTATAAACTACCTTGATTTTGACAAAGGAAAAGTTCCCCATTTCACCTGCGGGATAAAACCCTGCGGGTCTTGCCAATTTAGTATGAGATGAAATTGGCTTGATCTAAAGCGGACGAATCCTCTGGTGGTTGGAGTCGGGCTTGACATGTTAATTGGATGACAGGTGCGGATTGTAGTGATATAAGATTCGTGCTAGGTTGTTAGGTTAAAAATGTTATAATTACTCCACAGTATGACTGGGCAGGCAGCTATGACTTATTAGGTTGCAGTGTTCTGCTGAAACTCGACCATGCTGCAGTAACTGGTCTAACTTTCAGAAAATAAGATTCATGGCATATAAGTTAGGATAGGAAATGCATGCTTCTTTTTTGTATTCTGTCATCAGAACATGGCGTGGAAAATAAATTGGTGTAAAACATGCCAGTGCTAAGAACTTAGGTTGTTAAGAACTCTATAAATTAGAGTAGCATTCTAGAAGCTGAAAGCCTAGAGGAGAAGTTATGCAAAATCCTACATTTGACCACTGCAAGTAAAAGTTTGTCTCTGTTAAAAGCTTTGTTTCTTCATTTTCTTGCACTCTGAAAGAAGTATTTGAATTTGGAAATTTTTATTGGCACCTTATTTTCTAATAACCCTTGGTGTTTGCAGTTTATTTTGTTGTTTCTATTTCTGTTAAACTTGGTTTGGCTTAGATTTTACTGTTAAAATGTTTCAGGGGAATTCTATATCAACTACAAAGTACAATTTCTTTACCTTCCTGCCAAAGGGATTGTTTGAACAGGTAATTAATGTTAGCAATAAAATGGTTCTGTTGTTCAATGCATTGCAATGTGGTACTCAACCTAAATGATGTGATTCTGCCAAGCCTTTTGGTTTGGTAGTGGTAAAATTGAACTATATTAGTTAAGAAACATGATAAAAGTGAAGGGGACTCCTCTTCCCTCTCAATATTCCAAGATTAGTTTTTTGTGGGTCTGTCTGTTTCTTGGTGCTTGTTCACCTATGCTATAGTTTTAGTTCCCTAGTTTACAGATAACTACTGCGGCAATTGTGCATTTGGGTTGAACAATGTCTCAATTGCTGAGGGACAAAAATGTTTGACTAAGGGCTTAAGATTCCTCAAAAAGTGCTCCACCGTGATCAATTTCTTCCTTTCCTCATTTCTTAATCTTGTGTATGTTTATGCTCATCCTTTTACACCAAACTTGAGTTGGTGAAAAAATGCACAGCATCTGTGCTTGTGCATCCATAACAACTTCTGCAGGTTTACAATAACCGATGCAGAGTTAACAAAATTTCGATAGTATATCCTTGACAGTTGAATACAGGCAATCTTATCGGCCCATAGTTTGGGTACATCCA